TTATTGACTAACAGCAGCCAGTATACTGATTGGCTTCTGCTCACACGGAAATAGTGTACGTCTTCCTTCAGAGTTTCACGTATATAGTCAGGCATAAACTGTAACGACGTAGTATATGTATATATATATTTTTTACGACAAAGGATATGTATTATTGGTTTCTATGAGTCATTAGCATAGTAAGGTAATTTTAACAGTAGAAAATAATTCGCACCAACGTTGTAAGCCCTTTTCACTAGACAAGTGACCTGGAAATTTATGCCCCCTCCTGCAACTTAAACAGGTTTCCTGCGCCCTTGGCAGAATGTTTAAATGACGTAGTAAATTAAAAGTGAAAGTAAACGCATCTAATTTTGTTTTGTGAGCTGACATTACAGACCGTTTAAAATTCCTCGGAACCTGGATGGTTCCCGCGTTCATTAATTTGAAAATTTAGTACAGCTGTAAAAACATAGTATAAACGATGAGGCACACTCCAAAAGTTGTAGGTGTATAGATATCAGACATGCACTCACGTCTTCCCAAGCCCCTGGTTGTTATTGCGACTTTCCTTCTCCAAAATATATAAAAAACGAAAGCTAAATTGATCATATAAACCATGTGCTTGATTCCATTTATTAAATTGCTATTGAAATTTCTAAAATATTGGAATACTTGTTTGAAGTTCCTGTTGTAAGTTAAGCAGTGTATACATTATAGAAATCATGCGTTGCTCGTGCAATGGCGGTGTGTGGCGGTCTGAGTTTGTCTTTGTCACTGAGATTGTATTTCATCCAATGTGTGCGCATTTTCTACACGTTATAACAAACCAAGTGTGTAGTAACAATATTTATAAACTGTCAAACATATTATGATGTGTTTTCTGGGTCTAAAGAAAATATTATAACGTACGCTTCTCGACGAGTTGATGTGTACAAATTTTAATTTCCACAGACCTTTATTACCTACAAATGATGATTACTCAGTATACTTTGTGAATGTTTGTGTTTCTTTTTTGTCTCTTTCCTGTTTCTACTTATCCCACGTCATACCATCTTATCCCATATTTACTATCACGTTTTCATCCCACCATGTAATTTAATATTATGTAAATAGCCATATATATATATATATATATAATATATCCCTCTATACTTGTAAGTTGATACTGTCTGATGATGTCTTCAGAGTCAAGACGAAACGTTACACTTATAAATAAATATTTTTTTATATGTTATTTTGTATTAAATGGCTCTTTTAAAAGCACTTTGCTGGGCTCTGATATTTATATTAAGAATTCGCTTTCCGCCCGGTATATCCCTGGTCACGATGATTAACTTTAGGAAATGTTCTACTATCATTAAGGTTTACTCAGCTGATTTCTCAATTTTTGTTCACAATTTACGAAGCGATCACTGTAAAATCTTGATCAGAATTGTGTCTTTGAACTTGAAGATTTCTTCCGCACATCATTTGTGTGTAAATAGATTATTGTTTTGGATAGTAACGTGATGAAGCTTGCTTTAAATCACTGGAAAGCTCCGATTATATTTCATGTAAATGTGTTCCCAAGTTATTGATATAAAATATCTCTCCTTCTCGCACATGAAAGGCAAAAGACAAACAATCATAACGTCTATACTTGGGGAAAATCTTCATGCTATCAAAACGCTTGACTTCATCCTTTCCTGTCGCCTGTGGATACCACTTCCATTTGCCTTCGTTATCTCTCTTTACGACGTTGCTCTCTTGTATGTGTGGGTATTGAGAAAATTCATTCTTCCCCGCGCTTTCACTGCATACTAGAACGTTGTATTCTACTTTTGTTGTGTATGCAAAGGTTCCCAATATTCGAAACTCCATCTTCTCATCGCCAATGTAATCTTGATAATATTCAAGCAAATCGTCGATTGAATAATGAAAGTAATGGCTACATTCTTTGCCTTGTCTGTTCTTAGAATACACGCGAAATGCATAGGAGATTCCAAACTGATCTTTAATGTCATTCCTTATCTTGATATCGTGATCAAAGGCATTTAAGAAACAATTTTCCATGTGATCTCGCAAATCATTGACATCATCTTCTTCAATGCGTGGAGCCCACCAACATAGATCAGCATAAACGTTCTCGTCGTTAGTCTCGTTGATCTTCTTTTTGCCGCCTATTAAGCCCTGAGAGGTAATTATGCCATCTATCTTATTTGTGCAATGAACCAGATTTTCGATAGCGATTGGATATCCTTGCTGTTTGAAAGACTGCAAACGATTCCATCCTTCTGTGCCAAGCATGTCGAGAATTGGCTCAAGAGTACCATTTGGCCTTGGGTAAGGAAAAGGGCATTCGTAGTCTGATATGAAGTCGTATGTCAATCGCCCATCAAATCCTTGATTCCATTCAGGGTTCTTCCACTCTTTCTGTTGTACGTGTCGTTTTGGGCAAATACGTTCTATACCACCACTGTTGCACATACCGTCAATCCATTCTATCTGTGACATTGCCATGGCTTAACTATTTCACAATGTTCAATGATCTTGTGTTGATACAATTCCTAAACAAGTTACGTGCATTCTTAAAATATGATTCTCGAGGAGTGTGGTTAAGAGAAAATGAGAAAATTTTATGAACTATAGGATGTACTGATCAATTATTTTAAAAGTCTTTCACGATGTCTTTCCACTCATACATTTTAAATTTATTCATACTTGCATGGATCTAATCTTATTTAATACAAGTTTTTTTTCAAGACATTTAACTCCGAATGGAAAATAATAGTTTTGTATTTTCTCCCTAACTGACGATCATTGCTTTGCGCCACATGAATGTTTTTCATTGGTCTACAGAAGCGTTTATATTGACATTTGCCTACACGGAAGTAATTTACGATACCATTTTCTAAGAAGTCCGATATGTTAACACGCACAATGTAGTTGAAATTTTTTCAACTATAAAGTCATATGTTGGATTACATAGTTTATTTTCCTAAAACAAAAACAATACAACCCGTGCGTTGATTGGTCTTTTGCTGTGTTTGCATTAGCTTGTACAGGCCGATCTGATCTGAAATAGAATTTACAAATCAATCATCAATGCTCGTTGAAATACAAACACATTTGTTTCGCATTAGTGTTGCTTTATAAAAGAAATAAAAGATTTTTTCTATGCTTGCACTGGCATACGCAAACCTCGGACATGTTTGTGAAAACTCTCCACCTGCGGTCGACGTGCACTTATCTGATTTCTAGTGCTCCCAAACGTACCTCGGTTTAGACACTAGTATCCCGAAGGTGTGAGTTCAAATCTCGTCCAAGTCACAAGTTTTTCATGTGCATATTAAAAAACCGTGTTAGGATTTATATATTATATATTAGACACCGTACGCATTTTCTCAAACGAATAGTTGGATCGAGTTGCAATTACAACAACAGAAAAATTGGATTTCATTGCGTGCTACGACTTGCCCTACTGCGAGTTTCATCTTCACTCAAACAAAACTGTTTTCGTCAAATATGCAAATCAGATTGTAGATATAGTGTTTAAAAATTAGCATATATTTCTTGAACAATTTGATGTATAAGAAAGAACCTGTTTAAATTTATAAGTTTAGTATGCGCTCTCGGTCATAATACCGTAGTTGTGTTTGAACGATATGTGGCAACGAAATATCCACAATGAACCAGTTAGTCAATGAGACAGGGAGTTGTTTCAATGTGATATATTGTGATTGGTATTCACTAAAATATTGATACAATTTGTAAATGTCTATGTCACGTTTTGAAAATTTTCATCTCAAACTATCCGATATCGATGGAAATCAGCTTATATGCTTTCGTTTACAATTTATTAAACAATCACTGTAAAATCCTTAACTGAATTATGACTACAAACTTAGAGTTTTAGATACAATTAATAAATTTTCCAAATCATTGGTCTTAAATATCTTTTCTTCTGGCACATGAAATGCAAAAAACACACGATCATATCATCTATACTTGGGATAAATTTCACTGCTATCAAAACGTATAATTTCACCCCTCCTGTCGATAACACATCCATTTGCCATTGTTATCTCTCTTTACGACGTTGCTCTCTTGTATGTCTAGGTATTGAGAGAATTCCTTGCATAAAATTCCTCCTTCCCTGCACTTTCACCGCATACTCTACTTTACTTGTACTATACTTTTTTCACAATAGTTGTAACTTGCTTGCAGTTTTGACTTTTTGTAATGCCTCAAAATTCTCTCACGCCTCGCTGAATGTCGGTTAGCCCGGGGGACCATGTAATCAGCATTTTAGAAAGTATAAATCACGAGAAGGAGGTTGAGAAAACACGACAGGATGTATTTGTCAACCAAGATTAATAATAGAAATTTTTTCAGTGCGTTTTCAGCTCTCTATATTTTTTAATTCATTACAACATGCAGGGACCTATTTCATATTTGATACAAGTTTTTGTAACTCGAAAGGAAAATAGTAATTTTTAGTTTCTCTTAAGCTAGGCAAGCATTACTTTAGCGATGGGTATTTTTTCTTAATATAAGTGTTCGCTGATTGGCCGACATCAACCCTGTAGATTAAGTAGTAGATCTTGTCAACTTGACTTGATATTAATATCTTGAATTGATGTTCCCGGCAACTTCAACAAGAGAAGATCTACCTGAACTTTTAGTTAAACAATAGGAGAGCTCTATATCAATAATAAGCTAATCAAATGAAGAATTTAAAAAATATTTTTTAAGTGACTGCATTCGTTACGATTGGTAACCAGCAAATCAAAATGGCATATAATGTTTTCTGAAACTCTCAACTTGAGAAAAATCTCTAGAAAACCGCAAGTTAACTCCAAATCAATCGACAAAGCATTTCGTGAGCATATAGGGATGTGTTGAATATTGGTAACACGATTAATATCACCATAAAAATGATTAATTTCTGTCTATTGTTGATAAACGTTATGGCGATATTATATTCACCGACGACACTAATTGTAAAACGTCAAATCATTGTGTCAGTCAATTTGTACAAATGTTGTAAAAATGCCCCTGATTGTGCCTTTACGCAGGCTAGCAAAGGCAATTGCGCAAGAGGAAAGAAGTATAATTTGTACTTCAAAATTTCATATCGAATGGCGACATTACTGGGGAAGTTTTATTTTAATACTTGGCGAGTTTTACCATTTAAACACCAATATCGTTTGGGATTATATAAGAAAGAGGTTTGTGCACGACATGTTGCTTCTGACTTTTAAAGATACAAATATGTTTTGTCTGAAGGGACTTGTCCAGTTGTCCTGTCAGGTCAGATTACATAATTTGTCTTGAGCAAAAGATTTCTTTGCTTCGCTATCACACATCAACGCTTGCCTATCTCCATATGAGCACTCTTTTGTTTATCTACATGCATTCGGCAAATTTTCAATCTCGCCCTGTCCATTGATCTTAGTCGCGTTTTCTTGATTGCCTTCCGAAGTCAGATTCAGACTGTCAAGGTCCTGGAGTTGGCTACCTCACCTGTCGTGCTTGGCTTAGGTGTATGTAATTGAATTTTGAACAGCTAAAAAATTAGATTTTTTGGTTTGAGTAAAACAGGCCTCAAAATAGCTTTGCTGTAAGATGAAGTCAGTTTTTGACATGTCTTTTGTTGTGGTAATATTCAACCAGAAACGTTTGAAATTTATTCATATGACGTTTTAAATCAAGTATATCTTTGTGATTGGGCCTGATTGGCAATGCCTATGGATTAAAGATGAACAAAATTAAAGCATGGATGTTCTTCCCCCTTATCTTCCCCAATTATTTTACTAAATTGATAAAAACTGACCTCCCTTAGTTGATGTTAGGATACTTTTTAATCTACACATTTATAAAATGGTAGTTTATAATCATTATATAGGTTGAATGTTTGCTTTTGAAAAGCCAGAAAGCATTCTATGCCAATGTTATTGCCCGAAATGAAGAAGAAAGACGGATAGCTGAAAAGATTAAATCAAATCTCAATGCTTCAAAAATTGAAGTAGAAGACATATCAGGCATGCTTTGAATTAACCATATTTTTTTTTCCACCATAGAATACACCCTATTGATGTAAACTGCAAAGTTGGTCTCTCACAAGTTTCTTAGACTATTCACTGCCTTTGTTTTAAGATCTGCATGATTGGTAGAGGCATTTTACCAACAGGCATCTACTGTTTGAGATTTCGCATTTTATTGCTTATGGCTTTAACTGTTTTCATGTTAGCTTACGGCTTTAAATGTAAAAATCTTATAGTTTTTCTACACAAGATTACTTAAGAGTTTGGACTCCGAGACTTGACTCAACTTGTCCCCTCTCAAAACTGTCAGGCAATGTACCTGACCTTTTAGGGGGGTTTTGAAGGGAGCTAGGCATTTAACATGCATTTTTACATCTGAATCTACAGTATGTTTGGACAGCAGCTTCAATGAAAAGGTTTGTAACACTACTTCTACTTTTTAGGTGGCTGTGGTTCCATGTACAGAATATTAGTGGAGTCGTCAGAATTTGAGGGAAAGCGCACCATACAACAACACAGAATTATAAATGATGTAAGTCTATGTTTTTAAAACTTGTTTTTGGCTAGCTTTTTCTTTTGTTATTATCTTTCCAGTAGAATATAAAGAATCATTGTTCATCAAGGCATTTTATACAGCTGTATTGCAGTCTATTTGGGATGGTCAGTTCTCACAAAAACTGACTTTGCATTATCTTTAAATTGTGTTTCATGAAGTATTGAGGAAATACTGATGGGAAAGTGTGCCCTGAATTTGATTGGTTGAACAATCTTATAATATTTAAGTTATAGCAGTTATACTTGCCAGGGGTCTCTTTTCACTTTGGTTGCCTGGACCAATTGATCAGTTCATTATAATACCTGTTCAAATGTGAGCTGGGATTATTGTTTAATATGATAGTCAGCTCTGCTGCTGTAGCCATAGGACTAGTTAACATTGATATTTTTATACTTATTTTCAAGCCATGCAAAATTTTCACTTGCTTCTTCTCTTGCTTACCCATTTCGTTTTATCAAGTTTCTTTTCTATTCACCTTTTCTACTTAAGACAAAACTAGAGCTTAAAACAAACTTTTTCCTTAGATATTGAAAGATGATGTAAAAGACATGCACGGACTGACATTGCAAACATCTTCTACGAAATAGCTCGCCGCATACTGTTGGCTGCTAGAGAATAAGTCTCAAGGTCATGCTTAGCTCGCTTAGCGCTTATGGTTTCACACTCGAAATTTCGTATGAATTGTACTTATTTGCATAAAGCAAAATACGAAAGCCGCTGTTTTTAGAATCCCCAAAATGAAGTTAACTAAGCGCGCAAAGCATGACTTTAAGACTCATAATTTTGTACTTGAACAGTAAAAAGGGTTTGCCCTGAAGGCTCTCCGAAACTCTCAGATATTCTTTGGCTGCGCGAGTCAGAAATAAGAAGAAGGAGAGCGATGCGTCGAGGCTCAAACGAATGCTCGAAAAAGCTCTGAAGGTCCTAGTACATCTCACTTGACACGCCATTGTCATGTCATGCTTCATGTGTTAATAACTAAATGTATCTTTTTTCACAAAATATTGATGAAATGTTTTCCAAAGATTGATATTTATTTAGAAAATGTTTGCCACCCTTTTTACTCTCACTAATTAGTAATACCAAATTTTACCAATCACAAGTCACGATATAAACTAAAAGCTCCATAATTTGAGTGTCTGATATGTTATCCTTTACGCATGCGTGTGTTTGTGCGTGAAAAGCATGCGACAAAACAAATAGCTTTGGAGGCCAATATGTCACTGCACCCTTTCTCCTACACAGATCTCTATGATATTCTAACAAAAGACTTAAGTTTGATTTTAAAATAAAAATGTTGTCAAAAAAGTATAAGTTGCCAAAGTAAACAAAGATAAAATCCAAGGACCATGTAAAGTTCACCAAATGTTAACGTCATATCTCTTCCAATTCTTTTTTGAATTGTGGTCGCTCGTGTTTTGTGTACGGCGCTTACTCAGATCAGCAAGGTTCTTCTGAGGATATTTGGTATGCAGCAGCGTAGACCGTGATGGCATTTTCTTGACTTAACAAGTGCTCCATTGTAACATGAAGTTGCACAGTGTCCAATTACTTCCATCTCGTTATCCATAGGACTGTAGCATGTTGTACAATCCGCTGGCCAAGCTTGTTCACCTATCAGCAGGAGCAGAAGAAACCAGATCCTCTTGTCCATTTGTGCGAGCTTTCAAAGTCTTATCTGCGAGGGAAAAACGATGATTTTCAATAATTGTATATCGTTCGGGTGTTCATAATGTGCAGCGAGGCGAGCGAGCTTTCTTGCTGTCCAAGGCATTCGATATTGCGAAAGTTTATGTCTTAAATGCCATTTTGGCAGCTTTGAAGGCTATCAGATTGAGCGATGAAATAATTGTCAGCAATATGCATTTGCATTTAATCGCGCTTTACATTCAAAAGCTTGCACGAAATCGAGGCGACTTGTCAACGTGAAGCGCAACGTGGTGTTTGTTTTTATCAATGCACGCTATAATTTTTTACGGTATGTGTTCCTGTGGATGAATGCCCAATTGCATTCAAGAGCTCTTGAGAAGTGGAAAAGGATATGGGTTTTAAATTATTTTTCCCTATTTCATGCAAATATTACCAAATGCAGACTCTGCTCGCCTTAATTTTTCAACTTTTCAAGTCTCATCTCATGAAATTTGTAAAAATTTATTCACACGCAGTTAGAGTCGTTAAAAAATATGGTCATCGCTCTCTATATGTTTAGAGAAATCAAGCACTTATTTATTGTCATTGTATGGATAGCTATGGACAGCTATGGACATCTACAGAATACAAATAACTAAAGCTAATGTTGCACCTAACGTTGAACACTGAAAAATGGTCTAATCTCCCACACATGGTGTTAAAGTAACATCTCATTTTTTCAAAAATTCCAGAAGACTTATAATGTGACGGTGGCCTATTACATTGATTGTTTAATATTGGATGAATTTGGAATTTTCCTCAGCACCTCCCTATTTTTCATTGCACATTTGACTATGTCGCTTTTATTTTACAGTTCATTTCGTTTTCATGCGTTGAAAATACGTCAATTCGATAAAACTGAACTCCCACATATTAATCTTACTCTCTGATTAAGTTTAGATTAATCGTCGAGTGCACGAACTTAATTAAGTAATTTCAAAATCGGCAACAATCCCAAAAACTCAAAGCTTCTAACTCAAATTGCGTTGATGATGGCAAATTTTACGACATTTGAGATGTCCCAAGAGGTACAAGGTACAAGCATGTTACAAATAATCGCTTGATTGTTCAAATAATTAGCAACATGTGTGAGAAGATGTTTGCACGAGTTATCGCAAGATTCCGTAGAGCATTATCAGATTGGACTACTGCTGCTGTACCGGCTGCTACACTGGCTTTTCGTGCATGTAACACAGTCTTTTACAGCAATTTTTTTAACCGTTTTGTAAAGTACGAATTTTTTAAGCACGCTGGTCGTGCAAAATCAATGCTGTGACGTCCTTTGTGCGGACATCAATGAGCGTCATGTAAATTGCAGACTACATTACTAAACATTACCTTGCTTCGTAAGAAAACTACTTAAAATGAAGATTTCTTCTTTTTCTCGAGTTACTTGTTCAGCCGAGTGTCAAGTGAACTCTCTACTTGAGCGGTCGGTAAGCGAATGCCGTGTGTCCACCGTTATTTCTGCATCCAATATAAGTGTGAAAGTCCCGCATTGCAATAATTCCATTCATCTTTCGACGTCAATTTAAATTTGAAATTCCAGTCGGAAGGTGCAATTACATATTACATACTTTGATGACTCGCCGGCCTCACGTTTTGCGTTTGCAGATTTAAGAATGCTTTCGAAAGTCGGAAGAATCGAATCGAGAATTCTCGATTTTTCATTAATTTTTCTCTCAAGTTTTTCCGCGGGAACATATTTTGAGATTATGAAATTTCAAAAAAAATCAGTCGAGCACAGCTGGATACATAAATAAACACCCCCTTCCAAAAACGTACAAGTGCCACCTCATGGTGTCGAATTTAATTTTTTGTGAATGTTTATAATGCTAGCAACAAAACTCTGTGGGTGTGTTAAAGAATTTAGGCACCAATTATTTTTTAATTAGCATAGGATAATATCCATCTTGTAGTATAATTACCAATGAATATCTGTCCCGTGTGCGTCATGTTTGTTCATTTGCGTTTGACGTGTCGTAGTCGTGCCGAATAAGAATTTAAATTAAATCATGAAAGGCCGGTGCTGTTAGACCTCACCTGTAAACTTTCCATGACAAAGATTCCCTTCCCACCAGGAATTGTACTTAAAAATGTTATTTTAGTCGGGTTTGCAAATGTCAACGTGAAGTAAAGAGTAAATCACAATGGGGAAGCACTAATTAGATCAATATATACTGAAGATTAATCATTACCCATTCGAAAAAAAAGTTGTAGAAAATGAATGATCGAACTAGGTGGAAGATCGACGTTTATAATAGTACCAAAGTCAACTACACGCAATGAAGAAATGAGAAGCGTAAGATTGTTTTTCTATCCTTAATACCTTCGCCATTGATGGATCATGTGTTGTGTGAATATGTCTGCGTGACGATTTTAATGTTGATGTCTGACCCCATGAGACAGGTCAAAAGCTACCCGAACACAAACATTTGCGTTTCCCGTTCGTGCTTTGCATTCTTCGTAAAAAAAAAACCCGCCATGTGAACCACGAGAGTGTTGAAAAAAGAGGGAACGACAAAAACATTTTGAAATGAAGAAATTTTTGCTTTGCAATATATAATTACCAGGCTGCCAGCATGTCATGGGTATAATATACCACGTGACTGTAACCATGAACCGTTGTCTCGGATTAAAGAATGATGTCTCAATAATTAATTAACTACAATATTACACAAAAATGCCCCTATTAAATAAGATCAAGACTTGACTGTGTTAATTTAGGAAGATGAAGGCGATTTAAGCTGTTACGGATCACCCGTTCAACAACCTGATCATGAAGAACAGGCTGCACTGCAAAGTGCAAACTGCTAAAAATCAACATTGATTCGTACATCGATGGACAAACGTGCGCAAGGATTGTTTTCTCGCAATCAATCAAATATGACTACATCTTTATTCAATTCAATACTTGTTATTTCTTTTTCATTTCTTGGCCGACCGTCAATTTACCAGACTTAACAGTCGAAGTAGACTTATCACTGCATTAACAACCTAATGTAATGTAGCCAGTCAATGTATCGCAATTTTGGGGTGTCTCGGAACTGGCTGCCTGTGCATGGCTAAGCGCGCAAAGTATAACCGTGTAACTTATTCTTTAATGGATCAGCTTTTTCTGTCACCACTGGCCCTTCAAAGGGGGCGGTAGCTAGAACGTTGATTGGGGGGGGGTGCATATTCATTTCAAAAAATTCAGTAGGGCACAACTGTATATATGATAATGCACACACCCCCTCCTCCCCAATTAACGTTCTAGCTACGCCTCTGGACACAGTTACACAAATATTTTTATTGTTGAAGGTGAAAAACTGTCATGACTTTTCCTTCGTATGTTCTTTGGCTTTTCAGTGGCGCTGGATTCTTGTCGCATTGTATCCTAATTTGTCGCCTGTTCCAGCCGTTTGCGTTCATAAACTTATCTAAAAAAGACGATACGACAATTTATTAGGCTATAACTTTCAACGCACCTACAAAACAGTTGTAATTCCGTCGTCTTAATCTGTAAAGTAGTGAGTCTTAGTAAAGACTACGAGTAGGTGGACGAATTGCGTCATTTTGGCGTGAACACAATGTTGTGACAACAAAAACACGTAACCGTCATCAATCTGAGTACGATGAGTACAATTTAATTCAAGAAGTTCCCTAAAAATGTGCTAATCAACCATTGTTTGAATCTGCTCTTCCGAACACAACGAAGTAGTTTTTGGGCGCTACGCCATACTAAATAACATTTTTGTGGTTGAGAAATCCTGCTCAGAAACGCACCCCCCTATATAAATTAGAGAATGAATTATTAAAATTAATAAATAATAAACATTTCTTTTAAGAACTATTATGTTGTTATTTCGACAATTCACCATAGTATTTACTATTTTTCAATAAAAAAATTTTAGACTTTTATTAAAACGACAAAGTCTCTATTTTACAATGAAAAACCTTTTGAACGAAATTGTGCAATATGTGCTCTCCGCTAATCCGGCAACGTATGTTTTGTTCAAACGAAATATGCATTTAGATGCGTAACCGATAAATACGTTAAATGAAAGCGAATAGTCATTGTTTCAATCTATGAATTTTTATTGAATTTTTTTAATATTTGACAAACAACAGAACTGAGAAATCTCTTTCGTTTAGAATTAAACGAATTACGGATATCATGCGATGTCCACGAAAATCGTTTTATGTGGCTTTGGCCTACGATTTACTGAACGATTAGCGTATTATATCTTCAGCAGACTCTAGAATGGATGTTTTTTGTACTAAATTTAGCTGTAAATGAAGCGTCGTGAGTAGGCTCTTGTGAAATATGCAGGTGGTATATTCTTGCCTTTATCTTTCACACAATCTGTTTCAAATATCTCTCCTTTTCGCACATGAAATGCAAAAGATACACGATCATAACGTCTGTACTTTGGATCAGTTTTGTAGGGGTGAAAACGCTTGATTTCGGTTCCTGTAGCCTGTGGATACCACCAAAATTTGCCTTCATTATCTCTCGTTACGACATTGTTCTCTTGCGGTACGAGCGGGTATTCAGAAAATTCATCTTTCCCTGCGCTTTCACTGCAAACGAGAACGTTGTACTCTACTTTGACAGGGTATGCAAAAGTTCCCAATATTCTAAATTCCATCTTCTCACCGCGAATATAGTCTTGGTAAGATTTTAGCAGCTCGTCGATTGAGTATTTAAAGTAATATTCACAATCATGCCCTTGATTGCGATAAGAATAAAGAAGAAACGAATCGGATTTTCCAAACTGCTTTGTAATATCATTTATTTCGTTGATTTTATAATTGGAAAATTGCGAGAAAAACGTTTGCATTTGATTTTGCAGATTTTTGCGGACATCATTGCTGAAATATGGACTCCACCAAGACAAATAAGCTTTTTGCCTCTTATTGATCTTCTTCTTGCCGCCTTCAAACCCTTTATCTGAAATTATTCCCCTCATGTTAGAAGATGGTGTGCAATGAACCAGAGTGTCGATTCGAATTGGATCTCTTTGCTGTTTAGCAGCCCGCAAATTTTCTTTTTTTGTCTGGCTGAGAATTGGCTCGTGTCTTTCTTTTGAGTAAGGAAAAGGGCATTCGTAATCTGAGATGTAGTCATAGTGTTTACGAAATTCACGATTCCATTCTGGTTCCCACTCGTGTTGTTGCACGTGTCTTCCTGGGAAAATACGTTCTTTACCTTGATTTGCCACTCCCTCTATCCATGGTATCTCTGATCCCGCCATGACTAAACTGTTTCTGAATTTTCTAGTGTGAATAAAAATGCAAAACTTGTTATTTTCTTTCCCAAAACATAATCCTGGAGTGAGGTTGAGATTAACTGGGTTGTTCTACTAACCAATTCTTTTAAAAGTTTTTCAAGTGTTCTTCAACTCTTGCATTTTAAACTCGAAACTACATGCAGCCAACTGTTTCTTATTTTATAGAAGTAAGCTTTTTATCACATTTAATCCCTAAAAAATATTAGTTTTGTATATATCCTTGACTTCACGCTAAGCCTTGCTTAGCTAAGGTCAAACTGCATCAACAGCAGTCTTGGCTTCTGTTAAAACGTAAGTGATTTATGCTATATTGCAGTTAAATGTAAGGAGTCTATAGCTTATAAACATCTTTAACAGAATTTCTGTGACGTGTCATTATTTTGATTCATCTTGTTGATTTTTTAATTCTGCCGTACCAATGATATTTGAAAAGACTAGTGAAATTAATTGTTGGTGATAATGCAAGAAAGGTCAGAATTTTGTATTGATAAATTATGCAATGTGTTATTGGAAAAATCCCACCAAAGTTAAAGATGTGACAATATAGAACATATGAAGTGCGAATCTCACCACCAAAATGACATTCCATTTTTTTATGACAAATATGACAAAATTTTATACATAAGAACAAACAATGACACTATGACAGGTAAGCTATTCAATCAACATACATTAACAAATTTCGAAAGATTAAAGACGACGCAACCAACTACGTGTTGTCTTTGCTTCGGCTTGATAATAAAGAAATTGGAATGTTCACTAAATGTTCAATTTTAATCACCTGCTGTTTTTATTGTAAAATATTGAATTCTGTTCATACCCAATCAAATATGAATTGCAAATTTTTTACTTTAGCTATGACTGAAGTAAAAAGAAAGAGTTTTGACTTGTAAGCTTTATGGCAATAAACCTTTCACAATTTACTATTATTTACTTCAATTATTGAACATCCTGACTTATATGGAAACTAACTGAAACAATCATAAAGTAAAACGCGGTAGCCAACCTTTTACAGATAAGATAGCTCAAAAATTAAAGATTTATAATTTAGGAAGTTAAGAAAATCGATAACCAGAGCTTCTCTGAAATTGTCAGCGTTCCAACTTTGAAACGTGGTCAATGAAGTTTTGTCATTTTGTAAACTTTTGATCCGGATAAACAAATAATTTGATCAGGGGCGTGAGAAGCAAGTATATGTTTAGGGGGGCTCAAAATTTTAGGAGCAGTCTTTAATTTAAAAGGGAATATCAAAGTAATTGATCTCAAAGTCTCTAATTTAGAGTAGTTTTGTTACATCTCAGTAATCAGAGATACTTCAAAATTAATAGTGTTTGGACTTGACAGTTCATCATGTAAAGTTTTGTCATTTTGGGAACTTTTGACGCAAACAAATGTTTTAAATAGTTTATCTTACAACAAGTTGAATAATTAGAGACCAGAAAGAAATCACGTGTACTATCACGTGAAAAAGTGAGCTTTGTACTCCAATTAGCAACAATTTTTAAAGTCATACCTAGCAAAACGTTTTTATGTCATTATCTGTGTTACAAATACGATAAATAGATAGGTGACTGTATAAAAGAGGAAAAAATTCTTCTTGATAAAAGCCATGTTAGATAAAATTAAAATCATTCTGCATTTATGATATGCATATCTGAAATTTTGTGACGTGTCATGATTTCTATTCATCTTGTTAATTTTTTATCCCTGCCGTACCAATGATATTTGAAAAGACTAGTGAAATTATTTCTAGGTGGTAATGCAAGAAAGGACAGTATTTTGAAATGATAAATTATCCTATTTGTTAATAAGAAATTTCCATTAAAGTCAACAGATGTATCAACATAAAACATATGAAGTGCGAATTCCACCACGAAAATGACATTCCATTTTTTTATGACAAATATAACAAAATTCTATACATAAGAACAACAATGACACTATGAAAGCTAAACTTTTCAATCAACATACCTTAACAAATTTTGAAAGATTAAAGACGACGCAACCAACTACGTGTTGTCTTTGCTTCTGCTTGATAATAAAGAAATTGGAATGTTCACTAAACGTTCAATTTTTATCACCTGCTGTTTTTATTGTAAAATATAGAATTCTAATCATACCCAAAATAATATGAAATGCAAATTTTTATTTTAGCTATGAATGGATTAAAAACAAAGAAGTTTTGACTTGGAAGCTTTATTCCAATAAACCTTTTACAATTTACTATTATTTATTTCATTTATTGAACATCCTGACTTATATGGAAACTAACTGAAGTAATTATTAAAGAAAACGGGGCAGCCAGCCTTTTGCAAGTGAGATAGCTCAAAAATTAAAGATTTATAGTTTAGGAAATTGAGAAAATCGATAACCAGAGCTTCTCTAAAATTGTCAGCGTTCCAACTTTGAAACGTGGTCAATGAAGTTTTGTCATTTTATGAACTTTTGATCCGGATAAACAAATAATTTGATCAGGGGCGTGAGAAGCAAGTATATGTAGGGGGGCTCAAAATTTTAGGAGCAGTCTTTAAATTAAAAGGGAATATTAGAGTAATTGATCTCAAAGTCTCTAATTTCGAATAGTTTTGTTACATCTCAGTAATCAGAGATACCTCAAAATTAATAGCGTTTGGACTTGACAGTTCATCATGTAAAGTTTTGTCATTTTGGGAACTTTTGACGCAAACAAATGTTTTAAATAGTTTATCTTACAACAAGTTGAATAATTATAGACCAGAAAGAAATCACGTGTACTATCACGTGAAAAAGTGAGCTTTGTACTCCAATTAGGCGCAATTTTTAAAGTCATATCTAGCAAAACGTTTTTATGTCATTATCTGTGTTACAAATACGATAAATAGATAGGTGACTGTATAAAAGAGGAAATAATTCTGCTTGATAAAAGCCATGTTATATAAAATTAAAATCATTCCGCATTTATGATATGCTTAAAGGACAATGGCAATGAAATCTTTTTTTCATACGTTTATCATAGATAGCTATGGAATACTTAATTTCGTGTTTTCGTATATCTTTTGAATTTCGTATATAGTAAAAAGGGTTTGCCCTAAAGGCTTTCCGAAACTCTCAGATATTCTTTGGCTGCGTTAGTCAGAAAAAAGAAAAACGAGAGCGATGCATCGAAGCTCAAACGAATGTTCGAAAAAGCTCTGAAGGTCCTAGTACATCTCACTTGGCACGCCATTGTCATGTCATGTCATGTGTTAAATGTACATGTATCTTTTTTCACAAAATATTGATGAAATGTTTTCCAAAGATTGATATTTATTTAGAAAATGTTTGCCACCCTTTTTACTCTCACTAATTAGTAATACCAAATTTTACCAATCACAAATCACGATATAAACTAAAAGCTCCATAATTTGAGTGTCTGATATGTTATCCTTTACGCATGCGTGTGTTTGTGCGTGAAAAGCATGCGACAAAACAAATAGCTTTGGAGGCCAATATGTCACTGCACCCTTTCTCCTACACAGATCTCTATGATATTCTAACAAAAGACTTAAGTTTGATTTTAAAATAAATATGTTGTCAAAAAGTATAAGTTGCCAAAGTAAACAAAGATAAAATCCAAGGACCATGTAAAGTTCACCAAATGTTAACGTCATATCTCTTCCAATTCTTTTTGAATTGTGGTCGCTCGTGTTTTGTGTACGGCGCTTACTCAGATCAGCAAGGTTCTTCTCAGGATATTTGGTATGCAGCAGCGTAGACCGTGATGGCATTTTCTTGACTTAACAAGTGCTCCATTGTAACATGAAGTTGCACAGTGTCCAATTACTTCCATCTCGTTATCCATAGGACTGTAGCATGTTGTACAATCCGCTGGCCAAGCTTGTTCACCTAACAGCAGGAGCAGAAGAAACCAGATCCTCTTGTCCATTGTGCGAGCTTTCAAAGTCTTATCTGCGAGGGAAAAACGATGATTTTCAATAATTGTATATCGTTCGGGTGTTCATAATGTGCAGCGAGGCGAGCGAGCTTTCTTGCTGTGCAAGGCATTCGACATTGCGAAAGTTTATGTCTTAAATGGCATTTTGGCAGCTGCGAAGGCTATCAGATTGAGCGATGAAATAATTGTCAGCAATATGCATTTGCATTTAATCGCGCTTTACATTCAAAAGCTTGCACGAAATTGAGGCGACCTGTCAACGTGAAGCGCAACGTGGTGTTTGTTTTTATCAATGCACGCTATAATTTTTTTTACGGTATGTGTTCCTGTGGATGAATGCCCAATTGCATTCAAGAGCTCTTGGGAAGTGGAAAAGGATATGGGTTTTAAATTATTTTTCCCTATTTCATGCAAATATTACCAAATGCAGACTCTGCTCGCCTTAATTTTTCAACTTTTCAAGTCTCATCTCATGAAATTTGTAAAAATTTATTCACACGCAGTTAGAGTCGTTTAAAAATATGGTCATCGCTCTCTATATGTTTAGAGAAATCAAGCACTTATTTATTGTCATTGTATGGATAGCTATGGACAGCTATGGACATCTACAGAATACAAATAACTAAAGCTAATGTTGCACCTAATGTTGAACACTGAAAAATGGTCTAATCTCCCACACATGGTGTTAAAGTAACATCTCATTTTTTCAAAAATTCCAGAAGACTTATAATGTGACGGTGGCCTATTACATTGATTGTGTAATATTGGATGAATTTGGAATTTTCCTGAGCACCTCCCTATTTTTCATTGCACATTTAACTATGTCGCTTTTATTTTACAGTTCATTTCGTTTTCATGCGTTGAAAATACGTCAATTCGATAAAACTGAACTCCCACATATTAATCTTACTCTCTGATTAAGTTTAGATTAATCGTCGAGTGCACGAACTTAATTAAGTAATTTCAAAATCGGCAACAATCCCAAAAACTCAAAGCTTCTAACTCAAATTGCGTTGATGATGGCAAATTTTACGACATTTGAGATGTCCCAAGAGGTACAAGGTACAAGCATGTTACAAATAATCGCTTGATTGTTCAAATAATTAGCAACATGTGTGAGAAGATGTTTGCACGAGTTATCGCAAGATTCCGTAGAGCATTATCAGATTGGACTACTGCTGCTGTACCGGCTGCTACACTGGCTTTTCGTGCATGCAACACAGTCTTTTACAGCAATTTTTTTAACCGTTTTGTAAAGTACGAATTTTTTAAGCACGCTGGTCGTGCAAAATCAATGCTGTGACGTCCTTTGTGCGGACATCAATAAGCGTTATGTAAATTGCAGAATACATTACTAAACATTACCTTGCTTCGTAAGAAAATTACTTAAAATGAAGATTTCTTCTTTTTCTCGAGTTACTTGTCCAGCCGAGTGTCAAGTGAACTCCCTACTTGAGCGGTCGGTAAGCGTATGCCGTGTGTCCACCGTTACTTCTGCATCCAATATAAGTGTGAAACTCCCGCATTGCAATAATTCCATTCATCTTTCGACGTCAATTTAAATTTGAAATTCCAGTCAGAAGGTGCAATTACATATTACATACTTTGATGACTCGCCGGCCTCACGTTTTGCGTTTGCAGATTTAAGAATGCTTTCGAAAGTCGGAAGAATCGAATCGAGAATTCTCGATTTTTCATTAATTTTTCCTTCAAGTTTTTCTGCGTGAACATATTTTGAGATTATGAAATTTCAAAAAAAATCAGTCGAGCACAGCTGGATACATAAATAAACACCCCCTTCCAAAAACGTACAAGTGCCACCTCATGGTGTCGAATTTAATTTTTTGTGAATGTTTATAATGCTAGCAACAAAACTCTGTGGGTGTGTTAAAGGATTTAGTCACCAATTATTTTTTAATTAGCATAGGAAAATATCCATCTTGTAGTATAATTATCAATGAATATCTGTCCCGTGTGCGTCATGTTTGTTTCATTTGCGTTTGACGTGTCGTAGTCGTGCCGAATAAGAATTTAAATTAAATCATTGAAGGCCGGTGCTGTTAGACCTCACCTGTAAACTTTCCATGACAAAGATTCCCTTCCCACCAGCAATTGTACTTAAAAATGTTGTTTTAGTCGGGTTTGCAATTGTCAACGTGAAGTAAAGAGTAAATCACAATGGGTATGCATTAATTAGATCAATATATACTGAGGATTAATCATTACGCATTCGAAAAAAAGTTGCAGAAAATGAATGATCGTACTAGGTGGAAGATCGACGTTTATAATAATACCAAAGTCAACAACACGCAATGAAGAAATGAGAAGCGTAAGATTGTTTTTCTATCCTTAATACCTTCGCCATTGATGGATCATGTGTTGTGTGAATATGTCTGCGTGACGATTTTAATGTTGATGTCTGACCCCATGAGACAGGTCAAAAGCTACCCGAACACAAACATTTGCGTTTCCCGTTTGTGCTTTGCATTCTTCATAGAAAAACCCGCCATGTGAACTACGAGAGTGTTGAAAAAAGAGGAAACGACGCAAACATTTTGAAATGAAGAAATTTTTGGCTTTGCAATATATAATTACCAGGCTGCCAGCATGTCATGGGTATAATATGCCACGTGACTGTAACCATGAACCATTGTCCAGGATTAAAGAATGATGTCTCAATAATTAATTAAATACAATATTACACAAAAATGCCCCATTTAAATAAGATCAAGACTTGACTGCGTTAATTTAGGAAGATGAAGACGACTTAAGCTATTACGGATCACCCGTTCAACAACCTGATCATGAAGAACAGGCCAATTTAAAAATCAACATTGATTCGTACATCGATGGACAAACGTGCGCAAGGATTGTTTTCTGGCAATCAAACATGACTACATCTTTATTCAATTCAATACTTGTTAATTCTTTTTCATTTCTTGGCCGACCGTCGATTTACCAGACTTAGCAGTCGAAGTAGACATATCACTGCATTAACAACCTAATGTAATGTAGCCAGTGAGTGTATCGCCATTTTGGGGTGCCTCTGAACTGGCTGCCTGTGCATGGCTAAGCGCTCAAAACATTACCGTGTAACTTATTCTTTAATGGAGCAGCTTTTTCTGTCACGACTGGCCCTTCAACGGGGGCGGTAGCTACAACGTTGATTGGGGTGCATATTCATTTCAAAAAATTCAGTATGGCACAACTGTATATATGATAATGCACAACCCCCTCCTCCTCCCCAATTAACGTTCTAGCTACGCCTCTGGACACAGTTACACAAATATTTTTATTGTTGAAGGTGAAAAACTGTCATGACTTTTCCTTCGTATGTTCTTTGGCTTTTCAGTGGCGCTGGATTCTTGTCGCATTGTATCCTAATTGGTCGCCTGTTCCAGTGCGTTCATAAACTTATCTATAAAAGACGATACGACAATTTAATAGGCTATAACTTTCAACGCACCTATAAAACAGTTGTAATTCCGTCGTCTTAATCTATATAGTAGCGAGCCTAAGCAAAGACTACGAGTACGAATACGAATTACGTCATTTTGGCGCGAAAACATTGCTGTGACAACAAAAACATGTAACCGTCATCAATCTGAGTACGATGAGTACAATTTAATAATTCAAGAAGTTCCCTAATAGTGTGCAAATCAACCATTGTTTGAATTTGCTCTTCCGAACATAACGAAGTACTTTTTGGGCGCTACGCCATACTAAATAACGTTGTGGTTGAGAAATCCTGCTCAGAAACGCACCCCCCTGTATAAATTAGAGCACTCTTGAATTATTAAAATTAGCCAAATGTAACACGTGAACACCGCGTGCCTTTTTTTCAAATGTTTTGTGCGTGCTGTTTTTCGAATTTGTTAAGTGTTTCTTCCCATTGGAATTGTTAACTTAATATTATGTTTGAGCCACTTCGTTTTAAATTTATGTTTGTTAAATGTTTAGTGGGAGCGTTTGAATTTTTTTATCATTGGGTTCGAACATAAATTTAATGTTTGAATGCATGAACAAACTTTCGTAATATTGACTGATTCGGACAACCGTAAAACGTGGTAGAGCTGGTAAGAGCACCCTGAATTTGACTTCCCCATCCTTGGATAGTCAGTGACCAATGTTAACGGAATACATGAATATGCAACCCCTCCCCCACTAGGCGTGGCATATGGATAACGCTTTCTCTTTGTTTCGATTAGAATTTTTAGATGGTGTTATCCATAAAAAGAATGGTCAATTCTTAACAAGCATTGATTCGTCGCCTAAAAAAGGATTACGGGTTTAATTTATCTTTGTCTTAAGCGTCATGACGTCATCTACCAATTTAGAGATGTGATGAACATTTGTTTTTTTTGTTTTTGTTGTTGAGGATCGCGTGCATTTCACGTGATTGACACTTTGGGATTATTACAGAAGGGGGGAGTTATTGTTAACATTATAGATTCGAGATGTTGTTATTGAATTGTGAAGTAATTTTCTTAGAGACGACTTCTTTGTATGATGAAAGTTCAAAATTAAATCATTTGAACTAACGTCAATGTCAAAATTATGTGCTCGAGATAAATATAACGATTTAATCGTGCAACGTGCACGACAAGAGATGACGTTAGCTTTTCTTACTATTAACTGTTGCATGATTTTTAATTCTTATTTAGCCGACGTTAACACCTGATGAGTAGTCTGCTGAATGCATAGTAGCCAGCTTTAGCAAGGACTACGAGTACGACTACGGGTACGACTACGGGTACGAATTACGTCATTTTGGCGCAAAAACATTGTTGCGACAACAACAACACGTAGCCGTCAATCTGAGTACCATGTTTTGTAAAAAATTCGTAGTCGCGACTACGATGTCTTTTCACTAAGGAAAGAAAGTAGTTATTTTTTCATTGTGTAAGAATTTAGTTTACAGTACTATTTTTAAGTATCTAGGCTTTACTTTAGAACCTTTTCGAATTAAACGAATTACGGATATCATGCGATGTCCACCAAAACCATTTTATGTGGCTTTGGCCTACGATTTACTGAACGATTACCGTAATATATCTTCATCACAATCTAAAATGGGATGCTTTTTGGTACTAAATTTAGCTGTAAATAAAGCGTCGTGAGTAGGCTCTTGTGAAATATGCACGTGGTATTTTCTTGCCTTTATCTTTCACACAATCTGTTTCAAATATCTCTCCTTCTCGCACATGAAATGCAAAAGATACACGATCATAACGTCTGTACTTTGGATCAGTTTGGTAGGGGTGAAAACGCTTGATTACGGTTCCAGTAGCCTTTGGATACCACCAAAATTTGCCTTCTTTATCTCTTGTCACGACGTTGTTCTCTTGCGGTACGAGCGGGTATTCAGCAAATTCATCTTTCCGTGCGCTTTCACTGCAAACGAGAACGTTGTACTCTACTTTGACAGGGTATGCAAAAGTTCCCAATATTCCAAATTCCATCTTCTCATCGCCAATATGGTCTTGATAAGATTTAAGCAGCTCGTCGATTGAGTATTTAAAATAATAGTCACATTCATGCCCTTGACCGCGATAAGGATCAATACGAAACGCATCGGATTTTCCAAACTGCTCTGTAATCTTATTTATGTTGTTGATTTTATCATCGGCTAATTGCGAGAAAAACGTTTGCATTTGATTTTGAAGATTTTCGCGGACATCTTCGCTGAAATATGGACTCCACCAAGACAAATAAGCTTTTTGCGTATTATTGATCTTCTTCTCGCTGCCTTTAAAGCCTTTATCTGAAATTATTCCCTTCACGTTAAGAAATGGTGTGCAATGAACCAGAGAGTCGATTAGGATTGGATCTCTTTGCTGTTTAGCAGCCCACAAATTTTCTTTTTTTGTCTGGCTGAGAATTGGCTCGTGTCTTTCTTTTGAGTAAGGAAAAGGGCATTCGTAATCTGAGATGTAGTCATAGTGTTTACGAAATTCACGATTCCATTCTGGTTTCCACTCGTGCTGTTGCACGTGTCTTCCTGGGAAAATAAGTTCTTTACCTCGATTTGCCACTCCCTCTATCCATGGTATCTCTGACCCCGCCATGACTGAACTGTTTCTGAATTTTCTAGTGTGAATAAAAATGCAAAACATGAGGTTGCGATTAACTGGGTTGTTGTACTAACCAATTCTTTTAAAAGTTTTTCAAGTGTTCTTCAACTCTTACATTTTAAACTCGAAACTACATGCAGCCAACTTTCTTATTTTATAGAAGTAAGCTTTTTATTACATTTAATCCCAAAAAAATATTAGTTTTGTAATTATCCTGACTTCACGCTAAGCCTTGCTTAGCTAATGTCAAACAGCATCAACAGCAGTCTTCGCTTCTGTTAAAACGTAAGTGATTTATGTTATATTACAGTTAAATGTAAGAAGTCTATAGCTTATAAACATCTTTAAGCATTAAAGTACGCAGAGCGCTTATTAAAAAAATAGTTTGTGTGTGTTTTTTTGGGGGTTGTTTTCGTTATACGGTTGATTTTTTGTTGTGTTTGTACTTAATAAAGAAAGCCTACTGTGTAAGACGTGTCCGGTGACAGGTGTACCCAGTGAAAGAAGAGCCTTCTGTTTAATGTGGGCGTTTGTTAGTTTCAATGTTTCTTGTTGCTACAACTAACACCGTTATTATCATTTACACCAACACGTAAAAGTTGTGGGAAATTTATGTGATGATGTTATTATACAGACGTTCCAATTTTAGAATTGCTTTTAGAATACTTCCAGCTTTATAGAAACATTGATTAAATATCGTCGTTAATGACGTGATAAATGAATTTTTACTCTTCATTTGTCTTTGTCACGCTGACATTTTTAGGTTAAATTCGCCTAGTTCCTGACTGAAATTTATTACTTGTGAGTTTGTTGTTGCTCTTCAGTTTTCTGTTTCGTGATGTTAATGTCCTGTGGTTATTGAGAATGATTTGTCCTTGTTGTGGCGTATTTGCTTTGAAATTATCTCAATGCTGTATTTCGTTTTCGTCTGTTGTTTAATGAAACAAACAAAACACTTGTTCCGTATGAATTCTCCACGAATCTTTCAGACAACAGATAATAGAATTACCAGAACGTACCTTTGAAAATGAGTGCGTTTTTCTCCTTCCTCGAATTTATTTTTCCACCAAAATATACGCCTGTTAAGTTGACAGACCGCAATTATGTTGTCTAATACGGCAATACGCGTATTCCAATTATAATACGACCATCGTCAATCAAATTCACCTGCAGGTGTGCGTCTTGCTGCGTTTTGCCACATATAGCGTCACGATAAGTGTAACGTGGTTATTGGAAAACAGCCATTATTGCCCTCTTTAGTCTCTTGTATTAAAATAACACATATATCTTTTAAAAGCTACATTTGTATGGTAAATTAAATGCTTCAAATTTTATCATTTCAATACACTTCAATACATTTCAAGTACTATGAGCGTTTGTAGTTGAATTATGATTGGAAAACACTTAAGCATGTTGATTTTAATAAAATATAATGATAAATTATTTAGTGTCGGTTCTCTTTTGCGACATAAGCATAAGCAAAAGTGTCCTCGCTTGCAACAGACTATAATAACCACAAGTATATTAAACAGATTTATGCTTATGCTTATATTTATTTCGCAAGTTAGGACCAGGCTTAATATGTTGATAACTGGTACGATTTTGATCTAAAAGTCATATGCAATCTGAAGCTCAAAACATGTCTTTCCACCGTTAGGTCTTCGTCATACAATAAATATATATATATACTTTGATGATTTTGTGTTCTTTGGAATAACATTTGAATAAAAATAGATAGTTGTTTCAAGATAAACGGGAGAAAGGGTTCTTTAAATAGCTGGACTGTTTCGCTATTATATAAATTACTTCATAAAAGCACTTGTAATTAGCAAACTTTCAAATTTTTGGGTGGTAATCAAGTATTATACAACAAGGTAAGCTGCTTCACATCACGTATTTCGGTAGTTCCCTTCCCATTTTGTTCCAGTTTCGATAGAATTTAAAACTTTTATGTATTTTCTTTTTTGGGTAGGAATTTTAATGAAATTTTACGTAAAGTGTAGGGATTCCTTTTAAAAAAAAACCAACTGCCCAACATAAAGCAATAAGCGTACCCATTGAGCAACAAAGAATAATTTTGTGTTTGCAACAACAAAGAACAAACGTTTCGTGTTTGCATCATACAACATCATACAACTAATTAAAATGATCAAGGTTTAGCTACAAGTGTTAAATTACTGTGAGAGTGTGGTGAATTGGACAAAAAAGCAAAGTATAAAATGCGAGGGAGGATACAGATACGCGAGTAAAGTGAAAGCGAATATAAAACGTAGTGAGATACTTGAAAAAGCTCCAGAGGGATGAAACTGCTTGGACATTCAGTGTAGATGTGAGTTTAGAGATTAGAAGGCTTTCATGGATCATTAAGTCTCCACATTAAGTCCCAACTCTGAATGTTCAAGGCAGTTCCATTCCATTCAAGCTTTTTGTGGGTGGCCGCTGCTCATGCTATCAAAAAAGTGTCCATCTGTTGGCCTTTTGTTAGTCGTAACCATGGTGATAGTCGGATGTACGAACGATGACGAAGAATGCTATAAAGCCAATTTAAGTTAAGGCGTTCGGTGATTGCAAAGAAAGTTTGACAATTACGACGTCATTTCATTAAACATTGATACACTGTCAGATAACACAAAACATTTTTTTATCCCAAGCAGCTTTTGTGAAAATGATATTAAATATATAATATCATTTCATCTAGATTTATTAATCTAATTCATTTTATAACCATAAATTTTTCATGCAACCCATATATGTACGCAATGCGTGCCTTATTTTAATTACTCATATCACTGCGATTTATGGTTATGTTTGCATTGTATATCAGTATCTCCACTCACATTTCATACTTTTTTTTGCCAAATTCATATCTGTACCTACACTTATAATTTGTATGATCTTTATAGTTAAAGAAATGAAAGATGTTTACTGTGTTTGCACAAGCTTATGCAAACCAAGCAGACCTTTGGGAGAACTCGAGAGCAGATCAGTGCAAACATGAAAAACATCTTTTATTTCTTTTATAAAATAAAATAATGCGAAACAATGTTTGCTTTTACAATGACACTGCGACAGAATCTCCAGATTACTTCGTAGTCCATCATGTAATTATTTCGCACAAGCTACCGTAAATGCTCGCTTTAACACCGCAGTGCTTATTTAAATTTTCCTATTTTAAATGCGATGCTTATGCGAGAGCAATAAGTGGGAACCGTCAGCGTGACCGGTGCCATGTTTATTTCGCTAAGAAGAGCTCCAGACCATTGCAAGATTGTAAAATGTAAGGTCGTATTTACAGTTCAATGGGTCAAGACCATGGTCAAGAGGTCAAATTTTTCCGATGAGCTGTTAACTAACTGGATGTATGTTGCGTGCATAAATTACGTAAGTATGTTACAAAAACTATCAACATGTCACGTTGCATTTTATCCGGTCGACGATTCTGCCAACAATCTTGGAAAATACCTGCTGTTGGAAGAGTACAAAGCAGAACATTTCAACATGTGCGTCTTGCTGATAATCAGAAGTCCTTGATCTCACCTTTAAACTGGAATTTTTGTCGTTTGATGTCTGAAAATTCGAAGAAATCTGAAGGTGGAGAAGAACCAGGCACGAAACAAGAAGGGCAAATGTCGCAAGAAAGCGAACAAGATTTATCCAAGAAAACCGGCAGGCAGAGATTAAGCTTAGTGTTTGCAAAATATGGCGTTACTGCGGTCGTATTTCATACGGCGATATCATTGACCTCGCTTGGACTGGCATATCTCGCAGTGAGTAGGTTAGTTGCGGCCTCTCTTCTCCTTGACTCATACTGATACTTTGTAATTAAAATGTAAAAACGTGCCTGCTTTCATAAGGAAGGTTGCTGAGTTTTTGGATAAAGTTGAGGTAAGTATTTGCTACATGCTCATACCAGGGAGTGGGCAGTTATATTCAGGGTACTAAGTTAAAGTTACACTTCATGGTAGACTGCCTTTATGGCCAGTCATCAATCAGTGTTGTCTTCTTTCCTTATTTGCATATGTCAATATGATTATGGGTAATATAGCTTTTATCAATCATCACACAATGAACAAACTGTCAAGCTGTATGTTTTCAAGATACAATAATTTGCCTTTATTCTGTGATACATCATTGTAGACTGTTTTGTTGTTTTAGTGGATTGGATGTTCCCGGTATTCTCATCAAGATGGGCTTCAGCGAGGGTTTATCGTCATCAATGGCTGCCAAAGGGGCCAGTACGTTTGTCATTGCATATGCATGCCACAAGGTGTTCATGCCTCTTCGAATATTCCTAACTGTCACATGCACTCCTTTAATTGTTCTGAGATTGCAGAAGCTTGGCTTGTTGAAAGCAAGAAGATAGAGATAGAAAAAATTTATCTTATGGGGAAAAGTCACCGTGACTTTGAATGTGCTTAATTATAAAAGAACTAAAGACACCTTTGTGACAATCTGTTACCTTATTTTTTGTCGCATGTCTTAACTATTTTTAGTAGTGTAAATGCAATATGTATATATATTTACATTTACCAATTATTATTGCTCTAGAGATACAACGGGATCAATTCTGCAACATTTTATCATAATATATAAGGCTAGCTGTTCCACATAAAATGTTAATTAGCTGTATGTAATATTAGCAACCATTTTGGGTTATGAATTCCTCAATGCAATTCCTTTGAACATTGATGTGTATATTACACTGTGTAGTACATGCAAATATGAAATATTGTTTAAATTTGAATCCAGAAGTTGTCTCGTTTGTTAAGGAACTTTGTGGCGTTGGTCCCACTATTATACTTTGACAAGATTACAAAATCAGACATTTTGTATTTTATTCCTTTTACAAATTTCTGAATAAGACAATGACAAAATTTTGATAGCATACTCCCCATCCAGTCTTACATACATGTAAGCATGTATAAACAGGATACTCCCTGCCTTCAAAAATTTGTTTCGTGGATGATCTGAGAAGATTTTTTGGGGTGCTGGTCTATTAATTAGATTTACCTGCTGTGTCTTTTTTTATACTTTGAGATACTTTTTCAAAAAAAGACTGCATTAACCTCGCAATTGGTGTGTAAATTTTTCGTTAAAAATTTGGCACTGATCTTGCAACCCCCCTGTACCCAAGCTAGGAGTTGTTTTTCCCTCCTCCACTGCACCCCACTGCCCAGCGAATGCATTCCTGTTTCATTCCTCTTACAAAACACAAATACTTGTTTTATATTCCAATACTTATAGCTACTTGAACGAATTCTCCTCTAGAATAAACTCCATTGTTGTTAAAAAACGATTGCCCGAATAATTATGAATGCAAATGCATTTCCTTGGAAACAGACCCCCCTGTTTTGTTCTTAATATGTACAGTTTCCGGATGAAACTTCGACCGGTTTATCGTCAATTGAGGTCAGATGATCATCACCTGGACAGGCTAGAATCTCCACTTTCCAGGTATGTCACGTTGTAATCGTGAAAAATCTCAACACTTTTACCGTCATCAATTTTGAAATGAAGAAATGAAGTAAGAATTGGCCTCGTAAACGACAAATATCGCATGAAATATAGTACTGTACCGAGAAAAACGGAATAGAGAATAGTGCTGACATTCAAAGCTTGATCCAAGATGGTCGACCACAACAGGACGGGCTCACAAGTCGAAGGTTTGTTTTTCAGAAACTTCATGTTCATTCTTTTTAGTGTTTAACAGATTTCATTCAAAAGCTGGAACTACGTGAATGTGTCAATTAATGCGGACATTACGGTTTTCTGTAGCAATTTTGAATCTTTGTTTTGAGTCTGTTCAAGTTAACTATACGTTACATAGTCATATTGGAGACGGGACAATTTAATTTACGAAAAAGCACATTGCCAAATTAAAATTAGTTTGTGTAATTATCTCACAAAGATATCCAGCATTATCAATGCACGAAGTATGGCAGACAAGCATGGTTTCATTTTTAGGTTTATCTAAGTTCACAGTTTAAGAGAGCTGTGGGAAAATTTGTTTTCATTTGCCCTTTATGGTACATAAGCCCACAATTGTTTCGTCTTGCTCAGCTTTTCAATTTATATCACCTCCTAAAGTAGCTTAATTCCCAATTATTCCCAGTATATTAAAGTGTATTGTGTAGTTTTGAATCTGCTGAGTGGCTAAGCCAGCCTCAATATTTAATCCTGCTATGTAAATGTATATTTACTTGCTTGCTGTGAAGACAAAGAACAAAACATTGAGACGCCAATGATAATGCAAGCTTTGAAATTATCATAGCAAAATCATAACTTAGTCACAAGCTGGCTATGCCACTAGTGGGGCATACGTAATTTGTGCTAATTGTGTGGAAGCTGTAGAGGAATCTATAAGATATAAAGACATACACACCAATCTGGTTTGACGTAAACTTCCAAATTCAACAATCTCTTTACACTGAATAAAAAATACAGTCGTTTTTAACATGCTTTTGAAATTCTTATCTTTAGTGTTCTTATTTGCTCCTTTCATAAGAATTATAAATTTAATTCTCAACTAGATATGGTGATGGCCTTGGTTGATGCAGCCAATGACAAAGATGCTTCTGTTGTGGAAATGGTGAAGGTGTCTTTGCTTGCCATTGGACTTGAGAAACCAGAACTTGTCTTGGGCATTTGTAAGGACTACATTTTGAAGCATCATAAGGTAGCAATCTGTCAAATTTTCAAGCTCATCTTTATTCTTCCCATATCTTTACATGATTCACAAAATGGCAACTGAATTGACTTACATTGCCATTTATGTGCGAGTCATGTGATGGTTTGATTTTCATCAAGTTGTCTTTTGCAATGTGAAAACTTCAATGATATAATATCAACTTGTTTATGTTCTTTTCAATTATATATCTTATGATAATTATAATGTACCTAGTTTTTTATTGCATTATTATGGATTTATCATCTTTAGTTTATCTTACCTAGATGACCAAGGAGCATCGTGTCGTGCTGCTTGAGTCAATGGAGAAAATCCTCCATGATAAAAGGGAAGAACTCGATGCTGATCTTGCAAAGGAACTTTTGAAACTTGCATTCCAGGAAATGACAAAGTCAAAGGTAGCCTAGTAGCCCTGCAGCTGCATATTTAGTTCAATGGTTATTCACATAAATTCACCAAATCATATACTGTGTACAGTTAAACTTATATTAAGCATTCATCCTAGGGGATTTTCTAAGTTCAGTTATATATCTAGTTCAATGGATTGTTCACATAAACTCTCCCAATCAATTATAGTCAAACTTATAGTAAGATGTCTGTCTAGAGGATTTACTATGTTCAGGTCTTGTGGGAAATGTCAAAGCATAAACTGCCCGAAACAAGTTATGAATTTTTGACCGATCATTAAAAACATCTTTAAAATAGTAAAAAAACCAAGTTTGGTATCTTAGAAAAGGTAAACCGCGTCCGTTTAATGACCATGGAGATTATAAATAATACTAATAATTATTATAATACTAATAATTGTTATAATCCTAATAATAATAGTTATGAATAAATTATTTATAATCTCTTTGCGCATTGTATATCATGAAATTTTTCGAGACACAGTCACATGACCTCATAAAAAAAGGTGACCTCATTTCACTGTGGAATGGAATTAAGTAATTTTTGGGCATGCGCATATTTTCTAACCAAACACAACTCGCACAATGACAAACGAAAATAGTATTTCTACTGTCTCTCACGACAGTCTTTGTCTGATCGATGCCTCAAATTTTCATTTTTAGGAAATTCATCCTAAGTGGCAAACGGCCGCGTCACTCGTCATCGTGTCGGTTGGAAAAACGTTCAAACATGAAGTAATGAGTGAGCTGCTTGAGAACCTCGTACCCGGGACTCCTCCGCACTACTTTGTCATTTTGACGCTGGCGAACTTCGCCCAGGCTGACGGTTTGTTCACTGATAAGTAGCTTACGTATAAATGTCTCTTGACGAGTGACTTCAAACGTGACAGTTGCTCTTGCAAACGTACAAAGTGCGAAAGTGATAACAAAAGAAACGAGATTTCTCAAAAATATAACGGAAAAAATGACATTTTCACGTTATTAATTGCGTGCGCGTAACTGCCTTTGACCACGTAAAAGAAATTATTAATTTCCAAACATGCGCAACCAAAGTTGTTTTCTGAGCACATTGGTCCAGGGCCTATTATAGCTGCACCCTCGACCAAAGGCAGTTTTAGGCGATTATAGTGTTACTTCTTCTTGCGTTTAAAATTCTGTTGTTAATTTATGTAGACAATGAAGAATCTGTTATTAGTCTGCCAAAAAACACTTATTGTCTAGGTTTTCGAAGAAATTTTGTAATTTCTATGTTTTAGCGTTCGCTCTTGTTCCTTTTCTGAAAGACATTCTTGGACGTTTACTTCCAATGTTGATGCTCACCAAACAAGATAACATGCGATGGGTATTTGCGCATTGTGAGTTTTTGTTCTTTCCTTCCTCTCCCTTCCTCTTCCTTTCCCCTTCCTCCTCTTCTCTTTTTTTCCCTTCCTTTCTTTCCTTTTCCCTTTTCCTTTTTCTCCTCCTTTTCCTCCTTTTCCTTCCTCCTTTCCTCCTTTTCTCCCTTTTCTCTCCTTTACCATTCTCCCTTTTTCTCCCTATTCCTTCTCCTTTTCTCCCCTCACTTACTTACTCACACTTTCCCTCTGTTTCAATATTTATAGTTACAATATTTACAAAGGTTAGGTCCAATTGCTTTTTCTTTCTCCTTAAGGTTTTTCTCGATTCTCGGAAAGCATTACTTATTATTTGGCAAACATTGAGAGCACCGATCACAACGACATAAAACAGAATACATTCGAAGGCGAGATGCAATCCGCTTATGAAATCTTGTTTAATGTTTGGATAAAAAGTAACGAGCCAAAGGTTGTATAGATTTACGGTGTGCTCAAAATAAAAAGATACTGTAGCTGAACGAAAGTGTTCAAATCACTCTGTAATTGACCTCTGATTGATTGCCCACGTAGACTAACCGTAGTTTTGATTACCTGGTCTGTATCCTTTCCCATTTTTTCAGGTACGACTTGCAATAATCGAAGCAATTGGTTACATGTCTCACCTGTTACCGCGAGAGAAGCTCTCTGAACAGCTACCTCGATTGTTTAGTGGGATTAACAGCTTATACAAGAAACATCCAGCCGGAAAGCACTATACGATAACAATAGTAGGTTGAGTTAATGTGTTGTTCTCATTAGTAGTGTAATGGTAGTTTTTGATTGGTTCTTGGAGCTGCGGCGACTATTTAGCAGTTATTTTGGTAATAATAATTTTTCATCCAGAGCTTATGTCGAGTTCTTGAAGCAGCAGTGGCCGATGGCGAAGACATGCTGACTATGCATTTAGATCATTTGTTGAACGATGCTTTTGACAAGGTATTCGATGCTTGTCTAGTTAGATATTTGCTTTACCTGAAAAAACTATACAGACCGAAACCATTTAGTTGCTTGCCATTCAAAATCACTCGGTGTGGTAAAACGTCACATGATTGCATACCTTGCATCCCATTGTGTACCTTGTTGCTCATTAAAGTACTTTGGTTTGTTTTTCAGGCTTGCGTCATGCCGGACTTTAATAACCCGGAAACTGTGAAGAATTCGAACGAAGTTCTTCGATGCTTCGATACACTGTGTAAGAAATGTTTTTAGAAATGCTCTGGTACTTTGACCTGACCTTTCATCAAAACAATTTTCTCAATACCTTTATACTTGCAAGAAATGTTTTTTTAGAAATGCTCTGGTACTTTGACCTGACTTTTCATCAAAACAATTTTCTCAATACCTTTATACTTGCAAGAAATGTTTTTTTAGAATTGCTCTGGTTCTTTGACCTGACCTTTCATCAACACAATTTTTTCAATCCCCTTTCGTTTGTTTAAAAAGTGCTTGAATTAACACATTTTGCGTGCAGTTGCCTTTTAACAGTAAATCTCTTAAGCATAAGCTATGGCTGGTTGAATAAATAATCCCAGGTGGGCTCTGTTATATATGAATACTCTTGTCAATTATTCATGATATGATACAGTATTGTATAGAAATAAATAATGTATAATACGTATAATATATGTAATATATAATATATGAAATAAAATAACAAATGTAATATATAATATAAAACTTGTAAAATATAATTCATAATATAATATCAATACGTCTGAAAACGTAATGCAAAATATACTCAACGTTTAATTTGAATTTTTAAATTAGACCTTGACGAAATTCTGGGTTTATCGAATTCTTAAAACAACTGCAAAGCCAGTGCATGTCAAAATATACCAGCGCAGTTTGATTTTAAATTCAAAATGACTTCAAAGCAATGTTGTGTGTGATGTAATTTCAAAAATAAGTGTTATCAATTGGATTGTCTTGAATGAATGCGTTTTATCGTGATGCTTTGCGCGCTCATCCAATCATAGATGACCATTTATGGGGCATCCATAAATGACGGCATAATAGTTCTTGATGGAATAAACTAAACTCTGTAAATATTTAAACTTCTCTTTCTCTTCTATAGATATTTTATTTCTTAGTAAATTTTGTAATTGTTTTTGAACAAAAGCACGCCCCTCGTGGAAATCAACCCAATTGACAAGGCCAGCGTCTAAAAATAAAGATTTTCATTCATTCATTCAGTGCAACATTATGTCTTCTGTCAACAACAAGTCTAGCCCATCAACCACAGAGCGTGTTAAGCGAAGCGATGTAGAAGAAATAACGCGAGCGAAGTTTAAATAAAGACCATCACACATTTTGTTAGTCAGAAAACAATCCCTAAACTCTGTATCAAATGTCGAAAGTTCAATGCCAGAAATAAACACAAGCGCACAAAGCATTACTATATGGCTTCTTTAATGTATTTTAAAAGTAAACACGTCTAAGAATAAACTGTTTCAATTTATTGTTATTGATTATTTTGCCCCACATGTAAAACTTTTTTAATGAGTTTGTCTGCTGATTGCCTTGCCATTTTTGCACTGATCTCGCCTTACCTAAACGTACTTCCCCTTTTGTTTTCAGGCAAAGTATTCTCAGATCGTATAATATCGTTTCTGCTGTTAAAACTTGACAAATCTGGCGAGAAGGGGCGATTGGGAAGTTTATCTGTGTTAAAACAACTTGTCAACTTTTCAGGTATCTTTGTCTGCTTTTCGCTGTGTTTGCTGTGGGCTCGTTCATCTCTTAATCTCAGTAAACCAGTATAAATATTTCATGAAATTTGTTTCTGCAGGGGCTTATCTTGAAAACAAGAAACCTATTTTGGTTACCGGTGTTCAGGTTGTCGTCAATGACACGAGCTTAAAGGTTTGTTTAAGAATTTTCTAAGGTCTTGGAAATAGCGTTCTCTCCAAATGTTACGTGATAGAAAATGAAGGAACATCACAATTGCCGTTCGTGCATAAATGTGTACATTTGTGTTGTGTGTGTGTTTGTGGGGGGGGGAGAAAGGACAGGATGCAGAACCATGAGAAGTATGAATGAAAGAAACTTACAATGGGTGCTTGTACGACATTGTGATTGGGGGAGGACAGGTAACGGTACCATGAGAAGTATCAATGAAAAAAATTACAATGGGCGCTTGTACGTCATTGGGATTGTGGGGAGGGGAGAGAGGCGCCGGATGAAGAACCATGAGAAGTATCAATGCCTATGATGATTTTTTGTGCTTGGTATCGTAGGTGAAACAAATGCTTGCTCAACTGATCGCAGCCATGGCGCATCATGGGTATCTTAATCTAGAAGGAGGCCAAAGACTCGTTGAATTCATCGTCAAACAATGCGCCATCAATGTTGAGGAGGAGGTGAGTGTAAATGCGAAGGAAGACAACTAGGATGTCTTCCTTTTTCGCGTCGTACATATCGATTTTTACGATGTTTGAGGTTCTCGTCTACTTCTATCGACTTTTTTTTATCTAGAAACAAAAGAAGTCTTCCGAAAGTGATTCTGTATCGAACAAGTCTATTCAGGCCATGTGTGAGAGCATTTTACGGCTCGTAACGACGACCATTGAACAAATGGAAAACGTAAGTACATAACTGTAGTGTGTCACGTGCTAATAATGAGCTTAAGATCCCACGACGCACCTTTAGCACGACGATGTCGCCGAAGCTAAAAAGAACGGCGACGTCGTAACAACAGAACTGATTAAGAAAATTAATCACCAACGCCATATGTATTTGAAAAGCGATGACTAGCTTTGGAAAATATAGGGAACAACTTGCTGTTGCATTTGATGTAAACTTTATAAACGCTAAAGAGTTGTTGTTATTGTGGGATGCAAACAGTTTCTTTGCCCATATTTAAATCCACAGAAAAAAAACAAACAACCTTGACGACGCCGTGAATTTGACAAAAATCGAAGCGTCGTAGTGACACTACGTGCGGGTTTTCAAACAGACGCATGCGCAGTTATCGAAATCAAGAGATCATACTTCCATTCAGCGTCGTCGTCAGGGCGCGTGGCGTGAGCTTAAGCTCGCTAAAACAAAGCGGTGCCGCAGCCATTTTGCTCTTGCTACGTATTTACTTTGGTGTTCACTAACTATAAAAACAATGGATTTCCAAAGAAATAAGCAATGCTAATGATCTGAAATTCAAACAGCACGACTGAAGTTTCGAGATGCCACAAACTCTATTTTCTTTTTAAACTTCCTCAAATGTTTTGCCTGCCGCGTGCGATTTAACTTGCTTTGTAGTTTATGTGTTTCACAGTTATTAGAGTTGTGGAAGCTGTACCCTTATTTCATTGATTTGGTTCGAATTCTTAAAACATGGCATGTTTTGGCATGAGTAACTGCGAAATTTGACAAAAGAAAAATTTTCAATGAATTCGTTTCTGACATGTTGGCAAGCACCGATTCATACTTACTTGACGCAGTTAAATTCTTACATGTCGACTCCCTGTTATGATATCATGTTTTTGGCATTAGGAATTGCCAGTTTCAAGACATTCATTGCAGACATTTAAAGAAACACTGCTTCATATCTTATTGATGCAGTTAAATTCTTTCAGTTCAACTTCTACATTACATTGTGATAAATCTATCCTGAATATTTCATTGATATGCTGCAAAGTCCCCTTCAAAAAAAATTTTTTCGGCATTAGGATGAGTCAAATTTGATAAAAAAGCCAATTTTCAAGACATACATAGCTGACATTAAACAAGCACCGCTTCATATCTACTTGACCGAGTTAAATTCTATTTGTTCACTTTGTACAATATGCCGAGTCTATTTTCAAGATTTCATTGATAGAGTGCAAATCCATAGAGTGTTGAAACGGGCCATACTTGACTATACAAAAGATCAATTGTTATTATTGCAAAAACTTTGTTTTGTCAAAAGGCTTATATATTTCAAAATTCAATTGATTGTCATTAGAAGCCCTTGGATGCGTTTGTTTATGTTCCATTCAACTTACGTATAAACATTAAACATGCAGTAAGAGTATATTGTTATTATAAATAAATTAAAATTGTACAAACGTGGTTGGCTTAAATTATAAGTCGAAAAGGCAGAAGTTGTTAGAACCTTTGCACTAATAAGTTCAATTGAAAATAGTTGTTTTCTGCAGTTTATAATATGCATACGTGACAATTGCCTCTCCCTTCCCCAAATGCCGATGCTATCTACGCCAATTTTAATCATTCTATCAGACTAAGTTTTGTGGTGCTCTTCATAACCTAATTTCTTCATTGTTGACCTACATTTCTTTTCTATCGTCCTGACCTGTTTCATACTCAGACCTGTACTCCATTCTGACAAACTATGCGTGAGGTTTTGCCTCGTTTTCGAATATATCCCCGTTTCCATCTCTTCCACGGATGCAGGCCATTCGAAGCCTTTGGTGATAGCATCTCTTAGCCATGATCTGGCATGCTTACTTTTAGGCAAACCCAAATCACGGCATAGATTGTCGAATACCTCAAAAGGACTGGTAACGAGATCCTCGTATTTGACTAACGTAAAAGAAATAGCTTCTCCATTGCTTTTGTATTTTTCCACGAACTCTCTGTTCTTCCATTGTTGCCGACAAATTTTTCTCGCCTCTTCAGCAAACCAATAATCGCTTGCGTTTTCCATGGTTTTCGAGCGCGTGTACAAAATCGCGCGTGGGTCACGCACAAGCTCCAAGATGCGCTTGGCGCTCAGCATGTTGCTGTTCATTCGTATTAACGTTTCAATATTCGTCATTTGGGTCGTTTTGACCACTGTATGACTATGCAGTTTACAAATTGCGGTCAGTGTTGGGGATTGAATCTTCGTACAATATCTTATGTTGTAGTAGTGGCCTTTTTCTACTCGTGGGCAAAGTGGAGGATCGGAGAGTTCACGACTTGCCAGTCGGTGAATTAGCGCTCTGTAATGAAGCGACAAAATTTCGCGTAAAATTGAAACGTTCGAAGTTGCAGGCAAGTATTCCTTGCAGGAAACTCACTAAGAGTGCCGTGTACTCCTTTGGGTGTCTGTTTTCTTTGAAATATTCAAGCGAATGAAATGGCTCAAACAAGTAAAACACGTCACGATGGTGATTGAAGAAATCTCCGAAGAACAACTCGCCCGAGTTTGGTATGGAAGTGATGAGGACATTTTGATGTCGTTTGTTGCCCACGGTCGCCAACGACCAATCTTTTTCCGTTACTCTTTCCAGTCTCTCGTGTATGCCGACCGTTACCTGGAGTTTCTTAATTTCTTTCAATAGTTTTGTGTTGTTCGAACGTAGTTCGTCAATCATAATTTGTTGCGTTTGACGAGTTTCAGAAGAATCTTCGAGCATTTCGATTTTAAAGAATCTAGTTTCTTTCATGTCGTAAATGCAGACTGGAAGAAATACGGACACGAACAAAGTGTAAAGAAAAAGAATGAAAGCCAGAATTACCGCCCATTGCCACCAAGACGTTGTAGCTCTCGTGTTGAATGTGTTTTTATAGAGGCAGATGAACATATCTGGTGCATTTCAACGATGTTCAAAGTGTTCACATTATTGTCGAAACGATGGCAGACACGCGACTGTTACCTTGTTGCTCACAACCTATCCCCATTTTAAAGTATTTATAAACATCTTTCGTTTCGTTGTTGTCGTATTTAAATTATGGTCTTGTTTCAATTGTTTTTCACCGCTACAATTGACCACGCGTTTTTTCTACGTTGTTTACCTGCGTCAATTTTAGCACCTGTTTGTCTTTTTGACGGACCTATAAAACATGTTTGCGAAGAGGAATTTGATTATCGTCCAATTGCTAATGTCTGCGCTATCCGTCCAAGTTAAAGAGGCATAAAAAGCCAGACCGCAAGTTTGATCGTGCTATATAAATATCAGACTATCGTGAACTTTGTTTATTTACTTTGAAATCTATCGTTTTTACATTAAGTGAACGCTAAAATCTTTACATAACGCGACCAAACTTGTGATTTGGCTACGTCACTTTCCACCGGCTTGGAAAATGTATAGATAATAGGATACTTCGTACAGGGTTGAGTAGACATTAAAAGCGCGTGCTCATTTTCACTAATACAGAGGATGGCTTTGAAAAAATGGCGAAAATTTAAAGTTTTATATGCGTCTTGTTCTGATACATAGCTATTTTGTTATTTAAAGATGACCTAAAGTTATCTATTCGGAATTTGTTTTCTGTTTTACATTTTTTTGAATTGTCGGCTAGAAATGGTTTATATCCCCATTAATGTTGAATTGAAATAAAAAGTCGGTCACATCAGTTTTTTCTGATACGTGGAACTTTTTACTGCTTTGTCAATTAAAGATTGATAGATAAATCTTGCTCTGTTTCAGAGTTTGAATTTAGTAACTTCAAATGTCATTCCACCTTCAGTCTAGCGATTGAACTTTGTGAGCGAATGAAATTAATATTGCTGTATCATAATTGTTGCTGTAGCTGTAGATTCCGGTTTAGACTCTATTTCATTATAATTGCTGCACATTCTGATTGGCTGTTTAGAGAGCTGTTTGATTGTGATTGGCCATTTAGGTAAAATTCATCACAACTGTTTCGCAGAAATTTTTCAACTGTATGTTTTTTATATGTATTTGTAGGTTCTATGGCCGTACCTGTTGGAGTTTCTTGTTCATGCCGAATACACGTGCGCCATAACTTCCGTCTGTCAAAACTTGTGTATTTTAGCGGGAAAGAAACGCGAACGTGATTTAAACGATTTTTCAATAAATTTTGTCCAACATGGTGAGTAACATCATTATGTGTTTGGATGGCGGAAGAGGAGTAGTGGGGTTTTGATGGGTGAGGAAGGGGTAGTGTTGGGATGGGTGAGGGTGTTGTAGTGTATGGATAGGTGAGGGTGTATGGCTGCTAATGTTTCCCATCTCATGTTGAAAAACTGAAGTTTTCTACTTTCCTTTGCTCTTCGTACAAAATAACTAATTTCATTTATCATTTTTGCAGTCAACTTACCAAAGGCTGTACCGATTATGGCGAGACTTCTAGTACGTATGTGTGTTACGTCAAACGATATAATGTTGGTTTTGCTTCTAGTACGTATGTGTGTTAAGTCAAACGATATAATGTTGGTTTTGCTTCTAGTACGTATGTATGTTACGTCAAACGATATAATGTTGGTTTTGCTTCTAGTACGTATGTGTGTTACGTCAAACGATATAATGTTGGTTTTGCTTCTAGTACGTATGTGTGTTAAGTCAAACGATATAATGTTGGTTTTGCTTCTAGTGCGTATGTGTGTTACGTCAAACGATATAATGTTGGTTTTGCTTCTAGTACGTATGTGTGTTACGTCAAACGACATAATGTTTGTTTTGCTTCTAGTACGTATGTGTGTTACGTCAAACGATATATTGTTGGTTTTGCTTCTAGTACGTATGTGTGTTACGTCAAACGATATAATGTTGGTTTTGCTTCTAGTACGCATGTGTGTTACGTCAAACGATATAATGTTGGTTTTGCTTCTAGTACGCATGTGTGTTAAGTCAAACGATATAATGTTGGTTTTGCTTCTAGTACGTATGTGTGTTACGTCAAACGATATAATGTTGGTTTTGTGTTGTTTGATAGTCTGGTTTTAATGTAAGGATATTTTCCCCACGAACACTGAATATAATACAGAACACAAGTTTGTATATTATTCACTTCGAATTGATGACCCTAATGGTAAACTGCTGATTCGCTAACATTTCTCTTTTGCATCTTATCTTAAATGATAGAGAAAAAACACAAATGTTCTGTATGAAATAATGCAGTAGGTTTTGAACTGATTTCTATCGAATTTAGTTTCTCATGTGCTTTTAGGTGCTGGCTGGACATCCATTCACGGGGAAAGAACGTGGAAAGCACGTGCTCAGTTTGCTTCTGCTACTCTCCCCCATCATACATTCAAATGTGAACGAACTTTGGACGACTATCATTCCAAAGCTGACTCAATACATTGACGGTAAATAAAAGTATGAAGAGGAATAAAAAGTCTGTACCCCGTTTAACTGGAATATGAACTGGTGGAACATTACTTCCGGTCAAAATTTTTAACAAAGTTCCAGTCTTTCATAGCATCGCGTTTCTTCGGGGTGAATTTATCTCCAGTGGAGGTTAACTTGATGATTTTCATCGATGCTTAAATTCTGTTCACAGATAACGAAGAAGGCGAAAAGGAATGGGAACAAAAATCTTGGGAAGATTTACTCCTGAAGGTGGCTATCTTATAAAATTGTTATTTTGATTGACTGAAAAAGTTTCAGTGGAAGTCGACTGCTAAAGTAGTAGGTCTAACCATGATACCCTGCACGAAGTATTACTTGAAAGCTGGAATGCGATGATTTGTTTTAGTAAATATTTTCAATTTTCATGGAGTGTAGAATTTTTTTCATTTCTTCAAAACAAGTTACCGTAGTTAATTTGCTTTGTCTCAACTTCTTATTAATTAACGTTACGATTTTTTTGGCAGTTCTTCTCAAGAACTTTGGACGAGGTCGATGACGAGGACTGGAGTGTGGCGGTGGGGACAGAATTGGGAAATCAAATACCACTTTACAACAATCAATCTAAAGATAAGGTCAGCTGTGAATGTGTGAGGTTTTAGATTTTCTTTCATATTATGATTTTCTTACTATAAATGATTTGAGGACTGATGTAAGTTTTTTTTGGTGCAGTAAACGTAGGGATGTCTTAAGTTATTACCGCCATCTTCCACAGTTGAGTTAACGTGCACAGCGTGCGTTCTGCTCATGCATAAGCGCCTAAATTGAATTGCAATTCGGTGTTACGTAAAAAAGTGCTGCTTTTAAAGCAGCTGTCAATCTCAAATGATTTCCAAAGCACCCACGAAATGATGATGTGCAGCCGAGTTGCTGCTTTTCACGACAGGTTTATTTTTAGTAAACTTAAATTAACAAATATTTAATAAATACTTTGACTCCGCATTAATATTATTATTTGCGTTTTGTCAGAGCACTTCCATGTATCGTTACGACTTATTATGTGGTTTTCGTTTCTGCTCTCAGATATATTCTTGAAAGTTTGTACATATTCAAGAGAAGTATTAAGGTGGTCATATACAAATTTAAGGCACTATTTTTTCTAAAAACTCAAAATTTTTTTTTGATCATTATCGGTACTTTATGCTATGGTTTTTCTGATTGTTCTAATCGTTTTTCGTTAAAACTATCATTTACCCACGAAAAATGCTTTCAAAGTTGTCTTCTTAAAGTTTTTGGTCCATAGCAACGCCTTAGCAACGGATTTTTACCCAAATTTCACCCCAAAAACTCCCCTTCTAAAGCGAATTTTTTGTTTCTACTTTTGGTGGATGTTATTCAAAGCCTTCTCGTTAAGTTACATCGTGATTGGTTGCATTTTGGCACCATGGTAACTGTTATAATTTCATATCAAAGCTGATCGCGTGCTCGCACAGTTCGAAAAGTTGCTCTTCAAAAAACATTATAATTTTGTATCTCTGAGGAGAAAAGTCTTTTTGTTAGTATTTCGGAGCTTTCCTTTGTTATTCCGATAATAATCAAAGCGAAAAATAATGGGAATAGTCGAAATAGAAAGAGAAAAGCGGTTAGAACTCCGCCATCAAAAATGGCAAAGAAGTCAAAACATGGCGGAAACGATGACGCAAACCCTGGATCTTCTGCAAAGAAAATAAGTCATCAAACGAGGAGCATTGGCTCAAATTTTAATAATCTACACACTGCAAAAGAAGGCACCGTGTTTATGGACTTGTCTTTGCTGTTTGGTGTTTTTGATGAATTTTTAAAATGCCCTGATTGCGAAAGCAGTGTGGAATCCCATGTGGACTTGAGGAAAAGGAAAGGCTATGCGCATTATATTCTTCTTCAATGTAAGAATAAAGAATGTGAGTGGAAGTATAGTTTCCACACATCTAAAAAGCAAGGCTGTTCACACGAAGTTAATGTCCGAGCAGTCCTAGCATTTCGAGAAATTGGTCGAGGGCAAGCTGCAATGGTCACATTCAACAAGGTCATGAATATGGCTCCACCACCAACTTGCCGAAGCTTTACATTGATTCAAAATGGAAAGCTATTACCAGTTGTTGAACAACTGGCCAATGACAGCATGCTCAGCAATGCTATGCATGTTAAAGAGGAAAATGGAGCACCAGAATGTGGAATATCTTTGGATGGTACATGGCAAAAGAGAGGCCATGCATCCCATAATGGTGTTGTTACGGCAATATCTTTGCAAACCAAAAAAGTGTTTAGACGTGGAAGTGCTCTCAGACAGGTGTCAGCAATGTGCCAAATGGAAAAATAGGACAAGTGATCCTAAATACAACGAGTGGAAAGCTGGTCATCAGTGCAAGATCAATCATGAAGGAAGTGCTAGCAGTATGGAGACTTCTGGAGCTGTGCGAATTTTCGAGAGGTCTTTGCTTCTAGAGGACTGAAATACAAGGAAATGCTTGACGGGATTCTTCAACATATAATGCTATTGTTGAAAGAAAGCCATATGGAGAAGAGTGCATTCCAAAAAAGTTGGAGTGTATTGGTCACATTCAAAAGAGGGTTGGGAGTCGTCTTCGTAAGTTGAAGAATACAACGAAAGGGTAAAGCTTGCTGACGGTAAAGGATTGAGTGGAAAAGGAAGGCTTACAGATGGGAAGATTGATATTCTTCAAAATTATTATGGTTTGTCAGTAAGAGGAAACCTTCATGATGTTAAGGAAATGGCAAAATCGATAAAAGCTTCTCTCTATCATGTTGCATCAACTGATACTAATCCTCAGCATCATCTTTGTCCTGATGGTGAAGACAGTTGGTGTGGCTATAAGAGGAAAAGGACAACTACAAGCACAGAATAGGCATTCCTGAATGTATTGTTAAGGTCATTGAGCCCATATTTGAAGAACTGAGCAATGCTACTTTGTTGAACAAATGTACTCATGGCTTAACTCAAAATGTTAATGAATGTCTAAATAATATGATATGGGAACGATGTCCGAAGACTACATATGTTGAACAAGAGACTGTTGCTCTTGCAACATACTTGGCTATTCTTAAATTTAATGATGGGGACATAAATTTGTTAAAGGTATTGAGTGAACTGGACATAACTCCTGGAATGTTTACAAGTAAAGGGGCTCAAGAATGTGATCATCATCGGATAAAGTTGTCGGCAAAGAAGAGTTCAGAGAAGGTGAAAAAGCAAAGAAAAACATTAAGAAACATTAGAAAGAATTATATTGACAATGCTAAACATAAGGAAGGAGTTACTTATGAAGCTGGCAATTTTTAGGGCTGCCAGAGGTACAATATAGGTTATGTAAACTTTAAATGCTGTTTTCTCATTTTGGTGATTTTAGCACTTAGGAAAAACTTTGTGACATCATATTATCTTTGTTATTTGTCAGAGATGCCTGAAATTTTGTATGTTGAAGGCTAGTAATATTATCTAGTGCTTGACATTTTCAAATTTTGATATTTTGCATTGTTGATGAAATATTTACTCGTTATGTCATAAAATGTGTACCAAAAATGCAAAATTACTGAAGAAAATCAAATTTTTGAATATATTTTTGTTTATAAAGAATTAATAAAAAATTGAAAAGTGTCAAGCACTAGATTATGTTCTAAGCTTTTAAAAAAAACTTTACTCATTGAATTTGGATCATTGGTTCCCAAGATATCATGTTCGCAGCGAAGTTCATTTATTGGCTAATTAGGGGCCGCCATGTTGGATAATTAGTGTAATTAGTGATTTTTTAATTTTTTTTTTCCATTAGTTAATTCTCTTCATTAAAGTCTTTCAAATACTGATAGTTTCTTATAACTATCTTTAAAAATGAAAAAAATTCAATTTTTTGTATATGACCACCTTAAACAACCGGCATTTCCTAAAAGGGGGCATCCCTATCGCTAAGAGGGGATTTCCCTCTTTTTGCCATAGTTTCTATTATCAGCAGCTGCTCCTTCTGAGAATCATCTATCGACTTTTCTTTGAGACACAATGTTAGCCGACGACGCGTTCTGTGTTGGTGCCTCTGTGAGTTATGTATTTTTATTTTTTGTACTCACCGTGTATAAGTATGAAGTCATGTTCAGGACTTGCGTCATTCTGGTGGCTTTACTTGGCTACTTTCTACCTTTTCTTTACGTAATTCCCTACGTCTTTGTTGCTTTACGAGTTTTTGTTGGAATGAATGTGGAGACAGATCAAAAACTTTACATAGCAAGGCTCATCGATTACAAAGACATGGACAAGGCGGATTTTAGTGGTTCCACGACTCTTAGTCATTGGGCGGTGGTGATACAAGATGTCGATCGTTATATCTACACGCATGCCGTGAGGAATGTTGTTTGGGGGGAAGGAGAAAAGAGGCGGTTCGAAGAAATGGAGCATAAAGACAAATATATTCTCCATCATGTTGGCTTTGTCACTCGAAAGAGGAGAGATGAGAAAATGAGTGAATTAGTTGATGACGAAGTTATGGCGTCCGGCAACAGTTGCCAGGAATATGCAGTCGACATTGCGTTTCAGCTGTCGAGTTCTCGAACTTACACTTTTGTTAAAATGATGACATTACCGCGATTTCGAAACACAGTTTTCTACGTTTCAATATTTTTGTCGATAGTTCTGAAAGTCTTCAACTACACCTACGCTGGTCTGTTGAATCCGCTTATCATTGCAAATGTGTTTTGTGCCTGGGAACTATCTCGTATAGGGATCCACAATGAAATGCAGAATTTTCATTTCCGATATATGGTCTCGGTTATAAGGGCATACGTTATATACCCGACAAGAGCGAACATTTATTCCCTCTTGCTCATTTGCGTGATGCTTGTGTATCTTTACCAGCGACTGGGCATAGAAGAGTGCATTATTTTGTCATGCTTACTGGCTGTGATTGCTCTCATGCGCTTGCGCTGAAAACGGTTCGAAGAAATTTTTGAATAATATAAATTTGGTCCACTTGTCCTCAGCATGTTTTTATATTTAAGAATTGAAAGATGTTTGCTGTGTTTGCACGCGCTTATGCAAACCGAGGAGACCTTTGGGGGAACTTGAGAGCTGATCAGTTGAAGCCTGAGACGCAAGGCCGTGGTTTGCACCCTTGCACCTGCTCGAGAGTTCTCACAAACACCTCCGAGGTTGCATCAGCCTGTGCAAACACGAAAAACATCTTTTACTTCTTTTATAAAATAGCACTAATGCGAAACAGATAAATTTAAAACAAATGTTTTCATTTTTTCTCCAACATGTATTCATGATTCATTTGCAATTTTCTTTTGTTGAATATCAGATCAGTTTACGCAGGCTAGTGGAAAGTCAGCGATAGACCATTCAGCGCACGCGTTTTACTATTTTTATTTTATAAAGCTCAATGCATAAATGTTGTATATTTTCAATTAATTTGACTGCAATTAGTTTATGCTGTAGGTTATATTTTACTTTCTTCATGATGTAAATATTATCGCTATGTTATCACTTAACATAATTAGTAAGAAAGGACAGTTTTAAAGTTGACATTTGACCATGAATTATCTAACTTTTACACCGTCATACACATATTTATGTAAATTTGTACGTGTTAAACTTTTGCACTTGAGATTAAGGTCTTTCACCACTCTTGAAAATAATACAATTTTTACAAAAAATTGGTCTTCATAAGATGCGTCGATGAGCCATTAATAAATAAGACATTTGCGAAGAAATACACCGGAAGAATTATTTGTAAAGCAAAAAAAACACAAACAAACGTAGCTATTTCATATCAACGTTGCTATTGTCATGCAAACTATTCCATAACTTGCGCTGAATATTTCTGTAGAAATTCTGTTATTCTGTACTCTGTAAGTTCAATGAATACGGTGAAAAATGTTAATCAATTTGCTGTAGTGTAGCCAGCTAGCAATTTTTGTCGTACTTTTTAGGTATTTTGGTGTTCACTGAATGTGAAAACTATAGATTTATGAAGACATAAGTGTTTATGATATAAAATTTGCAAAACACAACTTGCTGGCCGAGTTTGCCACTCTCGAGTTGGTACATGTTTATAAAATTTTGCTAGCCAACCGTCGTTTTGAAATTTAAACATTGGTCGTTGATCGTGTAAAGTGTTCGTCAATAGACATTTCATAGAAAAACCGTGTTGTCTCTTTCTCATATAATTTAAGCACTCGTTAATTTTCTTTCATGTAGTCCTTTTGAGTTGACGAAAATACTAAAACAGATGATCGTGCAAGCTAGAAATATGTCTTGTGTCCTAACTACGCGCTTTCTTTTAGAATTTTCTTTACAAATGCTCCGGTGTCGTCATGAAAGTTGTGTCAAAGAAATCGTTCATTCAGAGTCAACTTTCCGTCATTTTTTCTTCAACAAAGCACGCTGATAAAGACGAAAAGGAGGTGCGTCAAGTTTCATCTATTTTCATAGTGTTCTGTCGTATAGAAATGCTTTCACACAAAAGAAGAGCAGTATTTAGGTTAACGAACACTGCGCATGCGCGCAAAAATCCACGTGACTGTTTAAAAAGATGGCGGCATTTTGCTTCGCTAATACTTTTAGGTCAAAAATGTTTAAACGGCCACAGGGAGATATCTTACGACTTTAAGCGTTTTCTTTTTAAAAAATGCTGTAAAATGGACATGCCGCCATCTTTTCTACTACCATTAACTCCACTGTTGTGGAGGAAGCTTAGTCTTCAGGATATACATATGAGTGGTCGACACAATTATTGTTTAATTTCTATTGGCAAATACCCGGTAGATGGTTTGTTTCGTGACGGATCTTGGGTATGACAGTCTTTGATTTTCACACATTGTGAGACAAAGTGGTATATGTTGAAATACGACTAAAAATTATCATGTAATGCGTTTAGGGTTGCGCCATTGCGTACGGTTTCTGTGCGTCAAAAAATCTCGATGAGGTGCTGTTGAAACTGGAAACAATTACCAAAAATGAAATGGTCCCAAAATCGTCTGGATTTCTGGGTTTGATGAAGGTATTGCTATTTTTCGTACAGCGTAAGAGATTTTCTTGCCAATGCAGGACTCCCAAAACTGGGTGAATTCAACAGGGCACCCACAAATATCATTCCGAAATATCATATGGTCTTATGTGAAACTAAAATAGAAATTAGTAATATCTAAGATGCGAGGGATCAATTCAGCCTTGAGCAGAACAGTCCTGAACAGATATATGAACATAAAACATTTAGAGCCGATCTTCCATTTCACAAGTGTCTTATAATCATTAAATCACCTTTGACAATTCATAACGAATTACTAGCAATACAAAAGAGCGCGAAGGTGCTAACACGCATGTTTGGTTTTCCAGGAAATTGCTGTACATTCCACATTGCAGGCTCACAAGATTATCTAGAAAAAAATTATTTTGAGTGTATTCACCGTTAGTAAGCTTCAACAACATCCTCATATGACTTGTCCTTGTGGAACTGTGTTACAGCTACATCGATTACCTTTTTTTGAATTACAATTCCGTTCTTTCTGCAAAAGTTTATCTTGTTTCAAGTTCACTCACAGCTAAATTCTCAATTTTGTTTTCACTAAGTTTTGTTTTAACATTTTAGTAAGATGTGCCTACACGCAATCTTATATTTATTTTTGATCAATACCGACGCAATAATTGAGATGTTTTTTCTCTTAGGACAAATCCTCAGTTGACGTTGAAAGAATCAAAAGCACGGTCATGTGGTGTTTTGGTTACGTTGCTCTATACGGTCCACCGAGGTACTTGTTTATAATGATCATTTTTGATGTCAAGTGTTGTATGTCACTAATCTCGGACACTTAGTAGGAGAGGAGTGAAAAATTGAATCATGTGATTATCACAATATGCTTTTTGAAGAACAGCTTTTGAATTATCAATCTGCTTCTGGCTGCTTGTCACTGTCTAATGTTTGTTCAATATTTCAATTATCAAGCAGTTCTTTAAAAAAAATTGAAGATTTTTGCTTTCGAAATTTTTTGGTTATCTTGATTATTTACTACTATATATATTTGCACGCGTAAGTATTTACTGCTATATATTTGTACATTTAAGTACTTACTGCCATCTATATAGTTTCCCTGTGTATTTACCAGTATGAACACTTTGCCTAGTTTGATTGCTTCAAGATTAGAAACGAGTGTTTATCGTGTAATCAGTCCACATTTGGCTCAACCTAAGGTTTGTTTATTGAATATAAACTATGTGATAACCTGTCACGTGAATATTATGCAAAGTTATTTGTTTGAATATAATAGTATTCGAATTGGGTTTCTTTGTTTCATTGATATATCTTTTCGTCACGAAATCCGTCAATCAGTCTGATGCATTAATCTGCTGTGTATCTTCATTCATCCACAGGATTTAGGAGTAAGACAAAGTTTAATCCATTGTGTCGAGTTGATTGCCAGAGCGTGTCATCCAAATCATTTACAACAAGCAAAATCTACTTTTTCAAAGCGGAAAGAATTACTGCAACATATGATTGTAAGTTGGTTTTTCTTTCAATTCCTTTTTTTCTAGTCTTGTACTTTCATCAGCTCAGTTCCTTGGCATTTATAGTTTGAATCCACGTATTGTCACATGACCACATCACCATGACTATATCACCATGACCACATCACCATGACTATATCAAATATCTGTGATTATATGAAATAATTGCAATTTGTGTTCTCATATATCTAAGAAATAAAAGATGTTTGCAATTCTCCTTAATTGATTTAATTGGTCGAGCTTAGATCTGTTTAGCACAGGCTAATGCAAACACAGTTATGCACCAATCAGTGCACGCGGTTTTGTTGTGTTTATTTCATAAAGTGGGCTCTTTCATAAAATTTTAATTCTCTGTAATGGAGTTAGCCAATGGCTTCTCTATAATAGATCGAATGTAGAACGTCCAATAGCGACCAATATCTTGTTATTTTATTTATGTAGAACTACATTAACAACGAATCACATTCGACAATTAGTACGGAAACAAGAGGAATTGCTCTCAATGCATGTACTCAACTTATGTATCTTTATTTGTACTTCTTTGACTAAAGCCTAGGGGCAGGTTGTGCGAAACCTGTTTAGCGTTTTCCATTGGATAGTAGAATTTTCTAGCTTAGATGAAAAGTTGTTTATGACCTGACGACAGAGAAATTTTATAATCTTAGAAGCAATTTCAAAGAAAACATGCCAACAAGAACTTTTCAGTGAAAATTTGTCGAGGAAAACTTTTTTAGGAAAGCTTGTCGACGTTATGATATATTAAGGGAAAAAATACTTAACTTATGTGTCAGAAAACTTGATCCGAAACTCTCCGAAGAAAGTATTGAAACTTTGGTTTTATCGACGGCCAGATCTGTATACACCGTCGTAGTTGATGAGAAAACTACTGCCGATGAGGTATGTGTTTTAATTTCATGAAATAAAATGCTAAACACGCTCACGATAGATTTTATTATAATTCAACCTTCTTTCATTGTGTCGTCTTTTGATGAAAGCGTATCATCTCAAACGTACTTGGCAGTCAGTGGTTTTGAGAAAATATTGTATTGTCTCCCTCAAAAACATTTGTCGAAATCGGTGGTTTTGAGGGAGAATGGTTAAAATATCTATCGTAGTCAGTGGTTTTGAGTGAAAAAGATCTCTCGAAATCACATCCACCTCCTGAATATAATTTGACCTTATCTTACAGTTGGCAAAAGATTCTCCTCAAAAATTATTCGCGGCTGCTTTGGAGGCCCATGATGATTTGATGAGTGAAGTTGTCCGCAAAGATCCGTCTCCTGTGACATTGGATAAACTTCTCAAGGTATGTTTCCTTTTTTCCTTTTTTCTTTGTGGGGGGGATACGTGGGCCTTTTTTGTATTTGACGATTTAATAGTGTTATTAAATTTGGTATACTCCTGTGACATTGCATGAACTTGTCAAGGTACCGTTTTTCGCGGGGGAATACTTGAGTTTTTTGTGTGGAGATAGTTGGGGCAATTTTTTGTACCTTACGACATGAAAGTTTTGTTAAATTTTGTGAACTGCTAACGGTTTGTATTGTCGATGGTGGGTGACGTGTGATCCTCGACCTGTTAGTCATACTCTTCTTAAAGACATCCCTTGGTCCATGGTATAAGGCCTCGATATATTTTCTTTGTTTTTTATTTACAATTATGCAGTGTCTTCACCAACCTTGGTTGTGCAGTGACGCGGAAATTACGAGACAAAGATCGCTGAAAACGATGATCAGAGTTTTGCAAACCTACGAAGAGGTTGTCGCACCTACTTCTGAGGTATTGAATCTTTTACATCTGCATGGGAAAATCATCTATAATCAGAAATAATCAATATTTTTTAAACATTTTAGGAGTAGTAAATATACAAGACCTATCTGCAATAAAATATATCAAAAGTATTTAAAGTACATAACCACTACCTTATGGGGTAATTGGGTCAGGTAGATATAGAAACGAAATTTTCAAATGTCAGCAAAACAGGGTATGGTTTGTCCTTAGAATCACCTTCTTAACAATTGCCACGCTCATCGACCCACACTTTTCCTCAACGCTATTGTTGTGTCGATTGTTAGCAGACTTCTATTTTTTCTTCTCAAGGACAACTTTTTCGTTTTTGGCAACGTCTTGGCTTATTTTGTTCCTCGTTGCACGGATCCTTGCACCGGCATTCGACAGGATGCATTGTCTGCAGTCCAAACGGCTTTGTCTATCGCTGCTAAATATGACAAAGGTTGGTGCATATAGGTAAAATGTGATACAGGATACTACCTTTAATATTTATCATATTATTGACGAGTTACCTTTTATTGTAGTACGTGATGTTGTGTTTAATATAAATATAAATAACAATTACGATTTACGAGTTACACTTGCTTGTATTATATTAATCAAAGCATTAACGAGTTACACTTGCTTGTATTATATTAATCAAAGCATTAACGAGTTACACTTGCTTGTATTATATTAATCAAAGCATTAACGAGTTACACTTGCTTGTATTATATTAATCAAAGCATTAACGAGTTACACTTGCTTGTATTATATTAATCAAAGCTTTGACGAGTTACACTTGCTTGTATTATATTAATCAAAACATTGACGAGTTACACTTGCTTGTATTATATTAATCAAAGCATTAACGAGTTACACTTGCTTGTATTATATTAATCAAAACATTGACGAGTTACACTTGCTTGTAATAAAAGATGGTATCTTTTGTATTAATAAAAACATTGACGAGTTACACTTGCTTGTATTATATTAATCAAAACATTGCCGAGTTACACTTGCTTGTAATAAAAGACGGTATCTTTTATATTAATCAAAACATTGACGAGTAACCATTGGTTGTAATTAAGGATTAACAATTTTTTCAATTAATCTAAGTTAACATATCTTACAGATAAGTAGTCTTCCTTTTATATAAATATTATATAAGTTTTTTAACTATATATATTCTAAGTTCTTATAATGAACTGCAATTTATGCTTGAAATGGAGAAATGGATTTGCTCTCTCTTACTATCTTAAGAAAAGAATTCCGTTCGCTGTAAGGGCGATTGATACCAACAAAGGAATAATTTTGATGTGATTGACGAAATGATTGATATCAGTAAAGGACTTTAATTGTATTTTTCTGTTGATATTTGACCGTATGCATTCGTCATTTTTTAAGACAAGGCGAACCAAGAAAAAAAGGAGAAATTGACGAAAGCGTTTGATGTTCTGAAGCAAAGAGCTCAAGATGATGATAGTAACATTCTGTTTTCAGTTGCCAATGATCTGGCGAAGGTATAATCACTGAAATATAATACATGGAACGCTACCTGTAATACAAAAGCCTGATAATTTTTTGAAGCCAAATCTTACACCCAGGCACGCGAGATTGCACCCAGCCACGCGAGATTACACCCAGACACGCGTGCGTAGTTCGATCAATTTTCACTCCGCGAGAAAATCACAATTATTTGCTTTAGGTAGCGTTCCATGTATTTTAGTTCAATGGGTTTAATGGCCCACTTGAAAATTTACATATTTACTGTACATAGTTTGCTACATGATTTGTCGTTGATGTTATACATATCTGTGGACTATGGATTTCTTCTTGGAAGTAACACCCGTGATCTGTATGTATGACGTCAAATTTACCATATTTTCTGATATCTGTATGTATGACGTCATATTTACAAATAGCTCCTGATATCTGTCAATTATTGACAAGAAAATTGCGATGTTTGCCACCGTTTCTTAAAACGCTATGCCAAAGCTTTTGGACAAAAAGGATGCGCAAAGCACTTAAAAAGCGACGAAACTGGCTATGAGCATATGTACAACAAATTTAAACTATACGAACTTGAATAAACCGTCTGACAATGACAAAGTAGCGAATGTTTGGAAATGTTTAATATTGATATGTTTTAATATTATTTCAGTTAGTTAAAGTGAGCAAATTATTGAATTCGGCTTTCTCATGATATCAAGAATTATTCAGACCTCGGTCAATGTTACTCACCTCAGTTTCGCTTCGGCAAATAACATTGACCTCGGTCTGAATAATTCTTGATATCGTGCTTAACCTCATTCAGTAAATTGCTTAGTATCAATCTTATTTGTCTATCAAAACTTAAGTTATTAGAACCTATAAATTTGATTGTAAACACGGAGAAAACACTCATAAATATACGGCAAACAAAGTTTTACCGCTTTGTTTTCCAGTTCCTCAGTAAGAGAGTGAGTGGTGATCAACTTTCATTTTTAATCAACGGTTTAATCGAAGCTCTCAGTGATACGCAGACTCATAGTTCGAGTGGCGCTTGTGTTGTTCTCAACAGTCTATTTCGCATACGTGGATCAGAGCTTGGTGGAGAGGTATGTAGTTTCTATTCCACTTCACGTGACTAGAGGAAGGTCCAATGCAGTAACATACTATAAAATGATAAAGACTTGCTAAACTAAAATCACTTAGCACTTCATTACTAAAACCGACCGATGATTATTGCAGTATGTGCAGTAGCTTCCACGTGTGAATTTGTAGATTCCTTCCTTGGCTACAAGAATTCACAATAAACTACCTGAAATTACTCATATAAAGACGCGAACGGGGACGTTGCGATGTTTTCGTACTCTTGGCAGTCATCACTTGGTCCCGTTGTTGAAGACCTTGCTCGATTTCCCCCTACCCATGAACTGGTAGGTCTATTTGCATTAAATCATTAACCGTCTGACTTCAGTGGCAAAGCTCTGTCAAGTGAGAATTTCGATCCAATTTGCTTTGTAATTTTCAGGGACACCGTTGATATTTGGAAGAGTTTAGGGGGAGAGCCTTCTCTTGTTCCAGAAGTACTGGATCATCTTGTCAATTTATTGAACGTCACGCTACCGTATCAGGAGAAAATAGGGAAAGACGACAGTAAGAAAAGAACAGCTACGCTACTTGCTATGGCGGTAAGTACTACTGCGCATGTCTAATGTTTCCCCCATGTTCTATTGCATCCTTTTCTGTTCCACAAAGTACATTGCCAAAAGTTGGGCAAAGCTCGTTGGTAAAGCAAGATGAATATGTGTTTAAAAGCATGGGATGTTGAAGTCATGCATTTTTATGCGTAGCTTTACCCGAAAATTTTGCCATAGCGCTCAAAGTCCAATCAACTTTTGCGCACACGCGCACATGCGCGAAACAAACAACATGTGAATCAGTAAAAATACGCTTCTTCCAATTTATTTTGTGAGCAATGGATAGGAGTATCTTTTTAGGTCACTTACGCCTTCAACGAGTTGTTTTGGTCGGAAGAAATCACAGAACTTGTGTCGAAACAGTTTCCAAGATTATTTGCGTGCCTCTTGATACGAATCGGTACATGCATCGATCTTCAACCTCCCGTTTTGTCGAAAGAAAAGAAAGACAAGGGGAAGTCACCTGAGTTGCAACCTTTGAAGTAAGTTGATAGCGTTCAATTCTGGTTTCGTCGAAAATGTTGTCAATGTTTCGTTTAGTGCAAGAACGTAAGGAAGAGAAATTTCTTTTTGATACTTTGCACAAGTTTGTCTCTCCCTTTTTGTTGTGTAAATAAAACATTTCCTTTACAGGTCAGCATTGGCTACGATGAAAATATTCTTAATCCGCAGTCAAAGACTCGAGCTGTCCGAGTTTCTTGATGCTGAAGAAATCTGGAATATGTTTGAGGACGAGGAAACATTTCCCGAAGGTGTTTGCGGTCTCGCGAGGTTTGTCACGCACCGTCTCTCACACACTTTGAACCAGAAGTGGATTTAGAGGAGGAGGGTTGGGCTGTGCGCACCCCACCCTCCCCCCTAGCCTTGGCTAGAATTTCACAAAAACACCGTGAAACAAGCCACGGAAATCAAATCCAAACTAGATTGACTGACTGACATCATATAAAAGACACTCACAAAAATTGATGACACTCACAAAAATTACTTTGTGTCCATACGTGCTTTTAACTATAGTTGAATTTTGACTGTTTATCTTGTTTTATTGTCATCACAGTTTAAAACTTTGGTTTTCTTTTTTAATCATGTATATTTCAATTTTGAAATCTCTTGCTTTATCAGAAAGTGTTTTTCGTTTGTCTTAGTCTGATGAATGAACAAAGTCGACAAAAAGTTGCAATCATCATAAACATTTATGACTTTATTTCATCATATAGAGGTGTATGCAAGACCGAAGCACAACATGTTCGGGATTTGATCAATGTGTTTACTCCAGTCATGTCGAGTGCGTACGACAATCAACGAGTTGTGGTCACAGCATTCTTTTCTGAAGTTAGTAAAACAAAAATATTTAAATTTTAACATCCATATATAGCAGCTATTCTATGTTAATGCGTGTTCAATAATGGCTTTGAAATCACCCATGTCGGGTTCTGTTGTGTCTTGTAAGACATGTGAAAAATCTATTAATGAAGAAACTGAAAAAGATGAATTTGAGTTCCGACATACGAAGCCAGACGATTATCGTCAACCATTGTATAAAAAACACCAGCTTTTATGTCGGATCACTCTATTGAAACGCTAGACTAACGTAAGCATCATTAAATAACTTCTCGTGAAAATTTGTGACTTATTTTTGCAAGGAATTATTTGCCACTAGATGACTTCCATCTGAATCTCCATAACTGAACACGCGTAAAGGTTAACTTACAACATGAGATGACATCGGATAAAGATTTGTGGCTCAAACAAAAAGGGATTCGTTTGCACAGCTTTGTCACTCTTAAACAATTTTAGCTAAATCGCACGACCCATATAGCTGAGTACACAAGGAATTCGAGTTTCTTCATCAGATTCTAGTCAATAAAGTCGCTTATTGAATATACAAAGATGCGTGTCAAGAAACACAAAAAGATACCGTCCTTATTGTTTAAACACCTGAACGTCATTTTTTTCAGCTAATCAACTGTCAGTGCGGTGGGGAACTGGAACTAGTGGATATGATCGTTGCAAACATGATGGGACGTTTGGTCGATAGCAATCACGTGGTTCGCAAGTATTGCATTCGAGGCCTGGGAAATGTTGGCAACACACATGAAACTATGGTAAGTAACGTGTCGTAAATGATGTAATATTTCTTTAAAGAGGAAATTGGCGAGTTTGGTGAACGTAAATCTTGGTGAATATTTCACCATCTTCCCGTTCGTTACGCCATTGTAAATTCTGCCAGACAGAAGGAAGCATCTCAGCCTTTTTAAGGAGGTTCTCTACCGGATGGTCATCGTGGAAGTCTTTATCGTCGATCTTAATCTATCTAGTGAGATGAATACATTTGCATTTAATATTTTACCGAATCAATCCTTAATGGAAATCAACTCCTAACCAGGATGGTCTCACTAAATGATAAAGGTTAAAGTGCATAGTTCTGTGTCAACTGACGAGGCATATTTGCTATCTTTTGCGCAATCAGTTCGTCAAAATAAACTGTGGCTTCTCAATTTTATGTTCAAATACTTTGAGAATAACATTGTTTGTTTTGAATTTTAAAGACTATAATTTTACCAATGAACTGCTTGTAGGGTGTATGGAAATGTTAATATGTTCAAAAAGAGCTGCAGTAATTTATTTTTACGTACTCTAGATTAGTCACTTTGCTCAATCAAGATTTCTCTTGCAAATTTCATTTGAAAAAATGAAAAGAAGACGACCTTAACTGCACCATCCTTTTCACATTACTTTTGTAATACTTCATGTGTTGTAAAATGAATCGTTTCACCTGTATTACTCCAGGTTCAAAAACACGCCACAACCATACTATCTGCAATGATGACGGGAATGGACGATCGTGATGACCCGGAGTCCGATCTCACCCTCGAAGCAATGGCGGGCCTATCGAAAATCTTAGCTGTCGTCGATGAGAGCAACGTTCGTCACATTTTCATTAATATTTGTCTTCGTATCCGACCTTGTTTCATAAAGGTTTGTGTTTGTTATTGTAGAAAGACGTTTGCTATGAATAAGATTTGTCAGCTAGCCATTTCATCATACTTGTACGAATGTGTCAGCGCTTTTCATGGCGGCATTGCTGGAAAATGTAAAAGTTCCTTCTTCTGGGACTAATTCCAGTTTCAGTCACATGCTCAAAATTTCGATTTTTTAACAGGAAAATATAGGGTAAAAATCTCGTTATCGTAATAAATTTTTTCTAAAACATCTGCAAGCAATAGAAATTTTTAATTTTTAACTAGTTTATACTCACGCTACTTTCCCTAGTTAGCTAGTTTTGATAAAATATAAGTTAGGTGATTGTCGCTAACTAGTAACATTATTTATGAATCACGAAGTTGTTAACTCTACAAAAACGTTTGCCTAAAAATTGCAAATAACTTCATATTATTTAAATTTCCTTGCTTAACTTAACAAGCAAATAACTTACTGTTCTTTAGCGAACGTTGATTAGATTGGTTAACATTTTACAATTTGAAATTTTTATGAAGGTGTTTTGATTTCACAGTTGAGCTGATAAACTGAAATCTCGATCTGCTATTGAGATTAATATTTTATAGTTTGAAATCCTTCAGCATTTTTATGAAGGTGTTTTGATTTCACAATTGAGCTGATAAACTGAAATCTAGATCTGCTATTGAGATTAATATTTTATAGTTTGAAATCCTTCAGCATTTTTATGAAGGTGTTTTGATTTCACAATTGAGCTGATAAACTGAAATCTAGATCTGCTTTTGAGATTAATATTTTATAGTTTGAAATCTTTCAGCATTTTTATGAAGGTGTTTTGATTTCACAATTGAGCCAATAAACTGAAATCTGGATCTGCTACTGAGATTAATATTTTATAGTTTGAAATCCTTCAGCATTCTATGAAGGTGTTTGATGTCACAATTGAGCTGATAAACTTAAATCTCGATCTACTACATGGAATCGTCAAACCATGGGATTTGTCATCTACTATATTTACCAGAGTTCTAATATTGCTTATGAATGATTGAGCCAAGTTTTTTTTCCTAACTCGCCAGTCACCTCGTTTTTCTTTTTGTACGCACGTGTTCTTGAACACCGTTCAAATAAATCTCCTTCAAACAATTAAATGAAAGTATTGAAGAATTGAATTTTTTAACATGTTCGTCTGGAGAAGGCTGGTGTTGGAGGCCTTTACGTTATTCGGGAATCTCTCAAGATTTGGTAACGGCCCCTCGAAGGGTCCGTTCTTGGAACAGATTCATGCAAATTTCGTGACTCTCTTGGTTCATATGAATGAAGAGCCGGAAGTGACCAAGGTTCGTGTCTTTCGTATTAACTGTTTATGATGACAATTGCATGAATCATAACAGTATAGACGTCTACCACGTTGGCAAAAGTTTGGTAATTAGTCTAATAACAAAGAAAGCAACGCGAATTTTGGCGCACTACTAATCAAAATTTTCCCATGAAATTTGCTCTACTTAAATCACCTGGGGATTTGGGTCAAGATTTGTTATTTTGCAAATACATGATCCATTTATATGATGGTGCCTTTTCTTTTAATATCAGTCGCTCATGTTGCAATACGTAATGTAAGTTAAAGCATGAGATGATTCACCTAAATTTTTTTTGAACTGGACTAAAAACGTTGTGTTCGTGGTTTCAATTTTCAAATACAGGCATGCAAATGTGCTCTACGAAAACTGGCGCCATTGATGGGCTCACAAGCTATCACCGACATGTTCCTCAAACATCTTCTAGAGAACGCAAACCTACATTACGGAGAGTTTATGAGAGATTTGTCAAGACTAATCGTGAGTTCATTCCTACATAGCTATTATATTGAATTTAAAATCTTAAAGTGGTTATCGCACTCAAAAAATCAAAAAGTACTTCTGCTCACTGGAAACTATATAAGTTACAAAACGAAAAATTGTGGTGTATTTTTAAAATAACTATTGGATCCTTCTTTTGCTTTGGTTACAGTTTTGCAACCATTTTACAGTTTTGCATCAGTGTTACAATTTTGCATAATTTTTACAGTTTTTCGTCAGTTTTGCATCAGTTTTGCAGTTTTTCATAAGTTTTGTGTGAAATTGAGTACGTAAATCAACTTTTAGTGTGGATAATAATCATCACTACCTGACATTACTTGATAATCCCTGGTGCTTCCACTAACGTTCCTTGATCTGTATTTGATTTGTATCCTTGATCCTTGATCTGTATTTGATCCGTACCTTGATTTTCCATTTGTAGATTAAAGACCTAAGCGATAAGGTTGACTTCTACATCATGACATGCGTGACGTTTTTCAAGAGTTCGCTACCGGAAATACAGTGTAACGCCGCCATATTGTTAGGTACGTATTTGAGTGGTGGAACTGTTTCATTCTTGTTATGGAATATTTATTTTGTGATTTGTGTTGAATCGTTGGTGGGAAAGAAGCCGCATTCTTGATGTTTATCGTTTGAGATATCTCTTGAGTTTTAAAAAGTGGTGCAGCCAGTCTGCAAGTTTTTTCCTGTTGTGTAAATTACGTTGGTGTTCACTCAGTGACGTAGCAGTACAACTGGGGACCCGTGGGAAAATATTCAAAGGGACCCCCCTTTCGATTACCATATGAAAATGCAATAAGCACCACAATACAATAATCCATCTACATAGTATTAGTACGAAACAATGATAACGTACTTTTAGCCTCAAACATTCTTATTCTCCAGTATGATCTCGCTGTCTAGCCTTTAAATTTAAATTCTTTATACGTCAGTTTATGCCGTGCAAGTTTTCTTTTTTTAATCCATTGTATATTAATAATTTTCTAATCTGACAGGGGCTCCTTTAGACCATGGGGCCCGTGGGTTCGTCCATCCTGAGCCCATAGCTACGCCACTGTGTTCACTCACTGTAAAAAAAACGATGGATTTCAAAAGAAGTACAAAATACCAATGATCTGAAATTTACATAGCCCGAGCAATATTTGCAAAGTGGCTACAACACATAACGAGACTCGTCATCAACTTTCAAAAAAATGCAGTATCTCACGTTATTTATCACATGCTAATACCGTTGAGGTACAGCAGGAGTTGGTGTGAGGAATGTTTTGAAACAAAGTGAATTTAAGATTCTTGGGTAAAATATACTGTGAATTTCATCATTTTAAAACGTCGGTGATTTCAATACCGTGTTCGTTTTCCAAGCTTCACTTTCGGGGTTATGCTTCTGTGCTTAGTAGGAAAATTCTTTACAAGAAATCTCCAGAATGGAAACGTAAACACCACGTGCACAAAGCATGACTCTGAGAACTGACACCTTGTCAACAATTATTTCTAAAGACTATGAGTCGTTCAACATCTACGACTTGAGCGGCGTTTATCTTTCTCGAACCGGATTGCGTTTCTTTTTATTTTCTATTGATGATCCATTTAAGGGTTTCTTCTTGGTAATTTACCTGAAAACAAACGCTTGACGATTTCCAAAGAATACGTTTGCGGAGGTGAGTATTCGTCAGTGTCACGGTATCAAATGTTAACTTGTGCTTTTAGGCTTGAAGTTTCATGTTGTGTGGTCTGGGGCTAGCGACGTAACCAGAGGGAAGACCCGGGAGCTACCCCCCGGAAAATTCTTACCCCTCCCCTTAAAATGCTATGTTTTACATATATTATATTGTTTAAACGACAGTTATACCCCCCTACTTTCCCCTTTGACCGCCTTCCCCTGGAAAGAAAATCCTGGCTACGCCGCTGGTTACGTCCCCAAAATGTTCAACCTTTTTTAAAATGAGTAAAATAGATTTTTGTATGAACAAGACGTGAATGGTATTGGTATGAAGTCTTTTAAACCCCGTTTACTTACACCACTCACCATCTTTGATGAAATTTGCGTGACTTCCTTGACTGTCCCATGTTAAAATCATCGTGTGGTGTAAATGGATTTTAACGACTTTCAACCATTGTGCCGTTCACGAAGCTAGTGAAAATGAAGATCATAAATTGTTTATGTGCTTTTTCTAGCGTTAATTACCTTGCTGAAAGATACATCGGCAAATGTGAGGTGTAAAGCCGCTGAAGCGATGAGCCTTCTGTACGACTACTAGCAACATCAAAATCCAGCTTGCTTGACTTTGTCCTACTGTGTTTCACTTTGTCAACATAGTAAGTGCGTCTGGCAAGTCATACATTATTCTCTCTGAAGGGAGTTAAGTTATTAATCAACTGGAAATATTTAGTGGTAGCATAGATTAGTCGGAGCTACATCATTTTTTATGAATGATCCAAGCTGAATGACACTGAACGAAATATTGCAAGTTATAGTTTCTTTCCCCTCATAAAAAAATTTGAACAGTGTGAAGCAAAGTATTCATGACGATATGCCCCGTGTTGCATTTTCTATCTGGTGAAGTTTTCAAAATTATTTAATCATTTATAGTTTGTTCAATAAATTTTGTGAAAAATAATATGCAACAATTTAATTATACGTCATACAAAGCAGAGAAGTACAAACTGGGAGAAGGCATTGGGTGTTTAGGCCATTCCCCCCCCCTTCCCCGTTACAAAATAACGACTTTTTCAAATGACTGTATTGTGACTCCAAATTTACACGAAGGTAGACACGAAGAGAAGAGAAAAAGATACATAAAAAGGTGGACAAAGAACTTTAAAAAGACCAATCCTATTAAGTGATAACTTTAAAAATGAAGTCTCCTTACTTTTATGAAATGTCGACCCTTTTTAAATATTGTCTCTTAAAACATGACAACTTTGTCAAATGTCGACTCCTACGTGGAAAAGGTAGACAAAGGTCAACTTAAAAGGTAAACAGTAGACACAAAGGCACGCATAAAGGTAAACATGAAAATAGACAAACATTTCACAAAAAGATACACAAAAGGTAGGTAAAAAGTTAGATATATAAAGGTAGACGTAATTAAGGTAGACACAAAGGTAGACATAAAGGTAGACATAAATGTAGACACAAAAGAAGGCGAAATGGGAGACAAGAAACTTTGAAAAGACCTCTGAAATAATCATATTTCAAAATGACGGCTCTTATGAAATGACGACTCTTATGTCGACTCAAAATTTGAATGTTTCTTAAATTCAATTGAGTTGTGAGCTCAAAGTCAGGTAACGTGAAAAAAGAGAGAACTGAAGTCAGCGGTCAAAAAGAATTAAAGGGAAATCAGAAAATCACATGTAGCTATAGATAAACAGACTATAGATAAACAAGCCAATGACAAAGAGTAGGGCAGGCTGAGGTCGACCGTCGTCTGTCGAAGCCATTTGATACAAGTAAGATGAAGTATGGGAGCACATGTCAATATGGCGGAAAGAACGAGATTTCCAGCTGGCAAATTCTTACTATATTCTGTCGCTTTGTTAGGCATATTGTGTACTATCCAAGCGGTAGGTGCTGTTTAATCGTATTTTAGCTCTCTATGATCTGGTCAAACGTAATAATTTACTTAAATACGCTCGTTGCTGGTAATTTATAGACTGATATTGGTAAAAATGCTGGTGATGCATTGATTGTCGAACACGCTATTGGAGCAAGTAGGCGATGCTTGTTTTTAAGATTACGATCAGTTTATGCGTAGATATTTTATATGATACTACTTTTCAATTTTGTCAGGTGGAGATCTGGTGTTCAAGGAAAGGTAATATTACTCATTTAAACGTCAGTGTTTAAATAAAGTCAGATTCAAAAAGATATAGTCAAACAGAATAATGTAGTCAACGTGTAAGCGTAGTCCTCATTTATACATTTTAAAACATTCAGTGGTGTAGCAAGCCTCCACTATTGGTTTGGCTCCTATTCACTTGTGCATTTTATAATCAGTAGAAAATAATTGATTTTATAGTACTAACATCTACAAGTACAGCAAACTATGAATTTGTGAATCCCCTCCCCTCCGTAATTATTGAAATGGCTATATCGCTATCATTTATTTGATGGTAATGTATTGTTTTCACATTGAGTACATGCCAAAAAGTTGCAGATATATAGTATGACTAAACAAAGGACTTGCAATGCAACTGGCCTCACGCAACATAACTGTATATTGGTTGATATCTTTAAACTTGGACATATGTGACTTGCTTGATGTGACTCCTAATTACAATGTGGGTGAATCTTGATTTGAAATCAATACAAAACACATTTGTGTAGGGGTCACATTTTTATCAAGAGCATCAAGGGAACATTTGGTTCGTACAAAGACAGCGAAGATTTCTCATGGAAGACTTTCAAGAATTCCCTAAAGGTGGTAATTTTAAGACATTATTTTTGATGTCGTGGCAAACCTTTCATTCGTCCATCATTGATTCTTTAAATGTACTAAAGGATGCTGCCCGTCGTGGAGATTTCTATCATATTCGAGTGACTATGAATCCTTCAGAAAGTGTTGAACCAAAATCTCCATATTATGTTTCAACATTAATTAAGGCGGTGAGTTGTTTTTGATATAATAATAAATGGTTTCCAAGTTGTGTTGGCCTAAGACTACTCCTTGGAGAGTCTTTAGCAGGGGCCTTTGTAAACAAGCTATTCACATAATAAATCATGTGTGTTTAAGTTTCATTTTGTGAACTTACATGACAATGGAGGAAGATAACACAGACCTGCTCTCAGACTTACCCTCCTAAGATCCTCATTCCCATCAGCTTTTTTTTTATTGACAAAACATTCAAAGTAGGGTTGAATTAACAAGCAATATACTGCCCACAAATATAATTCTGTTAAATTATTAATCTTAAATCCCATAATCCTATCTGAATCCAGTGATTCAATCACATGAAATTCATTAGCATCCCACCATTAAAAATACCATTGTGCAGTCTTAAGTTTCATTAATCATACTTTTCATGGAAATCTTTCATACTTTACAGTGCTCTCTGCTGCTCTCGAATTTCTCAGATATAATAAAACTCAACTTGGACCATACCGGTGAGATGTGGTTTTGTCTATAAGAGACAAGTCTAAAAACTGAATCTAAGTATTTGATTTGATAATCTGTTAAAAATTCATTTGATCGAGAATCTTTCAGCCTGTGAACACAAATTGTGTAATTTCTAGAACGTTATAACTACAACTGAACCTTGTGATGATTCTTTATTTGAAAAATTAAATTTTGTTTCCTCAGGCCATGTCTTTGCAGTTGGTCTGTCAACTACGAAATCTGATTGTAGTGAAACTTCAGCCAATCAGGTAGCTAGGTCTTTGTTTAAGAAGGTTGCTAGAGCGGAATGCATCTATTTATTTGTCAATGATTTGTGAACAATTGTTTATTTTGTTCTTGTTTTAACACTTACATTTCTCACTATTCATTTTTGTTGCAGTTCAAGAAAATGGCATATGACCGATTTAACACAACTGTTATCCTTTCACATGTTTCTCCTGGACCTACGTAAGTGGACACGCTGCATAAGCAATTTATTCCTTCAATAAAATATTGATTTATGAAGGGTGATTAAGAATTGAAAAAATTCAGTTTGTACTGGCGGATTTCTGTTTTGTTTACGTGAGTTCAAGATTTTCCCGTGAGTTCAAAACTTTCTGATAAATTCAAATTTTTGCATGAACGCAGAACATGCTTTTTGTGACAAACTTTTCTCTTAGATCAAAACTTTCCTGTTTGTTCAAAAATGTATTCAATCAGTTGACATATTTCACATTATTTAATAACGTTGAAAACGTTCCTTTCAATTCAAATCTTTATTTTGTGCATTCAAAATTTTATAAAAAGTATAAAACTTTCTTCTTAGTTACTTGAAAATTAATTGGAATTAACCTGGTGTTTTTCTCAGCAGACGTACATATTTTTGCTTTTTAGCCCTGATACTCAGGCTTACATAAAGAGATTGGAAGATGAAAGACGTGAAAAAGAAAGAGGAAAAGGCAAAGACAACAGATCATTCCTTCAAAAATATGTAAGTGACAGTTTTCGAAGAAAAGTTGTCTTTAAAATATCCTGGTTTGTCCCTCATATTCCTTTGTGTTCATTCGTTTAGTGGATGTACATTATTCCTCTGGTGATATTTGTGATGATGTCTAACCAAGAACCCCCTGCCGGAGCTGGTGGTGATGGAGGTTCCGGGGGAGGTGGATCTGCATCGGCTAGTTAACTCAACTTGAACATAAAGCACTGATCTAAAGATGTTGTTAAAGAGAAACTGGAGTTTTACCATCAAGTAAATTTTGTTCTTCATATCACTACTGTTTGTTATCCAAATTGGTTTGTACAAATCTATTTAACCACAATGCATTTTGGTAAAACACAGTCAAAACAAGTTTCATCCTCCATTTTTATTAAACGAGATGTTTCTATAACGAGTGCATGGCGATCCTCTGGTGTAATTATAAGATGAACTTTGACTTCAGTCTACGTAAAGCAGTAAAATAGCTGGCGTGATTTTTGGCGAAACCAACCCAAGTTTTTATTCTGTGCTCGTTCTCCAGAAAAACATTGAATGAAATTGATTGTTGATGTCGTTCACTAAACGAGATCCAAAACTATAAGAATTATTAATGTATAGTTGTGTGGCAAGACCACGATGATGAATGATTATATCTTGCAACTCAATGCTTTTACATTATAGTTTTTAACGTTCGTGTAAAAATCTCGATGGTTTACAGAATAATCATAAAATTTTGTGGTTTGTTTCATTTATTATCTCTTTACTGTACATGCATGTATAAATATATTCTTTCATTATAGCTACAGTACTGTAGTAAATACGATAAATTTGCGTGATTCCAACGCACTGTCTGGTCGAGTGGACAGATGCAGGTTTCTCAGGTTGAGGAGTGAGGTTCGAAACCTTCGAAGGGTCGGTTGCTGTTGACTTGGTGTGTTAAGCGTGATGATTAGGATGATGAAATGAGCGACAATGAGGTAGATAATGCTGTGCACATAGTTTAGAAATAGCATTTCTCTTGCTAAATTTTTATGAATGAATGCGACACTTAGTATAATTTCAGAAAAAATCAAGCAAGCAAAGGGAATCCTACGCAAAATTTTGCCCTAAAACACTAAGTCTTTTGCTCAAATTTTTCTATGATTCTCCGAAGGGAGGCATTTATAATAGTCAAGAACCTCAGGGCAAACACTATTACCTTCATTAAAACACTACTCATTGAAAGACAATGTATTTGATTACATGTTTACACCGTAATTGATTACACAAATTACAATGTACTCACGCATTTTGCACTTTTTCACACTAAAAATGTAATTTTTACAACTTTTCACATTTTTTCACACAAAAACTATAATTTATGCATTATTCCACATTTTATGCAAAAAAATTTAATTTTCAGATTATTTCAAATTTTCACATTTTTTATTACAAAGACTATAATTCACGCATTTTCACAAAGTTTCACATTTTATCACACAAAGACTATAATTCATGCATGTTCACATATTTTCACATTTTTTATTACAAAGACTATAATTGATGCTTTTTCACAAATTTTCACATTTTCCACACAAAGACTATAGGGCACTTTCGTAACCAAAGCAGACATTTCCTTACCGCGTCCGGCTTATTTAACTTTACAATTTAACTAAAATATATTTCACCATTATACAAGCTAACTACTTATTGGAAAGGTTTCAACAAAACACAAGCTTTTCTCAAAATTTCACATTGCCGGTACTCATTTTTTTACCCGGTAATTTTCCCTAGTTTCTGTGAACACACCCAGTCACACTTCAAGAAGTCGTCCTTCCATAGAAGACAACATTAAAGCTGTCATTTCATAGTCGAATGTTTTCAATGAAGTTAATAAAATCGAATGTAATCACATGTATTTAAAAAGCATTATTTCATTTGGAAAAGGCCTTATTTCATAGAAGACAACATTCAATAAAGTCGTCATTTCCTAGGTAATGCTATCCACAAATTGTGCCATCGGCAATTCTCTTGCTAAATTTTTGAGAATGGAACACTTTATAATTTCAGAAATATATTCAGAAATATCTTCAGTATAATTTCAGAAAAAAAAATCAAGCAAGCAAGGGAACAACTACAAAAAATTTTGCGCTTTAAAAAACTAAGCCTTTTGCTCAAATTTTTCTATGAGACCCCGAAGGTAGTCATTTTTAATAGTCAAGAACCTCAGCGTAAACAGAGCGCCCTTAAACTCTCTCCTAACCTCAAACCTTGCACTCAATCTTGAAGCTACAATCCATACCAACACCATCAACGAGACGAACCAAGGACCTCGTGCATTGGAGGTCAGTCAAAACCAAGAGCCAAGAGCTCAACAACGAATATTACAGATTTTTGCGTATACAAATCAATGACCAACAAAAAGCTATCAGTTTTTTAACTAATCAATGACCAACAAGAAGCTGTCAGTTTTTGAACTGAACAATGACCAACAAGAAGCTGTCAGTGTTTGAACTAATAAATGACCAACAAGAAGCTGTCAGTTTTTGAACTGAACAATGACCAACAAGAAGCTGTCAGTTTTTGAACTGAACAATGACCAACAAGAAGCTGTCAGTTTTTGAACTGAACAATGACCAACAAGAAGCTGTCAGTTTTTGAACTGAACAATGACCAACAAGAAGCTGTCAGTTTTTGAACTGAACAATGACCAACAAGAAGCTGTCAGTGTTTGAACTAATAAATGACCAACAAGAAGCTGTCAGTTTTTGAACTGAACAATGACCAACAAGAAGCTGTCAGTTTTTGAACTGAACAATGACCAACAAGAAGCTGTCAGTTTTTGAACTGAACAATGACCAACAAGAAGCTGTCAGTTTTTGAACTGAACAATGACCAACAAGAAGCTGTCAGTTTTTGAACTGAACAATGACCAACAAGAAGCTGTCAGTGTTTGAACTAATAAATGACCAACAAGAAGCTGTCAGTTTTTGAACTGAACAATGACCAACAAGAAGCTGTCAGTTTTTGAACTGAACAATGACCAACAAGAAGCTGTCAGTTTTTGAACTGAACAATGACCAACAAGAAGCTGTCAGTGTTTGAACTAATAAATGACCAACAAGAAGCTGTCAGTTTTTGAACTAATCAATGACCAACAAGAAGCTGTCAGTCTTCTGCCACTGTGTTGATCTTCTTCTACATTACGCCATCTATAATCATATAGAACGACCAATAAAATGTAACGTTTGATGAAAATGATGAATTTTGAAATGAATATGAATAGAATCACTTCTCATACATACGAAAACTTCCTTCTTATTTTCCTGTTCTTTCAAGCATGTTTTCGTACACGTGTTTTTCCTAGAATGAACAGAAACGACGTCTGATACAGGACAAGTTGCATACGCAACATCTTAAACTAAACGCATACAATGAACATACTTTCTGTGAGACGGAAGCCTTGATCTTTTCAAAAGCTCCCTCGAAATGTTTCTCGAATACGACAGCGGAAACGCCGTTTTCGTCATATTGACAACCTTTAATACAGTCGCGCAATGCGTTAACGCACGCTTCTCGAATCAAAGCAGCAAGATCAGCACCTCTGAATGAAAATAGAAAGAACTTGTTCGTCGTGAACTTGCAATCGTCAGTGAATTAGTATACTGCTTGGAGCAACTTAATATATTACTAGCCCAGCCTCGAAAGTTTTTATTTCTTTGTTTATCGATTTGGTAAAAACCAGTAGCAGAGTTAGGGTGTGTCAGAATACATTGCTAGAAAGATTACTAGAAATTCAAAAACCTTATACTTTATCTAAGGAATATTTTTATCTTTAAACATTTTGCGGTGATTCATAATTCAAAACGCTTATACTTTACCTAAGGAATATTTTTATCTTTAAACACTTTGTGGTGATTCCTAATTCAAAACGCTTATACTTTACCTAAGGAATATTTTTATCTTTAAACACTTTGAGGTGATTCCTAATTCAAAACGCTTATACTTTACCTAAGGAATATTTTTATCTTTAAACACTTTGTGGTGATTCCTAATTCAAAACGCTTATACTTTACCTAAGGAATATTTTTATCTTTAAACACTTTGTGGTGATTCCTAATTCAAAACGTTTATACTTTACCTAAGGAATATTTTTATCTTTAAACATTTTGCGGTGATTACTAACCGAAAACGCACCCGTCAATTTCTGAGAATCAAACATGAGCATTCAGAAACTTACGAAAATCCTTCACAGCGACCATCCGAAGCGATTGCCTTCAAATCCACATCGTTGCCAAGTCTTGGCTTCGATCCACCCTACAGGAGGGTGTGACAAAAGCAAGTAGTACAAGCGGAGGGCGGAATAATTTGAAACAAAATGTACAGTTAAAGTGACGACGGCCAATATGGATCAATATTAAAATACTTACGAAAGCAAAATTTACAGCATAGTTTCATAATGGCAATGAAACTTCAGTAAAATTATGATATTCAACATTGATCAACGTATTTAGCTTTACCTAGAGATATTTAACTTTACCTAGAGATAATTAACTTTACCTAGAGATGTTTAACTTTACCTAGAGATATTTATCTTTACCTAGAGATGTTTATCTTTACCTAGAGATGTTTAACTTTACCTAGAGATGTTTAACTTTACCTAGAAATGTTTAACTTTACCTAGAGATGTTTAACTTTACCTAGAGATGTTTAACTTTACCTAGAGATGTTTAACTTTACCTAGAGATGTTTAACTTTACCTAGAGATGTTTAACTTTACCTAGAGATGTTTAACTTTACCTAGAGATATTTAACTTTAGCAAGAGATGTTTAACTTTACCTAGAGATGTTTAACTTTAACTAAAGATATTTAACTTTAGCAAGAGATGTTTAACTTTATCTAGAGATGCTTAACTTTACCTAAAGGTATTTCATTTTACCTAGAGAAATTCAATTTTACCTAGAGATATTTAGCCTTGTCATTATGCAAGTAACATCACTATGATATCACATTACATAAACATAATTAACTCTTGGTAATAGTAGTTTTTGTCAAGAGTGTGTTGTAGAATATGTATCTTTGATACCTACACATATATTCATCTTCACATGTATATAGCAAATCGTTGTACTAACGAATATGATATTTTAGAAAACGCTGAGAATCAATGATGTTAATGGAGTTTAACAGACAAAATCACCAAGACATTCAAAATGCTCAATACAGTACAAACAGAAAACTTTGATGTAAAATTTAGTTTTATAAAACTTATAAGATCATTATAAGTTCCTATAAGTCCTACAGGATCCATCAAAATCTTGATAACATTTCCAACTTAGCTAAGAAGAAATTTCCCTTGGTCACATTAATATCCCTCAGCATATGCGACTTAAATCGTCTTTGAGAGTTTTCAGACATATTCAATAAAATATTCGGCAGTATACATACCTTCGTTAAAGTGTTCAAGATCGCTAATCTATCTTTCTCTTGCGGTAAACCAACGTAAAGTGTTTTATCAAGTCGCCCAGGTCGCAATATAGCTGGATCAATGATATCTAGAAAAGTTTAAATTTGAAAGAAATAGATCTGAGCGATATCAAATCACCGGCAATCTTTTAAAGAAGAACCCTGTACTTTACTTTCAAAACCACTCATGATGTCTGGAATTGTTTAAATTTGAAGGAAATGCGGGGGAAGATGAAAACACTAAAAAGCAGTCTATTGGGTATTTTGGCTTTAAAACCACTCAAGATATCTGGAATTGTTCAAACATCAAAGCGTAGTCAAAGGTTCAAGAAGATGTCTGAATAATCAAGTCCGCATTTTATTACATTGGCTTCAAAACGCTAGACGATATTCTAGATGTGATTTATCAAAAAAAATCATACGATTTATCAACATGCCGATAATTATTTGAGGTCGTGATTGAAAATGTTTAAGCTTCTAGGAAAATGATTTACAAAAGACATTACTATGTGGAACAAGCATGTGTACATAGTAGTAGAGGGTTTACCCCTTTTTTTTACGTAAAGCCTCAGCACAAAAAAACTTCATTCTATCATAAACTAAGAAGGAAAGTTACCAGGTCTGTTGGTTGCTGCCATGATGAAAACCTGTTTCCTTGTCTCCAGACCATCCATTTCCGTCAACAACTGATTAACAACACGTGCGCTAGCCGTCGACTGAAAGATATTTTGATCAAATATACAGTGCCATTAAATGACGGTATCACATCATTGAGCTTTCAAATCTCTGCTAAGAAAACCTTTCTTTAAATAAAATGGTTTCAACCCAGGATTATGGTCACATGTTTGAAGATGTTGATCGTCCAAGTTGGCGCAGTCCTGAGAATGATGGTTCATATTAGTATGGACTGACCTTTAGATCAGGGATTGACTTGAGATGAATTTGATGGTTGTATTAGTATAGACTGATCTTTAGACCAGGTTTGATTCTGGATGATTTTGATGGTTGGTATTAGTATGGACTGACCTTTAGATCAGGGATTGACTTAGGATGATTTTGATGGTTGTATTAGTATAGACTGATCTTTAGACCAGGTTTGATTCTGGATGATTTTGATGGTTGGTATTAGTATGGACTGACCTTTAGATCAGGGATGGATCTAGTAGGATTTTTTTCGGGGAAGAGTTTTTCCACACTTTGAATTGGATTTCGGCTGTGACTTTGTGGTTGTCATTATGCCATATCACACTTTTTTGTTAAATTATCTTACTTTTACACCATGGTCAAGAGATATTTTTGGAAGCGTGCTTCATTAACACAAATAACTTTTACTTATTGTTTGGCATATTGACATTTCGTAGAGAAATAGGCAGTGTCCAGCACTCCCTCCGGTAAAAGCTCTAACTCCGTTGCCGGTTATCATTTCAAAGTCAAGAGTCAAAACATCAAAACGTTAGTCAACACCAACACCCACAGTCCTTCTTAGGACTTCACTAACCTGCATGATCAACATCTATCAACATGAAACTTCATGTAATAATATTTAAAACATGAATCATTCAAAACATTTTATTCCAAATACCTCATACAATAATTTATATTTCAAATACCTCGTTGCTAAGCGATCGTCGTGGACACAGCGCATCCAGTTCGTCAAAGAAGATCACACATGGTGCCGAGTTGCGGGCACGTTGAAACACTTGACGTACGGCTCTTTCGCTTTCACCGACATACTGTCAAAAACAACGACAAAATACCGACAAAATACCGACAAAATACCGATAAAAAGATCACCACATTCCGTGAGAGAAAAATGAAAGGAAGATGAGCACATTAAGCGAGACGAACCATGTTCAAAAGTTCTGGTCCTTTCACAGAAATAAAGTTGATCCCAGATTCGTTGGCGATGGCCTACAAACACACAAAAATACACTTCGGATATGGTAAAAAATTTGTTTCAAATGTACTTGAAGGGACGGTAATTTGAGGAATTTGTCTGCAAGTAGGCAATAACTTCACATAACTAGACCACGTACAACTAAAGACTTTCCCAGGTAAGTGAGTCCATAACGTGGGACTGCTGCCCTCCCCCCCGTCTATGGAAGCTAAGAAGCATGGTAATGGGACAATACCTTAGCAAGTAACGTTTTCCCACATCCAGGTGGTCCGGCCAGTAATATTCCGGGGGGATTGGTCAGACCAAGTTCATTGAAAGCCTCGCGGTGACGTACGGGAGCCTAGAGCAAACACAGGATTACTTCTCAGTTACATTTTTATTCTCCTAAACGTAGACATACTGCAAGTGCGCATGTGCAAACACTTATTTGAAGGGAAACATCTGTTGCATCGTTCATCAACAGCTTTTTGCAAATGGATAGCTCAACTGAAAAAGACTAGTTTTGGCAGTATGTAGTTTAAAGGGAGAAGATCGAATACACCATGCATTTCGTCAGGTGTCAACGTTTGCCATCTGTTAAGAGTGAATCAACTTTTCATCAGTTGTTTTGATGATGAAAAGAAAAGTTGATTCACTCTTAGCACTATTCGCAACTAAACAGTTGGGAAGCGTGGCTAATATCACGACATAGAGTGACTGCAGCAATAGGCACACACCTTCTTTCAAATAAATCCTGTGCTGACGCATACACAGATGATCATGGCGTAGGAAGATCGATAATTGGGGGGGGCTAATATTCATATATTCATGACATACAGAGTTAAGTTCTTTTGAATCCATTATTTTCAAAGGATTATGACATGAATATATGAATGCCCCCAATTATCAATCTTCCTACGCTCTTGCAGAAGACAAATTTCGTATCTTAAACAAATGCAGGTCGGCTTTTTTCTGAAAACAATGGAGGCGATACTTATTAAGCTGACACCTGACGAGTTGTCTGCCGAAATGCACAGTGGACAGCACTTCTAAAACATTTCTTTTCAGAACTTTTGGTTGTCTCTTGGGAGAAAGATCCACTCGTTAACACAGCGAACTTTCAAATCCATCATAGATTACATTTTAACGCAACGCAACGACTGCCGACATAAATTCCTATGTAAAATCAATAACATACTATTATAGCCATCGTCAACTCTTCCCTGACATCTTCCAATGCGCCGACATCTTCCCACGTGACGTCTGGGATTGTAGCAAAACCTTCACGCTTAGCTGAGGGTTGAACATCACGTAAGGCTTGCTAGTGGAAAAACAAGGATTATTCATAAACATATTCAATACAGCTACTCCAACAAAAACGTAAACACACACAACATCTATTAGTAGGCAATAGTGTAAAACCGTTCAGCAATTTGTAAAATCAACTTTTTTTTGCCAAAGTCATGTTCTATCAATTTAGTGTTTTCGCCTTAAACTATTATTTTGCCAACTGAGGGATTGTGCTCTGTATTTATTGACGAAGTCAATTGACCTTCAAAAGGACTCAACAATGTTTCATATATGATGTTCAATTAAAAAGTTTAAAATAATTATATCAATTCTTTTCTCGTTTTGTCAAAACTCCCCAAAAATGACTTAGGTACACGTAAAAGTACACATACAGTGACGATATGAATAATACACACTACAAAAAATGATATGTTAGATCTCACTAATACAATTTCAATAACGTTCGTTCTGAAAACTCGTAGCTACATTTTGAAAGCTCAATAAAGTATGTATCTCGATTAAAAGAAGTCTGCTCATTTAAACAAAATAATACAAGCACAACAAAGCTAGATATCGTACTATTACATTTCATCAAATATTTCGCGACAAATTTCAATATAACAATGCTCAAAGAATCATAATCAATACTAGGCTAGAGCTTCGTATTTAATATACTAATTTCCCTTTCGATTTGGTTTCTTTAGCAGAGAAGTTCGACAAGGAAAAAACAAAGCGTTCATTCGAATTCTTTTTCGTGCAGTTGCTCTCAAACATAAATTGTTTTTCTTTAAGTCAAGGACATGTGTGTATATACCTTAAAGTCGTCCATTGTAATACATAAGTCTTTAAGTTGTTTTTCGGTAAAAATAGCTTCACTGCTTTTGAACAAATCCATGACTGCAAATACAATTTTTGTGTAAAATCAACAAACAAAACGTGAAAAACTACAAATGGTCGTAAAAAATTTCACAAAGAGAACGAAGCAAAAAATTGATCGATTTAAAATGCTTTTCTATCATTATGTGACATTGATAACTATCAAAGGTGCAACCGCACGAACGAGGACGATTATAGTGTTACACGTGATGCAAAATTAAACCAAAGTAAAACAAGTCTTGCTTGACGTTTCTCAAGACTTGTGAATATGGATCAGGGACAATTCTCTCAAAGAGAGCATGCATGGTAAGGGTGTTATACAATTTAACATGTCCATTTCAGTGACACACGTGACGTAGCATATTTCCCACGTGACGCAGCACATTTCCCACGTGACGTAGCACATTTCCCTTTGCATCCCATAGAATCATAGTGAAAACCATCACGACATATGTTTTCAGAAAAAGTCAACCTATGATTCAATGAATAAAAATCGTACACTTTGCAATATTGTAATTATTTGTCTACGCTCGAAGCCAACAGCATTACAATGTGAATGTCACACACGAGAGGAGGAGAATAGCCCATCAGTATGATTGTAAGCACTTACCACTTTTCTGTTTATTAGCATCTGTCAAATCCTAGGCCGAAAAACAAAACAAAAGTCAAAATGCCTTATCTTTCAATTTCAGAAAAAAACATTCAAATTGAGGGGATCGTTTCCAAGTTAAAAGAACATTCTAAATAATGCATCGAAAGCTAGTTAGTGTTGATGAAAACAACGCGATTGCTTACCGTCGAGTTTCGTAGTACCATTGAATGGTTTTCAGAACATCCTGTTTTACTTTCGTTAAATATTCTAGAAATGAAAGAATGATGTGAGCGAGCACATCAAATCGCGCATTTTGCTTTCCAGCGGACTGGAAACATGAGCACCAGTTGTGGCTACCGTATGAATTGCCGCTTTGGACGGAATGGGGAGCAGGAAGTGACGTTTAAAAAAAGTGTGTTGTTGTTTAGTTAGAGTAAAAGACAAATTGTTGTTGAATCTTGTACGTGGGACCAAACGGTCCTTAATGTAATTTAAAAGTAGTAAATTGTAATTCGGTTTATTTCATTAAATTGTTTATTACCAAATTATATGACGACTTGAAAGTAACAACAGTCATATAAGCTCACACACTGAAAGAATTCAGCAAACTAACCTGGTTACAGCACACATTGCCGCTTCTCGTACAAGAGCGGTTAGGTCAGCACCAACAAATCCGGGCGTCTGACTTGCCAAAGACTTGTAATCGAACTCTTCTTGCAATTTTAGACCTTTGCACTGCACACAAAGAATTCTATAAAAAAAGAAAGATGAAAATAGAAAGAAATGAGCGGCTGATACAACAGCAACAACAACACCATCACGAACGTAAAGGTTTGATACTTGAAAGTATCTTAACGCAGGTGAAATCTTTAAGCAAAAGTGTTTATGGACTAGACGCGATTCCAAACGAGACTTTCAAATTTGACGTTCTCCTGGCAGTCACAAATGCAGGATTAGAAACTAAGGGGAAAAATGCTTCTTTTGTACATCGCAATGCTTCGTGCATCACTCGTTTTGACGACGCCAAAACCTCATAGTGTTTCCTTTGCAATGCCAACTCCTTCAAGGATTATTTTTTCTATGATTCAAATTTTTCTATGGTTCAAATTTTTCTATGATTCAAATGTGCCTTTCTTAAACATCAATCCTTCACAACGGCAGTTATTAAATGAGAAAGCCACCATCTTCTTCGAAGTCCCATATTCTAAGGGATGTTAACTATGAACCAAGAACGATATCTACCTATTACCTGTATGATTAAGATTTATGTTTGGTTGGAACTTGAAAGAATAATAAAGTACAATACAGTGAATGGTTTGAACCCGGGAGTATCGTTACATGTTTGGAGATGTAGATCGTCCAGGTTGGTAGACTCCTGAGAAAGATTGTTGATGTTGACTGACGTTTCGACAACCTTAGCGGTAGTCATCTTTAAAGTCAAGTGACACATTTTCTGTACAAACAATACAATGACGTAAGAACCAGACAACAAATACGGCAAACCTGACGTTTACTCTCTCATTGACTCTGAAGATGACTACCGCTAATGTTGTCTACAAGTCAGTCAACATCAACATCAACATTCCTTCTCAGGACTCTACTAACCTGGACGATCAACATCCACAAACATGTAAAGTACAATACAATAAAGAAATGAGAAAATCTAAAGAACAAATAGAAATAGTTCATCGCTATTGTCTGATTCCCTCAATCAGGAAATCAATCCATATTATGTAGGTAGTTATTGCAAAACCAACATACTTTAAAGTGTTGTCGACTTACTCTTCTCTTGCTCGTTCATCAGGAATGCCCATTCGTATCTCACGATCAAACCTTCCTGCGCGTCTTAAAGCTGGATCAAGGGAGTCAGGCCTGTTTGTTGCACCAATCACAAGCACACGAACGTCCTTGTTTCTGTTCATTTCATCTACGATGAAATACCACATGTCAATAAACAGTCGCGGACACTTTATGAAATATTGGGGGGCGGGCTCGTCCTCAAGGCATGAGATTTTAAGGAAGATTCCAGGAAATGCCTATTGGTATAATTTTATAAATAAGGTTTCCTACGTACATACACATCATCCTACACACACAAGGTTTAATGCGTCTGTTGGTACGTGTACAGTACAGAAGTGTATCAAATAGTTATTATTTAACATCACAGTTACTGTGTACGTGAGATTTGAGGGATTTGGCGCAGGATTTTAAATCTTTTCCAAGTTTGCTAGAGTCCGCCTCTGTCAATAATTATACTTTATGGTGTGTTCATTTACAAGTTTAAAAACGATTCACCATTTCACTGGTGCAAAACCTCAAGTTCAAAACGCAAAAATTAAAAGAAATTGGGTTTTCGCTTGATCATGAAATGAACCAACTGACAATCACAAAAAACAAGAAATGAAAAACCTCGCCATAACTAACCCAAACAAGAAAGCAATTGTGCAACAATACGTCGCTCCATTTCCTTCGATGCGTTCTCACGTTTAGGTGTTATCGCATCGATTTCATCAATGAACAACACACACGGTGAATGATCCCACGCGCGTCGAAACACGTCACGAATCTTGCCCTCGGATTCGCCTGATATACCAGAAATCAATTGGGTCGAAGCGACGTTGAAAATCGGCACGTCGAGTTCGCCAGCGATGGCGTGAGCAAACAACGATTTTCCACATCCTGGTGGGCCGTGGAGCAAAAATCCCCTCGGAGGAGTGATCCCCAGGGTGTCAAATACTTCCGGATGTTTGATGTGGACCAACAGCTTACAAACATCCTAATGTGAAACGACATGTATTCATGACGCATGCGCACTTTTATGTTAACAGTTAAAGAGAGAAACTCTTCGTAAAAGATGGCACTCTTTGCTCGTCGTACGTCGTCGTCGTCAAAATAAAAAAATAAACGTTTAACACATGTTATAATGGTTACTGTCACAACTTACAAAAGAGCTTACGCAACTTCTTAAATCATAAGTGGAAAATTTAGAGAAAATTCAGCTTGAATGACACAATCATATAGCCCCGTTTCCCGTCATACCTTGTGGGATGGAGACGAGAAACGAGTCCCTCGTATCTAACACTATTACGTTTCGATAAAGTTGCTGTAAATGCCCTTACAACAATTGCTCGATCTACAATGGATAATTTCAGAAAGACCAAATCACCTGGATCGTATTTTACAGCCTCCGAGATCTGAAAATTTCATCAGAGGAACGCGCGGTATTTCGATTTCTATACAAACAAGAACGATTGTGATTAAATGGTATGAAGTACAAAAGCATGGCCATGATACTATCAAATTTTCGTGTCATCATCGAAACTTCAAACTCTCTTTACACAGAATTCAATGCCCAATAAATATCTAATTATGTTCTCACGTTTGAAGCCTCGTGTAAAATTGAATTATTCTAAAGGACCGTTCACACGATTCGATTTGTCGGATCCGATTGTTTCGGGTCCGTTTTTTTGGTTGCGGGCTCAGACGGTCCAATAGTTTTGTATTTACATTCGTTTTGATATTTACAGTCCTTTGAACAGCCATTTGTGTTGTCCAGGATATCAATCAATATATTTTTCGTATCTTGAATCTTGATTCCAAGTTTTTTTCAAATCTATGTAATTTGGCTAGTCGGCTTCTTTCGATCTTGTCGGATGAAAATAGAGCAAGTTCTATATCCATCCGAATTTGAGATTGACGGATCTGACTGTCGGAGGCTCGCTTTATATGTGTTCACAGGATCCGTTTTTTAGGATCCGACAAAATCGGATCCGACAAATCGGATCGTGTGCACGGGATTTAACTAAAACGTTATAAATCAAACATACTTGTTCACAATTATTTATGATGGTAATCATCTGCGAATAATTCAAAGAAGAAAATAGACATGGATGAAGAATGTCACTACATGGCAGTAAGTTTCGAACAACGGGAAAGTTTCTGCTAAACTAACTAAACTTTCCAGTGAAAATTTTTCATCATTTTCCAATGGAAACAAGCACGTACGACAAATGCAAATGTTCCTGCTAAACTAACTAAACTTTCCAGTGAAAATTTTTCATCAATTTCCAATGGAAACAAGCACGTACGACAAATGCAAATGCTCCTGCTAAACTAACTAAACTTTCCAGTGAAAATTTTTCATCAATTTCCAATGGAAACAAGCACGTACGACAAATGCAAATGTTCCTGCTAAATTAACTAAACTTTCCAGTGAAAATTTTTCATCAATTTCCAATGGAAACAAGCACGTACGACAAATGCAAATGTTCCTGCTAAATTAACTAAACTTTCCAGTGAAAATTTTTCCTCAATATCAAATGGAAGCAAGCGCGTACGACAAATGCAAATAATGAAATAAATTCTGGAGAAAATTTCCTTCGAGATACAAGAATATTTTTGTAGCAAGTAATTTCGTGAAAACATCCAAATTCAAGCCGTGTACACTACCGTTGCTTTCAACAAGATTGTTGTTCACACTGGACTTCTTCTTCGTTTCATTTGAAAGCGTCGACGTCTGACGTGTTTTTCGTCTTCTGTCTTTACTCGATCCATACTTCTCAACCTTTTCTTCGCCATTCTTAATAACTAGCTCGGGCGTGTTTTCGGACATTCGGAGATGGTCGTGAATAGAATAACCTTTTTCCATTGGAGAACTCGTCTCCACTTCAACCATCGTCGATGGTGTTTTGCCATCGGAAATTCTCGCGTTTGATGTTTGGTACATCTCGTGCATGGAGCGGTTCACCAAATTTTCCGTCTAACATAATACATCAAAAATTATGACAACTTGGAGATAAGAGAAGGCATAGAAAGGGTTGATGAAAAATAAAGGAAGAAAAAGTAATACTTGACCATATTTATTCAAAAACACCAGTAACCTACCTTATACTAAACGTTAACACTTGTCAAGAAAAGAACTGCAAAGGTGCAAGAGCTTCCGAAATTTTCTTACTTACGCAAAGACTGTCTCCCTCTTCATCTTCAGATAACTCAGAATCAGATGAAAAGGACACGGTATCGTCTGCAGCACTACATTTGTCTGACCTGAAAAGAATTCATCCCTCAAAGTCAACAAAATGAAATTTGACAAAAATACGAAAAAAAAACAAAAAAATTATATTCGTTCCAGTTTAAGTTGCCATCTTAAAACTTAACCATGATAAGAACTAGTCACCACTAGCTATAATACAAGATGCTATCTTTAAAATTAATTAAAACATTAACGAATTACACTTGCTTGTAATACAAGATGCTATCTTTAATATTAACAAAAACATTGTAAAATCATTCATAAAATGAACGAGCTACCCTTGGTTGTAACACAATGAAAAACAAATGAAAAACCAAAATGAAAACCAAAATGAAAACCAAATGAAATGCGAAGAATCCTCAATCGGGCAAGGGCGGTGGCCATTATAGAGAGTCGTTTGGAAAGCGGTAGAAGCAAAGAATACAGAGCAAAAGAGAGAAAGTGAGCAGATGAAATGGCCTTTCTGCAAAATGAAAAGATTTGGGCGGAAAGAATTTGACTAAATACCACTTACAAGGCATCGTCTTCATCATCCCGCTTTTCTCTGCTTTCAGTTTCATCTCGTTGCTTTCAATTCATCGTAAACTAAAAGCAAGGAAAAATATCAAATATCCTGAATAAATGGCTTGTTCGACACATAAGAAATGTCTTTCCCTACAAATTTTCACCCTTAATATCAGATTTCACCACTCTACGAAATATTTTGACTCCCCCCCTATTTTAAGCAAAAAAAATCAATAGTACAGTTGAAATGAATTTTTGTGGACAAAGTTTAAACTTCACTCTACACCATCGATAGCTGTACTAGCCGAACAACCATAAAATCCTTATTTCAATAGATTGGCCTACGACAGTATATGGAGCAAACAGTATGACCAGTCCATTGAATTTTTTGTATATGATTGCCATAACAACAGCCAGTAATTGCATATTGCAACCAATAGAAACACTGAGATGGCTTACTGCAACCACTAATTTAGTTAAACATACAGCACAAAGTGAGATGGTATTTCTCCATTATACTGTGTCAAAGTTTTTATAAGGGGCAAAGCCAATCTTATTTTTCACTAGTTTTAAAATTTTTCTCACAACTTTTATAACACAATATAGTGTATTGTGACGAATAGTCTTCGTGTATTAAGCCAAATAAACTGTACAACTAACTCATTTGAACACTTGTCCTGAAAGGAGCTTTCTTTTTCCTTGAATAATCTCTACAAAAGAGAACGAGTTAAAGGTCAACTTTCTTCTGAAGATCTTGCCTACACCAGGACAAGTGTGATAAATTTGCACATTTTACAGAGCAACATGTGACTGTAGGCATTTAGAAAGGGAAGGAGTGGGAGAGAAATGAAAACTTCTCTGACACATGCTAATGTAGAGAGCCATGATTATTCTAATGACATCTAAATTAATTGAAAACTTTTTGCAGAAATCAGCCTTACGCACCTGTACGTTTTTTGTAAGTACTCGACAGCATCGTCGACTGACGGCTTTCTTTCCCACGGAAAGCCATGTAAAAACTGCAAATCATCATAACAATTCATCAACAAACTATTTCTAAGTGTTGAGTGGGCAGAGGATGTAATACAATACATCTATAGTATGAACACGCTATTTCGTTATTAGTGGCATTAAATTTTGATACAACAGGTGGGCAAGACAAGAGATAGGACACTGTTCTTCTTAAAGTGGCCAACATTATCTCAATATCAACTCATGACTGTACTTGGTGCTTCAAGAATTTCTCAGAATGTAGGAAGTAAATTTCCTCTTGGTTTGACTATTCATCAGCGATGCACACATTAATTCTCTCAATAGATAAACAACACAGGTAGCTTGTTGATAGGCGACGGTTTCGGTCACAGAATAAATAAGGCATTATGAAGCAGGTCAGCCACTATTCCTCTGTCTCAGTCAAATAAATCATAGCGTACAAAACCGAACAAACTGTAAACAAAATACCTCTTTTAATCTGGGAAGCAACAGAACATCACTCGTATACCCTCCTCGACGTCTTGGGGCAAACAAACCTTTGTCGTGCTCATAGGAGTCCAAGCTCTAAAAGGTTTCGAGAGCAAGACTTCGCTTTTGTTTTCTCATTTCCTCCACAGAAATAGTGTTAATGCATGATCATGTTTGTTTATTAAAAGTTCAAAAGCATTAAAGCAACACGAGGTGTAAATGTCACGGGGTGCAACATGGATGATGCAGCTTTAGGGGAAGGTTAAATAATACGTCTGGAGGGAGCTTTGAAATTGTGTACTTTTTATCATCAAACTTTGTTTAATTTCAGTGTCTTGCATTAAATTTTGTACATGGCAGAAAAATCGATCAACGCATATGACGATCAAAATTTTGAGGTATTTCATCGACCTTTATGGAATATTTCGAGTGGCAGAAATACAATGTCGTTTTACTTCTAGATTGTGTGTTGTGTTGGCATTTGTAGTCGTTGATGAGGGATTCAGAATTCATAACAATCGATTTTGTTCTGTTTATTTATGACTAAAAAACAAACTTCATAAAAGCGGTTCTGATCCATAGCTCAATCGTGAGCTCAAACTCTAGAACATGTACAAAGATATTTGATTCAATTTTTTTAGATAGATTCAAATGCACTTATATGCAACAAGACTGTTGGAGCATAGCATAACTTTATAGGTCGTTATTATGAAAGAAATATTCTCGAATCGCTGTCCTCTTCCCCCACATAGATTTATGAATGAAATACAGTAAATCTAGAGTTCAATTTTGATAGTTTTACTTGCAGGCTACTCTTCTGACATGAAATATTTTTTCAATCAGTCGCATAGCCAGCTCACAAGTTTGTTGATGCAATGTAAATGTTTTGATGTTCACTCATGTGAACTGTTAAAACAAGAGATTTCTAAAGAGATGAATTTTTCTAATGAGAAATTTACATGGGGACCAAATTTGCAGGCTGGCTACATGCACCACTGTTTTCAATGCATAATTTTTCAAGATATTTTTCTACAAAATATGCTTGAGAATGTATCCACTTCTTGCTGTATATTTCATGAATGCTAGGTTGAGAAGATCCTAGCAAGACGGAAGAGAGAGAGAAAGGTTGAATACCTGATAAAATGGAAGGGTTTTTCATCAGAAGAAAATTCATGGGAACCAGAGGAAAACATGAATGAATGCCAAGAACTTGTTAGACAATTTCAAAAAGGAAAAAGAAATGAATCGCATGAAGGCAAGAAGTCGAGTACAGTAAAATTTAAATTTTTTTTTAATTCAAAGTATTGTTTGTTCTTCACTCCAAATATACAAAATATAGTCTCCAGATGGCTGTGTCAGGGATAAGAAGAGGTGGCATGGATAAGAGGAGGTGGCAGGGATAAGAGGAGGTGGCATGGATGGGACATTGAGACACATACAACTGTGAGGCGACATGACTGTATAAGGGATGAGAGGTAGAGACAGGATGGCAGAGGGAGACACATGAATAACTGTACCAGTGATAAGAGATGAAAGTAGGGATGGGAGAGGGAGGCACCAACATCCACAAAGCTAGATGACTATACGATATGGGAGTTGTTGCTACTTTTTGATAGGAATGGTAGAAAGAGGCACCTACAATTAAGAAGCCATATGAATCTATGAAATAATAAATGGGGTGGGTGAGGGAAGCCCCCATGACTGCCAATCTGGATGACTGTCAAGAACGACAGCGTAGAGGTGACTCTTACGACCTTAGTCTCACTCACGGTAGCTACTTGATATTTCTTTGCTTATTCAGTGGGAGAATGCTTTCAACTGATATGGTTGTATGATGGGCGGAAAAGCCCGATAAATCTCTTCATTTACTTGCGATGAAAAACGGTCTGTCTTCCCTTAGAGAGGTCGCGCTAATGGTTTTTATACCGAAGAAGAAAGCCCGTCAAAATCATCTGATTCAACGTCGAAAGGTGCAGAAGAATATCAGATATTGCATCGAGTCCATCCACCACCGTCATCAGAAAATTCAGGTAGTTTGCGTTTGATGGCCGTCTTGCCTTGTTCTGTCTTTTTGTTACTTTACAATTACTATTAATAAAACTGTGTCATTACTTCATTTTGTAGCTGAAATGTCGAGGCACAAGGAATCGAAATTTATCCATCGAGAAGAAAAGGAAGCGCACCAAAACAAAGAGAAGAACGAAGTTGTTTTGAAAAGAAAGACAACACATTTGAGAGTCCTAGCGGTTGTTGTCCTTTTCTGTCTGATTATTTTCGCGCTTGTAGCACCGGTCGGGTCGTCCATTGACGTTTGAGTATTAAAAAATAAGATGCTTTACTAGATAACAAGAATACATGGCGGTTGGAATCAACTATCAACTTACCTGCCAAAAATTTGATGTTTCGAATGACATGTGTATGTGGACGTCAAATTTCTTTCCGACTTTCTGGTCATGCTTTCAGCCGTTTGTACGGTCGTTTGCAGAAGATTTACTCAAAACTTATCTGCTACCATCTTAGATCGGTCGAATTGAAATACATATAAGTCAGTTGTGAGATTGAACGATCTTGCGAATAGAACCATTTGCAATTTATTTTGACTTTCGCTTTAGAACTTGTGGATCGAGCTTTACGTGCATCACGCTAAGTTGCTGAAACGTGTTTCGAAATCACGATTTTGAACAACTCTCATGTTTTTAGCTATACGTATGGGTTTTATTTAGATAAGGTTAAAGGAGCTTTTATGGTATTATGTGTATACTTTACCCAAATATTGTAATTATTGATTTTATTTAAGGAATTGTTGCAATTTTCCATTACGTGTCATTAATGTTTCTACAAGGTGATGTTTTGTAAAAGGATCGTTTAGTTTGTTTCGAAACGTGCCTTTATTCAAAGAAATATTTGAGCTATCGCGAATGTCAAGTTTTCATTTCACAGCTGAAACAATACGTGATCCAATTTTAAAATTTATCATGACTTACAACTTACAATTGATGGAATTTGCAATCTGTTGACTTGATGCCATATTTACTAATGTCATTTTGTTCAATCTTAAAAGCATTCGATTTTCCCAAAGCTTAACGTCAAATCCAAATGATGGCGAATGCCCTTCTTGTAATTCCGAATTTGATTTTTGAAGTTTCAGCTACAATAGGTTCGAAGAAGTATTTTGAAATTATACTACGAGATTTCGTCAACTTCTACAGCTTATTCAGGACTTACTTCGTCGGTTTTGATTCGATGTTACTTAAAAGCGATGGTAAAATATCCGAGTCGCTTGATGAGGATTCCGAATCGCTAGAGTCTGAGTAGTCACCAAGACTCGCTATGAAGCCAAGGTTGTAGGCAACCGAACCATTTTCGTCTTTTTCTTGCGCCTTTTTCGCAGTTTGTGGAAAGTGTTTAGTCTCTGTATCAGAGTTTTTGCATTCCGAGGTCTTTTCAAAATTTTCCTCGTTTTGTGACGATTTTTCGACAGCTGGCTCTTTGATATTGAAATGTGAAATAAAAAAAAAAATATGAGAAGAGTCGAAAGAAAATTAAGTTCGGAAAAGAAAATACTTAACATGTTCTTTTCATTCGAACTCACGTGAATGTGGATATTTTTTGAAAATAACAGTTGTTCTTAACGTGAAAAACTTGCACAAAATAAACGCAAAATAAAACGTCAAAGCGATGTGAATACAAAACGAAGATTACAAACCTTAACTATGTAGGCAAATATATGAAAAAGAACTTTTCGTCGGAAAGGTTACAAGCAGAGAGGGCAACAAATAACTCATCTCCAATGGCGAATTCGGCCTCATTTCGTGTACACTCGTGTCATGAAAATGTATTATTTTATTCACTAGAAAACCGTAAAATACATATGAAACAGTATCAAATACCTTTTTTGGAGAAGTTTTGATCGTCAGATTTTTCGTCCTCGCTCGTCTCCACATCACTCCTGCATAAAGTAAGAGCGTTTGTCCGTTCACCATGTTTCCGGTAAGTTTGCTCATGCGAGGAACCAACCCCCCTGATTTCATTAAGATTGCCTTCATTTCCGGAGGTACATCTAACTTATGAAACATGAATAGAGAAAATTGAACCTAGACAAATGATAAATCTTAATCCCTCACCTGGAGGCATTCGCCCCATAAATGATAACATGTCCCCCTGCACATCTAGGGTATTTGCTGGAAACCAGGGGGGTGGCCAATTCAAAGTATCGCAAGGTATCAACATGACTTTCTAAACACGTGATCTTACCGCCGTCGTTTAATGCAGCCAGCCAATAGTTCCAACTGTGATTTCTTCTTTCCCAATAAAGCATTGGAGGCTTTTTCTTTTCCCACAGCAGCTGGGGTTGAGACGGCTACAGTCATATTAAACTTTGCAACTTCATCCTGGTTGTTGGCAATTAAAGAATGGATAAACTGACTGATGGAGAATAAAAGATCGCGAGCTTTAACAAACTGTTCCAATAAAGTGAATACACCAAATGTTATACTAAAATCCAAGGCCGATTAAACAATGTATGTGTAGTCAATTCATAATGATTTTTTAAAGTAAAATAAATTTTAATGGGAAAAGCATTTTTCCTTGTGGATTTTTGAAATTTAGTGTATTATAAGTTAAGTGGCTACCTAGTTGAACTAAAGTTCACAGGTTAAAGTATCTTTGCACTGCAATAATCAATAAAGTGCATGCATAGTTTCTTCAAAGGATACTCTGTAGTCTTTAATCTCTGGAGTGAGAGCAAAACGTCTGCGGTCAACTTCTGCCTGTTGCTTGGAAGCAAACTCGAGAAAGACAGCTTCGTCATTATCGATCCCGCGGAACATTTTTTCTTAACAATTTTACAAGAAAAAAGTACTTTAAGTCTGCGCTTTCTTTAGTCAGGAATTTCAATCATCCGGAAATCATATGATCAACTAGGTACAGATTGCTTGATACAAAACTGAACAATATCAGAGAAATGCAAATTTGAGCATTGGCACTGAACCCACTTATACAGCTGTCTACTAGTTGGAGTTATGTAACTTTAATGAACTCAAATGGACCTCTATTGTCAGTAAAAAACACCAAAAAAATTATCAACCTCCATGGGGTGAAATAAACTAATCTTTGAATATTTTGAAATAGTGCCAAGTCCGGGAAAAATTGACAGGAGGGTGCAGGGGGGAGGGGGTACACACCTAAAGCTTGCATAAGTTGACTCATATTTTGATAGCTCATAAATGAAAGTCTTATGGTATAATGACATTTAAAAAACACAACCCTCCCTGGATGAAATTCACCTCTCCAAGCTATTCAATGTATAAATCTATTCAGATTTCGACAACCATCAACAAGCAGGGATAGGATTGACCAAGTAAATAACTGGCTGGTAGGCAATGAAAATGCTTTTGAAAACTGAATCAAAAGTTGTTTCTTACTGATGTCATATTTCTCGTCATGCTCTTGTTGTGCCTTTTCTTTCTGGGCCTGAAGCTGTTCAAATAAACTTTTTGGTTGCACATCTGGACATTCTGGATGAAGTAAACAGTAAAAGTTGAAAACAAATGTTGATAAATTCGAGGATCTTGAGAAAATTACGTATGATTATCCACCGTTAAATATTTGAGGTTTATTCAGTTCCTGTAGACCTTAGTACATACAAGAAGCAGAATATAAACATGTACCTAAAGGGTCATCGGGCTTTCTGACTCTTTCCCATTCCTTTTGACGTTTCTCCTTGGCGTCCTGGGCTTCCTCCTCGGTAACAAACGACTTAATTTTTGAATTATTTGTCTTTTTGAAGCTCATAATGATTATTCGTTGATTTCATTCGTTCCTTGGGATCATTTTGAAGTAGAAGAGCAGCATTTATCTGCTTTAATGTCAAAATCACTAGTCAAATTTGGTCAAAATCAATCTGCTGGTATTGTCATCCACCATACAAGCATTGAGCAAACCGCTGATTAAGATTAGCGTGGGCTCACAAACAAATGGCTGACAAGATTCTTCTTCGTGCTTATAAGGGTCAGGCAAAGTCTGTAAACTTAAGCAACAGAAATCTACCAAGTGTGCCAAATCTTATAGGTAAACTTTCGAAAGTAAAAAGTATTGACCTAAAAAACAACAAGATTTGTTCTTTGCCCAAAGATTTTAGCGTGATTACGCAGGTAATTTATTAAACTTTGTTGCTAAGTTACATCAGACGCTTAGGTATAAAAAATGGAATACTTTTCAAAATATTTATGGAGGAATTGACTGCAGTCAAGGAAGAACCAATTATCTACACGTAGGGCATTATTGATAAAAGAAAGATTCAAAATATCCACTGCAACTTGCAGAATAAGTATATGTTTTAAATGTCATGCGGATTTTTTTGTAGTCTTATTAAATGTTTGTGGATCATGACAGACAAGAAGAACTTTGAAGAGAGGCTAATTTTATGGCTGTTAATGATTGAGATAAATCTCTGGAAAAAGTATTCATTTTTGAAAAAAATTGCTTTCTATCATCTAAACGGAGCAGGCGAAGAAAGAAGCTTGCTCTTAAATGCATGCTTTAATCAGTGTTTGATTGTATTAAATCCTGTATCTTCGCATTGTATACATATGACAATATTTCAGTCAGGAAAGAAAATTTATTTGAGTGCTTTCATAAATAGTGAGTCTGACGTTTTTCTTACGGAAAAAAAATGGAAATGTCTGCAGAATTGGGTGCATAATATGACTATACCACAAGGATGACTAAGTGCATATGAAAACATTATAAAATGTTTCTTTGCTCATTCCCTTGCTGGGATTCTCCTACACGCTTATGTCACCCAAACTCCATTGTAAACAAGCCCTTGAAAAGGTAGATTTGATTATTTGAAAGCAATGTTTACAAACAAGCTAAAATGCTGATGTCAGTCGACATACCGCCTCTTAAAAAAGAACATAATTGAGAAAGTTGAAATACTAGTGACTGACGCATTGATCGACATCACGTGATCTAATCTTCGTACCTTCCAGCTGGAGAACTTGAATCTTGGCAACAACATTTTGGAAGAGCTGCCGGCAGAATTGGGCCATTTGGTCAATCTAAAAAAACTCCATTTGTTCGCAAATCACATCATCATCCTCTCTTCCTTCGTACTGTGTAAGTGTATCCGTATCGAGACTAATTTACTCCAACTTATTAACATCATTTTCACTGCTTCAACTATGTCAAAAAAACATATAGTTCTTGTGGTTTAGATAATGTGTTAGACACTTTAATTGAAGTTAGATTTTCATATATTGATAGCCGCCTTGCAGCATCTGACATTTCTAAACCTCAACGACAACAAATTGACAAGTTTGCCTCCGGAAATCGAAAGGTACTAGCGAGATTTGCAGATCAATGTCCAGAGAGCAAAACTTGTCAACATCTTGTCTTCTTTTCAGGCTGGTATCCCTGCAATTTTTGAGCGCGAACAAGAATAGACTGCAAAGTATCCCGGATGAGATTTGTCATCTAACCCACTTGACCGAGCTTCACCTGGCAGATAACTTCCTTGAAAGGTATTGTCTCCGTCAAAAGCAGAAGGCGTAGAGTGGCAAAAACAGGATAAAATCGTTAAAAGTTTAAAGATAAATGGGCATTGTGAATTTCTAACAGCTCACTCGAATACATATCTGCTTTTCAGTTTACCAGAAAATATCGGATTTCTGAAAAACCTGACACGTTTGATTTTGTACAAGAATCGACTAACTGAGCTACCACAGGTAAACGCGGTTATTTATTTAAGCACGCAACAAGATACTCTATTCAAGATGATGTATTTCATGGACGTTTTTCATTCCGTTTTTTAAACTATCCATTTTATAACCCTAAGGACCGTATTTTATTTCCTTGCAGGGCTTGTCAAAATGTTGTAAATTAGAATACCTCGATGTCTCTTGCAATTTCATCAAATACTTTCCGGTCAACGTGAGTGACGAGAGAGTGCAGTAATACGCATGCGTCGTAGCAAAGTTTACAAGTAGCTATTTGATTGAAGCATTGAACTCAAATACATGGAACGCAACCTCAAGCAAATAATTGAAGCCATATCTTACGCCAGACATGCGAGATTTTACCCCAGACACGCGTGTTTAGTGTTTGATTGACTTCACACGCGTGTCTGGGGTAAAATCACGGCTTCAAAAAATTATTAGGATTTTATATAAGAGGTAGCTTTCCATGTATTTTAGTTCAATAAATTAAACTGACGTTTTGATGAGCGTCGACGGTTGTTGGCTGTGCCGTATAGCCAACCAGCCCGTACGTTTGTTCGTGCTATGTAAATTTCAGAACAATATGATTTATTTTTTATAATCTATTTTAATTTACTTTTTTTAAGTAAGATTACATAGCATGATGAACAAACTTGCTGGTTGCCTGCGTCACCATATGTTCTACGTTCAACCTACGTCAGTATATGTTCTACGTTCAACCTACGTCATCATATGTTCAACATTCAACCTACGTCAACCATATGTTCTACGTTCTACGTAACCAACCCATGTTCCATCATCAACCATAAGAAGAGAATCCATGGTTGAAGAAAGATTGAAAACTTTCTTCTTTCTTCTAGTTTTATGCTTTGCCTTTACGAGAGCTTTATTGCGAAGGAAATAATCTATTGAAGCATCTTCCCCTTCATTCTGAACAAGTTGAAGAGGTCTTGTCGCTCAAAGAGTTGACGGCGCGTTTTGTAATGAAGAAGAACAGAGATAAGTAAGCTCGAAATATTCCTTCGGAGCGTACAGAGATAAGGTGTTGGGTAAAGTAATAAATTTGGTAATGCAGACAAAGTAGATACACCTCTTTAAGGCGAATTTCTTTGTAGCCAATTGTTTCGATCAAATTTTACTTCTCTCAGCCCGCAGTGACGTAGCCAGCCCGCATGTTTTAGTCTTGCTATGTAAGTGAATACAAAAAAATTGCATAGCAGGCTAAGCAAGGTCGCTATGCCAGTGATATTCGCCATGCCGCTAACAAGCAAATTTTTAAACTTTTACGGGGCAAAGTACAGATAATTTTGTTGTTCACATTTTGTCTTACCTATCGTAGACGATCCCATATTCGTGTGCAACTTCGCGAATGTCCCGAAATAAAAGATATGCTTTCCTTTGCCGGGGATTGTGCCTTGTGTGGTGAATCGTTTCTTAACACATGGTTGGAATGCGTCAGTTTTATTGATTGTAAAAAGGTATTCATTCACTAATGTTCATTGTTCATAACACCAAGTATAGATCATTTTCAAAAAGTCACCTGACTTTATGGCCGCCATGTTCGTGCACCAATTATAAAGAATTTTAATGAAGTTCTTTGGTTTGGTACACCAATACATCCGCTTCATGTTGAACCCTGAGGAATGAGCAAAAATAATCTATATCGGAGTTGAAATGACATAGTTGATTTATGGACCACGCCTCTCGGCCTTGCAGTAGTTGCATTTAACGTTTGCGCATGTGCAACTTTATTTTGACAATGAGAACCTCAATTTTAGTATATGCTATTTCTGGGGCTTACTCAAGTGTGATCAACTCAACAGGGTCTGGGGACAAGGAACTCACCCGGAATCGTACCCATCAGAGGCCAGCTGTGTTCGTACAAGTGCTTCAATTCTGAAGGCCATGATTATTTTGGCATAGCACAAGTGGATGGTGGACAATGAATGATAGTCATGGACAATCCGATGATGTATGGTAAGTATTGTGAGAAAGACAGGAACATTAAAAATGAAAAAAGTTCAGGAAGAACTACATGAACCATTGGAATGCTAGTTACCACTTCTATTACATTAATTACTTGAATCGCTGAAAAATTATTCAGCAGCTTTGAAGCAAATCTTATAGCTCAACATTAGCTGCCATGCAAATTTTTCCAAGTTAAATTAGTGCGGAAACAATAAATTTACTTAGTATGATCAAAACTTGCAGTCTGGCAGTGCTACCCTAGTTTAACACAAGGCCGATTCTTAAATGTTTTAGATAAAATCAATATCTCCACCGAAACAGTAAACATGGAAGTTTTGAAAAGGAAGAGCACAGATTTTGTCTCAGAATATAAATAAGGAAGAGGAACTTAAGCTGAATGAAGTCATTTCAGTCAGTCCTATGGATCTTTTAGGCTTTCAAGACATTATCAATGAGACATTAATATACAAATGTACGTGTATACGATGATAAGCAGTGATTTACTGTCAATAATGACCTAAAATGATCCAAGTATGTTAATAATTGAGGAACTATTTACGTCACGTAGATCTTTTCTGGAATCATCTAATTGGTGTGAACCTTATTTAAACATCAAAATATGACGCCATGTAATCCCTTCAATTGTGCACGTACGTATACACTGTGTTTGTTTGAATTCACAGCAGTAAGGAGACCTTACAAAGGCTCTTATATTTCTGTAAATGCTTCGGTATCTTTACGACTCATTCCGTGTAATTTGCTCTCTAATTCTTTTATTTTGATGTCCTTGTCCAATAACATATCTTGTTGTTCCTTCATTTTACGACGAAGTTCGTTCTTCTCCCGTTCTGAGTCGTTCAAAATCCTTTCATAGTGGTTTTTGCACACCGTGACTTGCCCACGAAGGATGGCATCCCTTTCCGTTTCCCTTCTATCGCATATTTCTTTCAACTTGCGATACCTTTCCTCTTCGTTGTGGATAACCTGCTGTAGGTCATTCAACACGACGGAGCTTACGTTTTTAACGAGTTTGGAGATACGGCGATTGTTGTTCAAGTCTTGCCTGGAATTGTCACAATTACCAGACATGTCGTTCTCATTGTTTTGATATTTCTTCAGCCTTTCCCGCATTTTAGCGGCAAGAACTCGAGCATTGTCCCTCTCATTTTCTAAACATCTCATCTGCTCTAATAAAGACATGATCAGCGATTCCGAGCTGACAAAAGACACCGCATAATTATCCATTTTCCCGATTGATTTTCGCACCCTTTATTATTATGATTTTCGGTAAATAATAGCCTGAGATTTCTTTCCATTTCTATAAATTGCAACTTCTCGTGACATAATTGTTTCTTTGTAGGGCCATCGAATAAATTATACGCATTGTTGACATTTTGAACTTCCTGCTGCTGTTATGCAAAAATATATCAAGCAACGCCAACGTATTGTTGAAAATTCAATACTCTCTACCAATATTCACATAGAAACGTTTCACATGTACCATCAGCTACTCTTATATTCAATAATCCGCAAAACATTAAAATATTGCATAAATACAAACAATTATTTGCAAAAAGAGACCGCTGGCTGAAACCGAAACAAACTTGGCGCCTTCTGCGCACTGCGCCTTCGAACAAAATGTGGTCAGTGGTTTTCTTCTATAATTATTATGCTTCATGTAATGCTGGTTATTGTATACCGCTATACGTGTGAAGTCGTTGAAAATTATATTAGTTCAGCTTTTTTCAGATTATAACGTCCCGTTATTAGTTGAATACATAAATAGCCATTTTAAATTTGCCCCTTGAAAAAGCAGCTTGATAATACATTTTCGCACCATTTTAAAACGTAATTGATTGTTACTGTTGCCGTTACTGTTATTTTAATGTATACTCGGTACTCTTAAACAAGTTTGATCATGCCATGTAAATTTGATATCGTCGGCATTACTTATTTCTATAGTTAACTTTATACAGTGAGTGGACAACGGCCAAACTTGCCGGGTGACCACGCCAACTGTCATGAAATTTCTAGTGCAAATCATTAGAAGCATTGAAATACAACAATTATAAACGGATATAATTTGGAATGCAAATACTTTGTCGTCCATTTTATATTTTTTGCTCGCGTGATCAAAAAAAATTGTTAACATTGACGTTTGCACTTCGTTAATTGTAGCGGTAGATTAATTTAAGTATACAAAGCTGGATTCCCCATGCAGAATGAAACTTTTCTATGTAGCTATAACGTGTGAAATCACGTTGGAAACAATCGTTGGAAAAAGCTATTGAAAATCCACGAAAATTGGTGACGTCACGTGAAGACGGACAAAATTGATAAATTATTAAGATCGATGATTATGTTGGAAAATCTAATAAAGGATATCGTTAACTTGATTATACCCTCATCGTGAACACGAGACTCAAGAATTGTTCGTAGTTGATTTGAATCCATCCATTTCTGTTCGTGTCATAGTTCTGAAACGCTTGCGTGAGGTTCTAAAAAAAGTACATATAAATCGTATGATTGCCTTGTATAAGATAATCCGGAATCCAGAGCTCAAGGAAATTCATTCGAATCCGAAATCCACGAGTATCGAATCCGGAATCGACGAGTATGAAATCTGAAATCCACGCGTATGGTCCTGTAGGGAATCCGGAATCCAACAACACTATGCATTTCTTCAAATGGGGCGGATTCGCATGTATTGGCGACTTATTTGGCGACTTAACTGGCCGTCAATGACGTCAATTGACGGTTGGGAGTTAAAATTTGAAATATACTCAGAAACTACACCTGACTTGTTGCATGAATACTTTCACTTCCAGAGTAAAATTTTCACAGGCATTTACTAGGATTTGAAACGTAAAATCAAACAAGTAAGTGATGTATGAATGACACAAAAGTATAAGTCAGCCCTGGATTTTCTTTATCCCCCCGATGATCCATTACGAGGAGATCAAAGTATCAGTGCTAAAACATGATATACGTATGCTTGGTTGCAAATTCACTTGATAGCCGAAGTGTACAGTACTGGCTAGCTCCGTATGTAATTGAAGGGTTATTTTGCAAAACTTTGTGTATTTTTGCTTTATACACAACCAAATAATAGCAGCTTTATCTCTGACGCTTTTAATGTATGCAAATAGCTTGAGAGTTTCAAACTATGGGTTCAACAAGTACTCAACAAGAGCAAGTTTGACTAACCTGGATAACAACACAACACTGAATAAAATCGTCGAATTTGATGACGCCTTGACCGCTACGATCAAACTTTCTCAACAAAATACTGTAAAATCTGTCAGATAGACGATATCCTAAAGGAGTAAGTTTGCACATTAACTGGACAGTGTTGAACGAAAACAGCACATCAAGAAAACATTGTTTTTCGTAATCAAGAAAATATGATAACATTGTTACTTACCAAAACTTGTCAAAGCTAAAAAAAGAAAAACAATGTTATTCATAGCGTCAGTAAGTATTTACAACGTTCTTCATTCAAGATAAATCTTTAGTCAAATGTTAAACTTTACCAAGTTATTTGGATGATCTATTTAAGTTTATCGTTTTCAGATGAAGGAAATTTAAGTTTATCGTTATCAGATGAAGGAAATTTAAGTTTATCGTTATCAGATGAAGGAAATTTAAGTTTATCGTTTTCAGATGAAGGAAATTTAAGTTTATCGTTTTCAGATGAAGGAAATTTAAGTTTATCGTTATCAGATGAAGGAAATTTAAGTTTATCGTTATCAGATGAAGGAAATTTAAGTTTATCGTTATCAGATGAAGGAAATTTAAGTTTATCGTTATCAGATGAAGGAAATTTAAGTTTATCGTTTTCAGATGAAGGAAATTTAAGTTTATCGTTATCAGATGAAGGAAATTTAAGTTTATCGTTATCAGATGAAGGAAATTTAAGTTTATCGTTGTCAGATGAAGGAAATTTAAGTTTATCGTTATCAGATGAAGGAAATTTAAGTTTATCGTTTTCAGATGAAGGAAATTTAAGTTTATCGTTTTCAGATGAAGGAAATTTAAGTTTATCGTTTTCAGATGAAGGAAATTTAAGTTTATCGTTTTCAGATGAAGGAAATTTAAGTTTATCGTTTTCAGATGAAGGAAATTTAAGTTTATCGTTTTCAGATGAAGGAAACAAAGAAAAAATACAAAGAAAAAGATTCAAGGATCAAAAACTTGTTTACACTTGTTTCAAAAAGTCTCACCGCTTTGCAGTTCATTCCTATCAATGCTGCCGGAGTTGTCGCGATCGTAGGTTCGAAAAGTCTTCTGCCAATCAGATATGTAAGTCCAAAGACTTCCAAATTCTTGGAAATTTATCGTGCCATTGTTATCTCGATCAAACATTCCTATTGAGGCAAGTCAGAAATTAGAAACACTGTGAAATATGGCAAATAGAAGCACTTTAACATACTGGTCAGCGGTCAACATACACACATGTCCCACACATTTTGATAGTTACACTAAATTAACCTAAGGCAGCATCCTAAACTCAAAGAATTATAGACATTGAGCATTATAATATTCATTTAAGAAATAAAAGATGTTTACTGTTTGCAAGGCTTATGCAAACCGAGGAGACTGTTGGGAGAACTTGAGAGCAGATCAGTGCAAGCCAGAGAACAAAGGTCAAGGGTTGCACCTGCGCAAGGTTCTCACAAACGTCTCCGAGATTTGCATAACCCAGTGCAAACACAAAAAACATCTTTTATTTCGTTTATAAAATAACAATGCAAAACAGACAAATTTTAAGCAAATGTTTTGATTTTTCCTCAAAAATTTATTCAGGATCGATTTGAAAATTCCCTTTGACTGATTGATTGTTTTGATTGATTTGATTAGTTGAGCTCTGATGTGTTTTGCCAGGCTAATGCAAACACGGCTCTAGACCAATCAACGCATGCTTTTCATTGTGTTTACTTCATAATATATTATAATCTAAAAACAAAATTCGTGAGGGGAGCTCACTAAAAGAAGTATCACAACCATACTGAAACATAAGTTTCATAGGGATGCGGTAAAAACTCACCAATCATGAGCCTCACTGTTTCTGGGTTAAAAGCAGTCCATGAACCTAAAAATTAGGCAGGCAATAATTAATTAGTTAATAATTTATAACCTCAAAGAGTATCAAAGTCTGTAAACTAGACCAAGTGGAAAGTATGAGATTTCACAAAACACGACCTTCATTGGGTTGAATGTATTTTTATATTGAAAACTTTAGTTGGACATCATTATCTCTATCCAAGCAGGGTACAGTGTTGAACAGTACTATAGCTATCACTACATCAATGCTAACACTACATTGCAATAACAAGTTAGCAACTGTAACAAATGAAAGAATTTGTTACATGTTTGTAGATGTTGATTGTACAGGTTGGTGGAGTCCCAAGGACTGTTGGTGTTAATGTTGACTGACTTTTCGATAACCTTAGCAGTAGGTTAGTTGATTTTGAAAACAACTACCAAAGATGACTCTGGAGATGACTACCACAGAGGTTGTCGAAATGTCAGTCAACACAAAAACCAACAGTCCTTCTCGGGACTCTACTAACCTGGACAATTGAGATATATGAAGAAATTGTAAAAAATAATATTATAACGTAAACAGGGTCGAAATTTCCTCTATATGAAAACAAAGTTTCGTTAAACTGTGTCGTTGCCTTACAAACAATTATGGTCATGACAATGAAGCAGTTATATGTAACATGGAAAATTTGTTGACAGTTGAGATGAGAAGTCAAGAACAGGATATTTCATTAAAAGCATGATTTGGAAATTACAAGTGGTATGTCTTGTGGTTATTTCCTCTCATAATACATCTTGTATTCAATTTCAAAGGCAAACCAGCGATTATCTCTGACGGTCTTACCATTTGACAAAGCTTGTTGAAGTTCAACTGCGGATATTGAGCCGCTCCTGTCACGATCCACGCTGAAAAATACAACAAATGAAAGAAATATAACGGAAATGTAACTTCTTCCCCTTTCAGATTTTTCCTCACCTTTGAAAAACTCCCAAAAGAAAATTTTGATCCACACCTGCAGGCTGCCTGTAGTACGCCATTTTGAAGTTTAGTGCTGAGTGTAGTGAAGGAAATATATATATAGCTTCCGAGGAAATATAGCTTATCCTACACAATTAATAAGTTATTTTCTAACGTGTTGATCGATACTTCGCTTCTCTTTAAAAAGTAATTGCGAAAGACGATTTTGAAAAAGAGACTTTAAGGCGGTGTTGATAGTTGGAGCATAAAATTGAGTCCAAAATGAGGGTTTTTAATAAGAATAGTTCAAGGAATTTTCTGTTCTTGGTATTTCGAATGCATAACTAGAATTAACATGGCAAAGGTTAATCCAATCATTGTTTACAATATTGGCCTTGATAAAATATGGAATATTTCTTGACAAAAGCATTTTTCTCGCTATATTTTATGTTATCACTCATTTCTATTATCCCTAAAAGTTAAAAGAAGCGAACGAGAAGTAAAATACGTTTGTTTCATCAGTTATCATGCCAACTTAAAGCCTCTGGCTTCAGCGGAAGTAATGAATAATAAGTATTCGAAACCCTCGAAAAAATAACAAGGAAATTATACCCAAGTATGTGCGGTAGCTCAAGACGTATTTATAAGACCTAAATCAAAATGCCACCAATCAGCAGATCATTTTATGGAACATTTTTCAAAGGTAATTTTATCAGATTTCATAGGTCCCATTTCTTTCGTCCGTCACATTTTTAAGTCTTAAGTTCCATGTCCAATATAAATGTTCTAAGAACATTTATATTCATAGCCTGTTGCAAAGAGATAGGTTTACATAAAGGAATTCATTCTCTACTATCAAAAATGTAGGATCGACACGGATAGAAACGGCTCTATTAATGGTGATGAACTTCAAAGGGCCTTGGCAAATGGTGGGTATCTTTACATCAAACTGATTGACAATTTCATAAATACAATCGTAACTACTTCCTGGTTTCATTTACGAGAAGTGAAACCTTATTTGCACTGAGAAACCTGCATTATATTCAAATATCTACTCTGAGTTTTATTCAGGGGCTGTGGAATCCTTTGAAAGGTGCAGGTGTGCCATGCTCACTATGTGATCACACGCAATAGATAAATTAGTAATGAAACTGCTTTATATTAATTATTTTTATTTGGTTCTCCTCTTTTAACTGCATCATTGTAAAAACTGAACATTCATGTGATAAATTTTCAAACAAGAGCAAAATTTGTGGGTGTCCTTCCTATGTAAGGTATACTCACACTCCATAAACTGTAAAGTGACAACCAGACACCCATAGTTTCCCAAGCCCATGGTTATATTGTTCAGCAGTTTGATGGTGGTCATTTCTTTTTCAACAATTCATCACTCATTCTTTGATCAACATCCATGATCTTAAGATCTGTAAAGTTTTCATTGAACCGTTTTAAGGTACTTGGACTCCTTTTAATCCTGAGACCATACGACTTATGATGGGTAATGTTTCTTTTTATTGTTCTATTTCTCTTGTTTACATGCTTAAATTGTTGTATTTGTATACCTGTGTCATTGTATGTGTAGCCACAAATTTAAGTTCAAAAGAGTCAAGTAGTGTTTCACACAGGTTCTCTCAAACCTTGGTCATGAAAAGAACTGTAAGAGAATGAATTGTTCTAGACATTACCTACTACAATAAAGTTCTAAAACATTTGTGTGCGATTACTACCAACCAGACAAGATATCTATAAAGTTCTCCATTTTCAGGGATGTTTGATACAGATGGCAATGGTGTGATTGATTTCAATGAATTTGCTGGTCTTTGGCAGTATGTCTGTGACTGGCAGGAATCATTTCGCAGCTTTGACACTGATAGCTCTGGAACAATTGACAGAAATGAGTTAAAAGCAGGTCTGGTGTATACATATGTACACACACATATATTTCTACATGTTATAAATTGTTAATGGTGAATAAGAAGAGTTCTTATTACAGAAATATCAGTCTTTACATATTATAAAATCGCAGTTGAGTTACAATTTTACAACTTGTCTCATGATTGCGTTAAGCAATGACATTTTACGTTTTGAAAAGAGTTTAAAATCTTCATTATACATGTATTTTTACTTACTACGAAGCATATACATGTCAAATCTTTGCTTGCAGTAAGTTAGGTTCATGATAGAAGCTACGCATGTTATGTTGGTAAAAATAATATAATTTTTTGATTTTTTCAGCTCTTCAAGTTTCGGTAAGATTTTCTTTTGAGTATTTAATATTCAGTGTTTAGTGATATTGAAATGGATCTTGTATACGACTGGTCTATTTTTTGAATTTATCTGACTTGTAGGATACAATCTATCGGAGAGATTTTACGGAATACTTATCAGAAAGTTCGATAGAACTGGCAGTGGAGATATTCGCTTTGATGATTTCATTCAGTGTTGTGTTGTTCTTCAGGTAAAAAACATCAATCACAAGATGATCAAAGTGTTGCTTCACGTAAATTGTTAACTATCTTACTATCTGAAAGCAGGCGCGGATCCAGCTCCTTAGCTGACCGATGCATTGCGAGCGCCGAAGGCGCGAGCCACCGCTAGGGGGGTCTGGGGGCATGCTCCCCCATAAAATTTTTGAATTTTCACTATCCGAGAAGCATTTTCCAGCGATTGTATTATATTACATATGAATACAAGTATAAGTGCTGCATAAGTAATATGACATCGCGTATATTTTATGATGATTGTTCGTCGTTCTGAAATGAGTACACTATTTACATTTAAAACATGTGCTAGATTATAGAATACCCGTCCACTCACTATCTACTTATATAATATGCCTTGTTGAAGGCTTAAGCCTGTATGGGTGCCTTTAAAAATGGACGGGTATTCTATAATCGCTCCAAAACATGCAAGCATAAAGGTAAATTTACTTACTTTAAAGCTCTTAGTTCTCCACTTTGCCAATGAATTGTCAAGTGCTTAGGTATTAACATTTCACTTGACATATCTCTCCCATTTTACCCTTTGAAAGGGATTCCAAGGAGAGGATTTTGAAATAAAAGTAGCAGCTCTCGTTTCATAGGTTCGACGCACTCCATTAATATCAAATGACTTCTCTTCTCGAAGCAGAGTACACAGATCGTGTTTGATATTCTCGACAGCCATGACTTCGATCGATGATTGCGAGTTATATCAAGTGATCAAAAATGCATTCAACTTTGAAGTTCAAAGTTGAATGCATCGGTGCCATGTGCCCACAATCACAAAGTTATGAAAATGCATCGCTCAGCGGCAAAATCTACCGTGACGTGAGGCCCTAAAACAATGGTTTTGCTGATGTCACAGTAGATTTCACGCGAAAAGGACTCGGGACCGATGCATCGACCGATGCATCGCAAATCTACTGTGACGTAGCGATGCCTCTTCCATCTACCGTGACGTGCTGGCAGAATACTATTAAATTACTTACTAATTATGTATTCACGACAAAATTTCGCTAAATTTTATCGACTTTTCTTTCGCTATTTGTGTCATGGAATACGACAAAATTATCGGAGAACACAAATGTTATTTCTAGAACAAATTTTAGCTTAAAACTGCTAAATCTATAAGTTAACTAAACAATATATCACTGTCAAATGTGCGTTTTAAATAATTCGAAAATAATATTTGCTATTTATTTCATTAAAATGCAAACTCGCAGATTTTAATATCTAAATATTTTGACCGATGCATTCGCATCGGTTGCATCGGTCTAGATCCGCCCCTGTCTGAAAGTTGGCTGTCATTCCCAGATAAAGATATCGGTTTTAATAATTTGCTTTCAACTTGAATTAATTACACAATCTGATTAGCACAATCTCTAATTATGATGGCTAAAGAATTAAGAAAAAAGGTTCACGAAAGCCTTATTCCGATCAATTTTGATGGCATTAAAAAAGGCATTAATGTCTCATGAATTGTTGGGCCGGCACTCCATTCCTGCACAAAAATGTCACACCATGAGCTGCATAGTAGTAGCTTGACAAGTAAAATATCTTATAAATTGTGTTTTTACCTCTAGACTTTGACCAACGCTTTCAAACAACGCGATCATAACTTCAATGGATGGATAACCGTCAGCTACGAACAATTTTTAGCAATGGTGTTTAGTTGCAAGACGAAGTAGATATATCATCTGCAATACTGCCGAACATTGACGTACCTTATGCTATTTTATGTATTTTATATATATGCACAAATTCACAACAAATATTTTAACAATAGTGTTAAGTTGCAAGACGAAATAGAAATATCATCTGCAATACTGCCGAACATTGACGTACCTTATGCTATTTTATGTAAATATATATGCACAAGTTCACAACAAATATTTTTAACAATTGTGTATAGTTGCAAGACGAAATAGAACTATCATCTGCAATACTGCCGAACATTGACGTACATTATGCTATTTTTTGTAAATATATATGCACAAGTTGTCAACAACTATTTTTAACAATTGTGTTTAGTTGCAAGACGTAATAGAAATATCATCTGCAATACTGCCGAACATTGACGTACATTATGCTATTTTATGTAAATATATATGCACAAGTTCACAACAAATATAATTACATTCTTCAATGTAAGCCTTGATTTTTTGTTAGCTATAAAGATGAATTGTAGTTCTGCAACTGTGATAAGTGATCGAGCTGTTGTGACTATGTCTACTCGGCTGTATTCAGACATTGTAATTTAGCTTACTCAACTAAGAGTTATATGATCTGAACTTTGCCAAAAGTCGATCGCTCAGAATTGGCGTTTGAATTTAATTTTCCCACTTATTGAGCATGCAAATAAGCAAAACAACTAAAAAGTATTAAGTATTTGTAGTCGACTCTTCACTTTCCGCTTCATTCGATTATAGAAGGCCAGACATTTCTATCACAAAGTACTATAAATTGCCACTACAGTAAAACTGAAAAGGCTAACGTTATAGAAATCAATGACTTATGCTTGTTTGGTTGTGTAAGGACTCGGATAAATGGGTATTGGAGAACCTCGTCAGCTAAAAGTAAACACTGTGTACATCAAATACACGAAAAATCTGCAGCAACATGCAAAATAAAAGCAATGAGAAAATGAGCTGGGTGAGCACTCAACGGCCTAGCTCTACCAAATTTGCTCGAATATGCCCAATGTTCTTCTGCTTCGCAACATTATCGGTTGCAAATTGCATTCAACATCTGCATCTGTTTTGAATGTCACTGAATTACATTTTAGTGTTCGGTGAACTTTATACCGTATATAGGAATGCATTTAAAAATTAACATTTGTTTATTTAGGGTGTTTACATGAGTCCGGAATAATTTTCGATCCGGATCGAGTTCACTCCTATTTTCATTCCGGATCCAAATTAAGTTTTCTATAATCTTCTATAATCTTCTATAATCTTCTATAAGCCTTCTAAAATCTAATGAAGCGGAAAGTGAAGAGTCGACTACAAATACTTAATACTTTTTAGTTGTTTTGCTTATTTGCATGCTCAATAAGTGGGAAAATTAAATTCAAACGCCAATTCTGAGCGATCAACTTTTGGCAAAGTTCAGATCATATAACTCTTATTTGAGTAAGCTAAATCACAACGTCTGAATACAGCCGAGTAGACATAGACACAACAGCTCGATCACTTATCACAGTTGCAGAACTACAATTCATCTTTATAGCTAACAAAAAATAAAGGCTTACATTGAAGAATGTAATTATATTTGTGATTAAACACGGATTGACATTACGTTTCGCGAATTGAGTTTCATTCTGGAATGAGATTGTGATTAATGACGAAACACGCATTCGCCATGGGTATTGTCTTCTGGGAAATTAAAGATCGTAAGCAAACAAGGCGGCTAAATGGGCTTAAATGAGTGCAAAGAAAAACAAAAATTAATAAACGCAGGAACAGAAAAAAGGGTTGCTATAATGTTTATGTTTGCCATCTTCAAATTTCAAAATTTCTGCGAAAGGTCATTCTGTGTGTTGACTTCCAATGTAAACACGGATTGACATCACGTTTCGATCAAGATTGAAAGTCATTCTAGATTCCTGTGAACACCCACTTACAATGCACTAATGAATTACAAAGGAAATATAGTAGCACAAAATTGCTTTCGTTAAAAATTGCTACTTTGATTGCTCATGAGCAAATGGAGGATTACTATTCGTAAGTTTATGTTTCCGTTTGCAATATACCCTGAGAACTTTGTTGAAAATGAATAAAGTGGAGGCGGTTGTGCAATTCTACAAACACATCAGAGTCGAACTCATCTACAATATCGTGTTTGAAAAGAAAATTATAGAAGAAGGCGAACTCTATGAAGAATTGAAAGGAAGAACAGGTTTAGACGACGCACATCTTTTGAAGATTATACGTTGGTCTGAGGTATCTAGTTTGTTGCGTGCTATTCCAGACATAGAAGTTGTTCTCGGTGCCATTGTCTTACTTGAAATTAATACAAACAGCGTTCTGCAGCTTATGAATGAGACATACTTAATAAAAAATCGGTTTCTAAAACTCACTGTATCGCAATATCGTGAGACAGTGTTTAGGGCATGTAGTGAAATTATAAAGAAAAACAATCGTAACTTTTCTGACTTGACCAGCTGTCGTGACAAACAGACCGGAAATACGCCATTACATTTGTTGGCGTCTCTTCCAGCAATCAGTTTTAATGCCAACCTACTCAAGTATTTACTACAGTCTGGAGTAGACCCGTTTGCCGCGAATAACGAAGGCCAAACTTTCTTGCATATCCTATTGGGAAGATATAAAACAGTGAGCAATTACGATGATTTTTACCCTTATAAGAGACTACCAACTACGAAGTGGTTTAAACAAGACAACACAGCCGTTCTTCAAATTCTTGATCACATACCGCCTTCTCAAGTGTCCTTATTGACAAAAGCGCAAGATAATGAAGGCAATACCTTGATGCACGAGTTTGCCTCATCCGCCATCTTGCAGGGTGAACTTGTTGAAGGACAAGAGGTTTGCAGGAAGTTACTCGAAATCGACCATGGGCAAAGTTTAAGAATTCCCAACCATAAAGGTAATGTTCCTCTTCATTGTCCTTGCGATCCTGCGATCTTTAACATACTCGTTGAATCGCAGCCGGCATGTTGTCGTGTAAGAAACGATCGAGATGAAACACCATTATTGTGCATATTGAAAAAATCCGTTTTATTTGCGTTTGGTCGAACGCTTGTATTAAACGAACTCCGAGAAGAAGGTGATGTTGGATACAACGACTTAGTGGATAGTCCAGGCCTGACCAAAGCCATTGATTTGATCCAAAATCTCATAAAAGTTCATGCCCCCAACGAAAAAATCTTCAAAAGTGTTTGGATTGCCGACCAAGATGGTAATACTGCCATTGATGTCGCCCTGATCGCCATTCGGATTGGATCTTATGATTTGAACAACACAAGCTGTCAAATGGCGGAACTTCGTTCGTCGATGGTGACACTGTTGGATAAAATGCTTTCTCTTGCAAATCCGGAAGACGTAAGACGGAAAAACAAGCGAGGTAGAACATTCCTTCATCAGCTGTTGGACATCAAACAAGCTGTCGTCAAGGAAGCGTATGTACTCCAAGCCGTTGAAATCCTCCTACAACACAATGTTGATGTAAATGCCGTTGACGTTCAGGGGCGTTGTGCAATGAACATGATTTGCAAAGTCTACGATAAGTCCCCAAGTTTTTTCAACAAGTGCGCCGACTTACTTTTGATAAACGGGTCATTAGTCAATGAGATTAACCATGTCTTGCCCTTTTCTTCTTCTTCCGGAAACATGACGCGAAAGTTGCGGTCATGCCCCAAGCGTCACTTAGAACACGCCAATCGTTTAGCTCGTGGAAATGGTGCGATAACAGTTGTCGACAAGTATCGTTATCTTCGTCAAGAGTCTATTGGATCCGGAGCGTTCAGTAACATATTTGTCGCAATCAAAGATGAAAACGTAGACAACATATCTGGTACCATTCAGTGTCGGGCATATGCTTTGAAACGAATCGATAAAGCAAGGATTACTCCTGAAGAAATCAAACGCGAAACGACTGCATTGCTTTCTTTGTCTGGCAAATGTGAGAATATCATCAAGTATCACGATTCTCTGGAAGATACATTCTTTCAGTATCTTGTCCTTGATTTAATGGATGGTGATCTTAATGAATTCGTTGGCAACATGGAAGCCAACTCGGTTCTAAGGAACGATCCAAGTCAATGTGTAGAAGTAACAAAACAGATCATCAATGGATTGGCGTTCCTGCATCACAATGGTTTCATCCATCGCGATCTCAAACCTGGAAACATCCTGTATTCAACGGAGCATCATCTGCATTTCAAAATTGCAGACTTTGGACTTGCTAAAGATATCTCGGCTTTATCGACCATGACCTCGACACGTGGAAATGCGGTTTTAATGGTAGCTGGTAGTCGATGCTGGATGGCACCAGAATTAGTCAGCATGAAGTCATTGAAGCACACCAAACAGTCAGATATCTTTTCTTTGGGTTTGATTCTTCATTATCTGATGTCATTTGGGAAACATCCTTTTGCTACTCCAGGTGACGAACGTCCTCACGTTGTTGAAAGGAACATCGAGGAGATGAACGGCAACCTTAAAAATGATCTTCATCCCGAAGCGGTAAGTTTTCTTGGGGCATTGTTGAATGTACAGCCATCGAGAAGAACACCAGCTGCGTATCTCAATCAACATCCTTTCCTCTGGAGTGACCACAAGAAGATGGAATTTCTCAGAGCAGTTGGCGATCAACCAGAAGCTATAAAACCGGGTAACTTTTTGCTTTCGGAAATTGAACAGTGTCTACAAAAAACACGAACCGGTAAATCCTTTCAACTGAAACCATGGAGTAAAGAAATACCAATGCTGCATCAGGAAATAATTACTGCATGGAAACAGAAAAACTACAGAACAAATAATGTGATCGATCTGGTAAGATTCATTCGTAATGCTTACGCGCACAAACAAGAAAGATCAATGTGGTTTCAACAAGTGCTGGACAACAGCATCTTTCTTCGAAAATTTCCACGTCTTGTTCTCGATGTGTTTGGTGTTGTACAACGATTAGAACTTGAATCTCGAAACACCATTCATTCAGCTTTAAGCTTGTGATTGCAGAAAATTGGTAATTCGAGGAGGGGGGAATAGCTGACATTCATAAATCCGTAATGACACAATCAATTTCAAAAGAAATTTTAAAGTAGTATTTTCTATTTTTTTACTCGAGCCTCTCATGTCAACGATTTTTTTATATTAGGACATTGTGTAATCCCCCTCATTTTCTTCCCCTCTCTATCTTCCTCCCCTACAAATAACCCCCCACTTGAAAGTTAACAAAAAGAAATAAATACACACGGGGTTGTATTTATGAAATACGAGGTACACATGTACCATCCAAAGAACACTCATCTCTGGATGGAACAGGGTATTCATGTACCATCCAGAGATGATTGCAACATCCAGTCATACAAGAATTATTCCATTATTTAATTAAGAAGTATTCCATCATTAAAGAATTACATTTACGGGTTTACCACAACAGACTTTTTAAACCTAATTGACGAACATGTTGCAAGTCTTTGTCCATGTCCGACTAAGACACGAAAATTTATTCTCTTACATAAAAGATCCCCTATAATTATGATGAACTTTTTATTTGACATTGGACGTTTTTGTGATATTAGAAGATTTGTGAGTTTTTTCACATTTTCCTTGCTTGCATTTATTATTGCCAACAAAATTTATTTTTTATCTTAGAAAGTTACTTACCATAACAATCAAAAATTTTTCATAAAACAAATACGTAACTACCAAATGCAACATATTTTTAAGATATGTAAACAACTGACCATAGGTTATTTTATTCACATAGCACAAAAACTTTCAATAGTTTCAGAGAACTAAGAAAGCAGACATTATTTCATGATTAATAATATACTTGAAAAAATTTCTCAATTCGGATTGTTTGAGAGCAGTGCAATTTATCGTAAATACCAGTGCAAAAAAGCGAAACGCCGGTGCAATTTATTTTCGAAAAATGTGCTCCTGATTGATTACTCAAACAAAAAAGTGATCTAAGAGCCGATCAAAACAAAACATTTGAAAAGCGGGAAAGTTAAATAAATGCAAACAAAGCAATAACAATGGCTGGCGTAAGTTTTAAGTAAATTATCTTTGTCAAACGAGTTGAAGTTCACCGTTTTGAAGATGTTTCTGGATACAAATATGAACACTGACTAGTGCATGTTTTCCCAAATTGAACTGGAAACCATGCTATTACCTATACATAGTGCCTGACAAACCTCTTACGACAACAAAAAATTTCGTATCATGGGCATTTTAAAGTCGCTTGTAATAAATAAGACACACTCGTTATTCAATAAAAGATGATTAGACTATATAGGTATATAAGGTTGTTAATTGACAAAAAACCATGTAGTCAACAGCTAACATTAAGCCATCTCCATTAAAATCATCGTTGTCCTGCTATTTCTAGTAACAATGCTTCCTTATGGAATTCATCTATCTTTATTGCGTAAGAGTGATGATCTGCACTTTGCCAATACAAACGTTAAAAGAACATTACTATATTTTGTAAAACAAAATGTCCACACAAAGGCTGCTAGAAACGTGCTTATAATGAAATTGTAACAATTTGATACAAGATACTCAATAGGCACTACGGTCCTGTGTTCATAAGCCTGTTTGAAATTAACAGTGCAAATGCATTTCATATATTGTCCATGATTTGACCAAGATGCAACGGGGAAATTTTATATGATGCATTACAATTCACAATGTATATGTGAATTGTAATGCATCATATAATGCATCATGTAATGCATCATCACAGGCTAAGTTTCATATATGTGCCGATAATATAAGAGAGCTCGAATGATCTACACTGGGTAATAAACTATTATTGCTGTCAAAAAAGTAAAACATATGTCACTAAACTTTAATTCTAAAAAGTTAATTTCATAAATAGTAATCCATCCGTTGTTCAGGTGTGCAAGGATGAAATGACATTTTTCCTCTAAAGACGAACCGTCATGATTCTAAAGCTACTTTTATAGCACTCCTGGAATGAAGTCCTGCTTGTTGCACAACATCAAATACATCGACAACAAGGGGGGGAAACTTAAATAGAAAAACACTGTTTTCCAACTGTTCTTGTAAATCAACTGATCTCTCCTCTCTGTGTGCGTAAGCATTGCGAATGAATCGCACTAAGTCGATCACTTTATCTTCCCTATACTTCTTTTGTGACCATGCTTCAGTCATTTCCTCGTATAAATCTTTAATTTCTTCGTCCCAGGGTATAAATTCACAAGTTTGAGTTTTCTCCAAAAGTTCTTCCAGTTCGGAGTTAGGATATTTTGCAGGGTTACGCGCTTCGTTTTGATCGCCAACCGCTTTTAGAAATTCAATTTTCTTATGGACACTCCAAAGGAAAGGATAAGAATGTTTATTGAGGTGCGCAGCAGTTGGTCTATTCGATGGTTCTACATTCAACAATGTAAGAAGAAAACTTTTCGCTTCGGGATGAAGATCATTTTTAAGGTTGCCGTTCATCTCTTCGATGTTCCTTTCAACAACGTGAGGACGTTCGTCACCTGGAGTAGCAAAAGGATGTTTCCCAAATGACATCAGATAATGAAGAATCAAACCCAAAGAAAAGATATCTGATTGTTTGGTGTGTTCTGATGACTTCATGCTGACTAATTCGGGTGCCATCCAGCATCGACTACCAGCTGCCGTAGAAAACGGATTTCCGCGAGTCGACATCATGGTGGATGATGCCGAGATATTCTTAGCAAGTCCAAAGTCCGAAATCTTGAAATCCAGGCGAGGATATCTTGTATACAGAATGTTTCCAGGTTTGAGATCCCGATGGATGTAACCATTTTCATGCAAGAAGGCCAATCCATTGATAATCTGCTTCACAGCTTCCACACCGTTTCCTAGAACAACACTAGCTTCTCTGTTGCCAACAAATTCATTTAGATCACCATCCATTAAATCAAGGACAAGATACTGAAAAAATGTATCTTCCAGAGAATCGTGATACCTGATGATATTCTCACATTTGCCAGACAAAGAAATCAATGCAGTCGTTTCGCGTTTGATTTCTTCAGGATTAATCTTTGCCTTATCGATTCGTTTTAAAGCGAACGGTCGACATTGCATGGTACCGGATTCTTCGTTGAACTGCTCGTCTTTGATTGCAACATATATGCTGCTGAATGCTCCGAATCCAATGGGCTCTTCAAGAAAATAACGAAACTTGCCGACAACGGTTATCGTTGGACCGTTTTCATTCATCAAACGGTTAGCACTGTGAGTATGACGTGGTGGACATGATCGTAACTTTCGCCATTCGGCTAAAGGTGAGTCGTTGTTGTCATTTGAAGCATCGATCTTCGAGAATAATAGCTCAACACACTTTTTGTAAAGTGTTGGCGATGTTTCTTTAAACCCGTTGATTTTATCTTTTACAGTACATCCATCCCCATCATAATCGACGTTGTACTTTCGCAGAATATCAATCGCCTGAATAATGTAATTTTCCTTGATAACATTCTTTTTGATGTCTAGGAGAAGATGAAAGAAACTATGTCCACGATTGTTTTTTCTTTGAAGATCTTTTTTACTTGCTTTGGACAGAATAACGTGCAGTATGTCGGTCAAAGTCACGTAAACATTTGACATGTTTGATGTCATACAATATGATGCTATTCGGATGGCAATCAATATTATATCAATGGCAACGTTATCTTCGTTATCGGGACTCCAGACAGTTTTCATGGCTTCGTTGTTAACGGTGATTATATTTTTCAGGTTTTGTAACAGCTTGTTTGCTGTAGTAATATCGCGTGTGTATGAGTCCCCAACGAGTCCTTCAAGTTTTAATTCACTAAATCCAACCGTTTGGGCAAACGCAAGGGAAACTGATGTTTTCAGAATGTAAAATACTGGAGTTTCGCCATTATCATTTCTTGCTATATAGTTTGCATTCTGTGTCTCTGCAAAAATACTAAATATGCTTGGATTGAATGTGTAATGAAGGGGAACATTCCCGAGTGTGTTTGGAATCCTTAAACATTGCTTTTCGTCAAGTTCTATCAACATACGGCAAGTCGTCGATTCAATAGCTGATAAAGTCTCAAAGGAAGTGGATAAAGCAAAATAATGTAAGACCGTATTACCCTCTTTATCAGGCATTTTACACAAAGACGCAACTTCGGCGGGGGATAATCTGTCGGTCACCAATTCAAGTACAGCTTCTCGATCTTTGTCAAACAATTTTGCGTACGCTCGTTTGGGAATATTATAGAAAATATGGCCAATGCTTTTATAGTAGCATTCACCAAAAAGAACATGCAAAAAGGTTTTACCTTCTTCATTAACTGCAAATGGATTGACCCCTGCGTTGAAAAGATTTTTGAGCAAATTACGATCATCACTAATTCCTGGCAATGTTATTAGGATATGAAGAGCAGTGTTCCTCGATTCATCAAAACATTTATTTATATCGTCCGTCTCGTCTTTATAAATCAATAATTTCGCACAGCTAATCAAAATTTTCCCCCGATGTTGCGATAATTTCTTGCTATGTGAACAAGAAGAACTTCCATCGTCTACGACATATATGTCATCATCCTCATCAAATTTTAAGCCAGGAATATCGCGTATAACGTCCATCAAATCATCTTCACTGACATCATTGCCATAGAGGTCTAAAAATTCTTCCATTTCAAAGCCTGTTTTTTGCTTAAATCTATGATATAAATCGGAATAGTTTACAACATTATCTGCTTTGTTGACGATGTTATAAACCAGTTGAGACATAATCTCTACGAGGAAATTCCTCACAGAAACTTGTGTATCCATTGTAGTGACCAATTAAAGTAGTTCCAAAGAACAAACACGTAGAAATTACTTATGATTTAAGAAAAGTTTTCATCAAAACATTCCGATCTTCGCGACGAATCTTGGCTAAACATGTCGTTGCGGCATTTTATAAGAATTCAGAACAAGTCAGTGCTGCCACTCTGTGTATGCACATTTCACCTACAAAAACTTTATTTTTCCCCTACCACCCCCTATAACCATTTTCCTTGTTTTCCCCTACTTTACCCCTACACAACAACATATTCCCCTATTTTATACCTATGTCGGGTAAGGCCACTGAATTTTTTAGTCTGTTTTCAAAAAATGAATACAAAAAAAGTTTATATAGAAAACTAACTAAGAACATCTGAACGACGAAGTTAATAATTATTTGGCGTAGGAGGAAATGATATGCAAATGACGCAAATGACACACCGAGTTAAAGTCATAGGTTAAAGTTTATACTAAATTGCTTATCTTCTAATGCCATATATGGTCACAAAATGTGCCAAAAAAAGATTCTATTACAGTCACTTGTTCTATGGTGAGAACACGGGAAGAAAAGTATTTTGAGAATAGACATTCTCATTTTTAAACGATTTTTCTTTCCCCTAGAACCCTCACACCCCCCCCCCATTTTACAGTTTTTCTTGTAGGTTTCCCCTACCACCTACAAACCACTAAATCCCTCTACTGTAAGGGATTTCCCCTAAATGTTGAAGGGGATTTCCCATACAACTGGCAGCACTGAAACAAGTTAAATAAACAGCGCACCCGATTGATTACTTAGAAGTCACACAAAGAATCTTCAATTCAGATCTGTTATTGAATTTATTATAAGCATCTGAACTTGCATGGCACTGTAAATCTACGAGTCTAAGTAAAGATCAAAGTACATATTTTCCTTCATATGTCTAAGTACATATTTTTCTTAAAATAAAGCTGAGTGGGACAAGTATTTTCTATAAAGATAACACAGAACTTCCTGGCTAAACGCCCTTTAATCAGCAACCTGTCAACTACCAGGTTTACGCTCCCAACGATTTTCTAATTGAAAACGTTTTCCAAACGTTTGTTGATTTAGATTTATCGAATGATATATGAGTGTTTTATTATTTACAATGAAAATAAATTATTCAAAATATTGTGCATTTTTCTATGTCTTCATAAGTCATATTTTGTTGCAAATATAATCTCAAAACAAGGTCTGGTAAGGTTGTACTTCACGCCACAATTTCAATTGATGGATAATTATGACCTTACTCAGACTATTTGTCATTATGATGATTTTCATCGTTATCTTTATTGTGGAATGTAAAAGGAATTTTGTTTTGCAAATGGCGAAATATGGAGACGGCTAAGCATAAATTAGAAAAATTCGAGACAGCCTCTAAGAAAATGTAAGTAATACTGTGTCGCAAACAGAGAAATATCGAAAACGCTAAGCTTGCATTTCACCTCGACTCGTCCGCAAAGACATAATCTGTGTTTTTCAAACCTGGGAGAACCATTCGTTGAAAAATGCCATCCACGGTTTCACGATACTGAAGCTTCTGTTTTTAACGCATTCGATCCGCCTTCCTGCAGATGTTAAGTAGAAAATTTGTGTCAGAGACTAGCATTAAGGTACATATATTTGATAAAAGGCTTTATGATTAAAGTCTGTTAAATATATTATATTGTTAAATATATTATATTTACCATTAGTTGGCCTTTTAGTAACTGCACTGCAGCTAAAATCTGTTCTTGTTCCTCTTGTTTTTTTATTCCAATTTCGTTAAGATCCGACACGTTTAGCGTCAAGAACGTCTTAACATCAACCTTAAAGGAGAAGAGACCTTTCGTATGTTACGTTGAGCTCGCCGAAAATCCTGGTTGTTCACGCGTTAGAGAAATTTAAAAAAATTATGTGAAATAGTAGACCTGTTGCTCTTCCAGTATGGCCGTGTACTGTTGCAGTGAAAGCCTTTCCAATAAGTCCTTCATCATTTCTGTGATAAACGAAATCATAATTGAATAGCAAAGTTGGTCCAGTTAAGTAACGAATTAATGGTTCGGTGATTTCTACATAGCTGAAACTATGTAACCGAAATGGTTTGGCGATCGTGAATGTTACTACAGAGGATCAGAAATTGAATTCCTACAGAGACATAATGACATGATTTAGTTTGTATTTGAAGTTGAAGTGAAGCAGTGTTTCTTTCTAATCTTTAATTTTTTAAGGAGAGTTATTACTATCGATTTGTTTGTTGTGTTGTTTATCGATTTCTTTACTTTCTCTTGTAAAATAGACGCCTCCCTCCTTTGAAACCCTCCCTTCAATACTCGCCTCACTCCAATACAAGCCGCGTCAAATTTTCTTAATTAATAAGCCCTTATTAACCGAGCTCGAGGTCTTTACGAAGAAATATCGGACCGAAGTTTTTTGTAAACCGAGCAAGCGAGGTTAATAAAAAGTTTATTATATGGCATTTTTGACCTGAAACGAAGCTTGCTTTTTTTCTCTTCTTTGCTGTTTTGTACGGGTTGGTTTTCACTTTTCTAGTTTTCGTCAGTAAAAAATAAATCGTTTCAAATTGTATCGTCTGGATAGTTAAACTGTTTTCCAAGTGTTTTTCCTTCGACTCTCATTCGCAAATGGTTTTCTGTTTCGTTTTTTGGCGCGTTTTGCTATTTGCTTTACGACATTTGTTTACATTTGACTGCAAAATTACGCACTTTGGACCGTGGTCCATTACACGAAATAATGAACCGGCAAATAAGTTTCTGAGCCAATCAAAACGCGCCATTTTGCCAGAAGTGACGCTTGCCATATAATAAAAGCTAAAAAACTAGACGTGTGTATGAGGAAATACGATAACTTCTAACTTGCAATTCTCCCTACCTGGATAACCAGAATCGAACATCGTTTTCGAAAATGAACCTTGGGAAGTAGAAATAACGGAGGTTCGGCCAATTCTCGGAAGCGAGTTTGCCTTTCGTTTTGAAGGAGGTTTGCATGGAGGTGTAGGAGATAATGAAAAAGGTTTTTGAGAAGTGGAAGCATTGCCGTGGGACGGTGATATTCGGGGAGTGTAAGACAAGGCGTCAATCTTGAAACGAGAATGTCTGTGATATAAAAACATTAGAAAGTGTTGTTTAGTTGCCGAATTTATTGAATCACCCGCTAAGAATACAAACATTATGCAAAACTTCTCAAATAAAAATTCATAATTTCATATCAGCAATCGTTTCAATTGCACCTAACGATTTTATAAGCAACAAGAGGTACAAGAAACCATATTCCTAGAAAGTCGAGTCTCTGGGATGAAAATTAGAAAACGTCAATTGGACTTGATAAAAGAAAGGGACACATACGCAAGGTTTGTGCCATTAGTTAGCCACATTTTGGGATTCGGAAGATCAGGAGGCTTTGGAGTTCGACTGTGAACGCGACCATTCGTCCCCGGGTGTATTTTATCCTTTTTATGTTTTGACCCGTAGGGATATTCATCGAGGTCGTCCTAAAATAGAAGAGAAAGTAAGGAAAGTTGAAGAGAGGTTTTTATTCAAAGATTGGGTAAATACAGAGTTGGTGACTACGAGAGAAGTTGTTCACGAATGGGAAATGAGAATTGGGGAAAATGAAAAAAGAGAAGTTGTTCAAAGATTGGGAAATGAGAATTGGGGAAAATAAAGAGAGAGGTAGTACAAGAATGGGAAATGAGAATTGAGGAAAATGAAGAAAGAAGTAGTTCAAAGATTGGGAAATGAGAATTGGGGAAAATCAAGAGAGAAGTAGTTCAAGAATGGGAAATGAGAATTGGGGAAAACGAAGAGAGAAGTTGCTCAAAGATTGGGATAGACAGAAGAGTTCGAAGAAAAATCTTTCAGAAATGGAGTAAGAAAAAAGGAGAAAACTTCCAGAGAAATTGGCAAAAAGATTTGGTGAGAGCAGGTGACAAAACTTGAAGAAAAATTGTTGAAAACTAGGACAAGAAAAAGAGGTAAAACGTGGAAAGAGGTCGTTCATAGATTGGGAAAGAACAGAAAAGAAAATTTACAGAAACGTTGTTCAAAAATGGAGTGAGAAGAGAAAAGAAAACATGCTGATATGTTGTTCAAAAGTTACTCTTAAAGGAGCTAAACATCGAGTAAAGGAAAACATGGCTTTTGACCCCCAAATTTCTTTAAGGGGGCAATGAAAATGTGTATTACATCTACTATTTTGTAGATGCAATCTGCTATTTTGTAGATGAAATGTAGATGTAGATTCTATCGACTACAAATTTTCCGAATAAAGAGCTCCAAAGAGCAGAGAAAAAGCGTGGGTATTACTCGTGAAGATTCAACTAGCTGCCCTGTTATCGCTCATTCGATGTGCTAATATTTTCTACCAAAATAAATGGTGACCTAATCCAGTACTTGTCTTGGCGTTAAAATACCTGTGGCGAGGTTGAGAGTAACGCATCCATGAGCTCTCTTTGTTTCGTATTGAAATCACGTGTCGTCGAAGGGGTAAAGGGGGGCACAATGGGTGCTACAATGTCTCCAATCCATTCGTTCACGGACGGACCCGCCAGGGGCTGTACCAAGAAATAGTCTGAATGAGTAACATTGAACTATATCGACTGAATTTATACATGAACTTCGCTAAAACATTTTCTACTATATTTTCATATAATGTAATTTACCAAAGGAAGATCCAACGTTAATGAAAACCCAACACCACAATTTTACATGCAAAATACCTATTCATGTCATAGCCTGAAAAAGGATAGAAATACCCTGAAAAAAGGATTGATAGGAATTGCACTGTGTAGTCCACTGCTTCAAGCAATATACAGCATTTGTTTGCTAGTAGAACGCACATCATGAAACTTGTTTGGAAATGGTTTGACCGGCTATACAGAAGTATACTCATATGTAAACTCAAAGTTTGCGCAACTTGCTTGGTAGCAAATGCAAGGCGCGTATCAAAAAACACAACATGTAACAGGAAAATAACATGTGAAACAGAGCTTTTGTGGATGTTTTGATAATATTTGAAAATTAAAGAAAAAATTTCGAGTACATACGAGAAACGTGGTCTTTAGTGGATCCGTCAGGTCTATGGTTGTAGTTGTTGATTCGGATACCTCTGGAATAGTAGGAAAATGCATGGTTTTCTGTTCGCCAAGGAACATTTTTTTGGATAGCAATGAACTATATCACTGAATATTTTTAATAAAAATAATACACGGAGAAACCGAGAACCTTGAGGAATTTTGAAGAAAAAAGGTTTTCTAGAAAAGATTTACTTATCCTTTTGCAATTTTAAATAATGAACGAATTACATATATTTGCGTATCCATTTCAATTGTTGAATCCATTTGCGAATATTTTCAATTTACAATTCATAAATTCGCGTAAATTTCCTCACCTGTTGTCGCGTTGCTTCCTCGTGTCAATGAAATCGAGTTACCGGTGAGATTGCCGTTGATTGGATGAAGCGCTTCGTGAGACGGCGGTCGCAATGTCTGCGGTTTCACGGGTTGCCTCTTGTTCAACAAATGCATTGTACGGTTAAAATTATACTGAAGCTTGCTGAATTTTTTAGTCAAAGACGTCTAAAATTAGAAAGACTTTCAAACTTTAGCCCACTATTCATTAATGGTCGTACAACAAATTGCAATTCAGATAGCTCATGAATGGACAACGAAAGAAAAGGCCAAAACTATTTTGCCAGCAGCAGCTGAACGCCGAAGTTTAAAAGGGCTTTGAAGTAGCCCTTGGTAAACTAGGATACAGTCATGTGAAAATAAAACAACATCTGCCACACGCAGAAGTCAGAACAAGATGTATTCTCATACCTTAAAACCTTGCTTGCCATTTTCACATCTAAAAACCAATGTATTTTTGTGATTAAAAACAAACAGAGGAGCGAAGCATGGTGGTATTAACAACACCATAAGTCATAGAGACAAGCACCCAAAAGATTTCACGGTTGACCTTAAAAATATGGCAAACAAGTTACCATCAGTCGTGTCATGTTTTTGTCGATGTTGAACGTCCAGGTTCGTGCAGTCGTCGGTCAACTAACCCTAACCCTAACACAAACACTCATGTCTCTACAAACCTGGACAGTCAACATTTGGAAACATGAAACGATACTCATTTAACATTGTTTTCTGTCAATAATTTCCCTGAAAAAACGCTACCCTCCCCCAGAAGTCTCGAATTTAACAAAAAACTTACAAGTCCAAAAATTGCAATTCTTTCGTTGTTGTGTTGCATCGAACTAACAAGTTGATATTATCTTCAAACAAATTTTTCTGCAGTGTTTTTAAGAGATCTAAAATGCCAGAACAAAATTGATAAGAGTTAAGAAAAAAAAGAATTTTGACTCAGAAGATGACTACCGCTAAGGTTGTCGAAACGTCAGTCAACAACAACAAAAACAGTCCTTCTCAGGACTATAGCAAGCTGGACGATCTACATTTACAAACATGTAACGATACTCCCGGGTTCAAATCATTTACTTTATTGATAAGAGTGTCGGAATCTACTTAAAATGACGGCCAATGTAGTTGAAGCTAACTACAACAGGTAGAAGTCGCCTAGCAACTTTACACTAAAAACACATACAGAGAAAAATGGTTGACTTACAATTCCAACTGGCATTTCTCTTCGCTTTCTCTTCATTTTCCCCGTTGAGGTTATAAGCAGCACCCAAAATACGAATTACTTCACAATCACCTAAAATGCAACGTGATAAGTATTTTTCTCAGCAACCGTGGTGCACCAAAACTTGCCAAAATAATTTTTGTTGACACGCTTCAGGAGCAATAACTTTGCTTAAAAATAAAGGATCAAAGAACAAGAAGCTCAGGGGGATGAGCACTATGCTTAGATTTTCAAAAGTTTTCTAATTACTGTTGCTGATTTCTAACAAGCAATATTGTTTTATACTGTTTTTATTTGTTCTAACTACCAATTAGTTATCTTTTCTAATTACCAATGCTTTCTAATTAGCAATACAATTACAGTTTTCTAATAATTAATATTACCAAGTACTGTTGCTTACTAGAATGGTATGGCTAGCACATAGCATGAGGATGGCCCCCTAATATTGATTTCCCAAAATGTTCTAATTACATACCAACGACTGTTGCTTGGTCAAAAGGAATCTTTTTGTCATGTGACTCCAGTTGGATGTTCGCGCCATTTAGTACTAGCAGACCAACAATGCTTTTGTTACTAAAAAATATTCAAGATACACATTTTCGTGAGCGGTAATATCGAAGATGAGACGAAATAGGATTTGGTTGAAATGCAAAGAAAAACAAACTGAAATATCAGCAGATGACAAACACAACGATTCACTATTTTTCAATCTGCATTCCTGCTGCAGGTTGAATTCACATTAATAAACGTTTTTGACATAACCAAACCATTTAAATTACGGAGGTACGCAATTCAACAACATTCCTCGTAAGTTAAAGTTTTAACTAACACTTTAGGAAGGCAACAAACCTAGAATGCAACAGGAAGCCCACGAACCAGGAAAGCAACCAGAAGTCTGCCAACCAGGAAGGTAAAAAATCAGAAACGCAACCGGAAGTTTACCAACCAGGAAGGTATGAACCACGAATGCAACCGGAAGTTTGCCAACCAGGAAGTAATAAACAAGAATGCAACCAGAACTCTACCAAACTGAAGTTCATCGATGAGGAAAGCAACAAACAAAAATGCTAGCGGAAGTCCATCAGCCATATTCAAAACACAGTGATCTATTGCGCATGAGCGGAAAAAACGAAGCGTTGCAATAACTCACTTATTGTGAATGGCATACATCAATGCCGTCCAGCCATGATGGCTATCCTGAAGATTTACATCTGCTCCGTTCTTTACAAGGAAGAGAGCGATACGAAAGTGATTGCCAATCGAAGCCCACATTAATGGCGTCCTCCCGTCTTCCCCTAGAAGAATATAGATGCCATGAGATCGTCAAACCTCAGAAACAATAATCTTTTTTGGGGGGTGATTGAGGGATCACTCGGGATCAATATGATGCATTAGTAAACTCAGCAACACGTTTTCAGCAACACGTTGACTGTTACATCATTTTAAACGCGACATCCACGTCAAAATAAATAGTAGCTACTTCGTTTTCAAATTCAAACCGACTTTCAATGAACACGATCGATATATGAAAAAATACGATGTCACAAATTGCATCAACTGCAAGGAATTTTGAAATTTAAATACATCCCAAGTGAGCTTCTGTTGCAACATCGACCGCTGTGCAAAAAGAATGTCGGATAAATTAAAAAGAGCCTGATTGGGAATTTCAGCATGTAAACATCAACGAAAGACATTATTTTAAACGAAAATATGTAACATAAGAGTTTCCGTGTGTTTTTACTCCGTCTCCAATCAAAGACGAAATACTTGAGCATCTCTGAAGTGAAAACCTAGCTTTGTTTTCTGTGGTCTCTGGTTTAAAAAAATAAACACCGGATCAAGAGACAACAATCAATCTTTAAAACGTTTGCCGGCGCGGCCACACACGTTACAGAGCGGTTCCTACTTTAATAAAACCAGGGAAAGAGAAAATACCGTACCATGAACATATTTCGTGCGCACATTCAAAGAAATCTCGGTGCAAGCAAATTTCATACGACTTGCTCGCATTCTTCAAATATTCTAACTTCGTACGCCAATTACGAGATGGGCCTTTGGTCGTGGCGTAGCCCGCACGCAAATTTGGTCGTGCTTTGTAAATTTTAGATCATTAACATTATTCATTTCTTTAGAAATCTTTAGTTTTTACAGCAAGTGAACACAAGAAAATTTACACAGCACAACCAAACTTGCGGACTGGCTGCGCCACTGGCTTTTGGTCGTGTGTGTAAAAAATAAGCCTTTCCTCGTCTTTTATATGAAATTTTACCTAAGTCATTTCAAGTTGCCATTTCTGAATTACGAGAGCTGAAAGTCATGGGCAAAAATGTACCTTTGGTTCTTTGATCGAGTGCGCATGCAGAATGAGCCTATTCTAGTGTTCAAAATTCATTTCTATAATAGAGCAGCTAGCTCTCCACTCAAAAAAAAATTTTTCGTTTAAAGGCGTCAAAACTTTATGATTGTTATGGGCACTTTCACAAAATTTACAATTACTTTTTTATTCGCCTTTGGTTTGACACAAAGGACGAAGTCAAATCTTAGGTTTTGAAGAAACCATCTCTATATTGTCTTTGAAACTTTATAAATGGCACTGCGCATGTGCCGACGAGATTTATTCAGGCCCTTTTCATAAAAATCAACAGGTGGAGGATCCATCATACTGGAATCAGGAATTCTCTGAATCTTACTTTGAAAAAATAACAGCTGGGATGGTATAGTAATCTATACCATCAAAGAAGTAGATACGGATTATGTTTCAACAAAAACAAGTTTTGAAAAAAGCTTATGAAAAAAATGTAAAAAGATCGATGTTTTTCTCTTCAAACGTAAAAAATCAACGATTTTCTCTTCAAATGAAAAAAAAGAATGGTTTTCTTTTCAAATGAAAAAAAATCAACAGTTTTCTTTTCTATTCTGAGTCACCAAATGATCATTGCTACTCTTACTTTATGAAAATTTTCACTTACTTGACTCATTTACATCGAAGTCGTTTTGCAAAGACATACTCTGTATCTGTTGTAGGTCCCCTGTGATAATCAGTAAAAAGAAATTTAGCGGTTGAATATTTGTCGATAATAGAGGAGCAACTGTTATGTGTAACACATACTGTTGTAATCTATATATGCATGTCTAATTATTTCATCTGTCAGAGCCTTTGTAATTTAACCTAATCGGTCACAAAAAAAATTGAGCCCAAGTTCAAATTCAAGTACAAATGAACATCTGTCATCGTCGCGTGGAATGAAAATGTGAGAATATTTCATGAAGCCGAGCCACAAATAAGAAACTTAATGATTTGTTCACCTGCTTTTGCTGCCAGGACAATATCCACGGATTTGACCAGCAAACTTTCTGTAAAAGCGTTTCGAATTTCTCAGTCACTCGGTTTTCACTGTGAACTCAATGTCTCATAAATGAACTTTAAGTCTATTTTCTATGTTAATTCTGTTGCTTTCGAATGTGTAACGCGGCGTGAACATAAATGCAAAGGTTGTAAAAACTAATAAAAGATGAAGGTGGCGATAAGATTGTGTGTTTTTAATTGACATGTGATAGGAACTTTTGCTGATAATTGAACTTTTAAAGATAGTCCATTTAAGGATCATTTCTCGTTAAGTGTGCAACTCTATAAATGAGGATGAAATGCGTTGGATAGTACAATGCCATTCCATATTAGGAATAATATATTATTCATCCTCATTTATTAATACGAACACTTTCCTAAACAGAAATCATTTTATAAGTGAACTAAGATAAAAAAATGTCAATTCACAAGTTAAGCAGCGCAAAAAAGCGCGCAAAAACAACATCGTCAAACGCGCGGTGGTTGTTGGGAAGAAGAAAAACTCGTACCTGGATTTTGCTCTCGTCTGGACGTACAAGGTCTGAGTTCATTCTCAATATCTTTACGTCTCATTCTCTTTGCAATAGCTAAGGCGGTCTGCCCAAGATTGTTAACCAAATTACAATCTGCGCCGCGTTCCAACAATATCTTGACAGCGGTCTTGTGCCCATTGGCTGCCGCAAGCATAAGAGGTGTCCAGCCCGTGTAAGGATCACCATAATCAACAGCAGCACCATGGGATAGGAGTAGCGATGCCATTTGGTCATGACCGTGTTGAACAGCGGCCATTAGAGGGGACCTGTGACATCTCTTGTCCATCTTATCACTGGGGATATTGACGAGCGCCCCTTTTGATATGAGCAACTCGGCAATTTGAATACGGTTACATCGAGCAGCACAATGCAATGCCATTGCGAACAGCCGATTGCAGTGACTAACAACGTCACAGTCCGCGCTCTGTTGTAATAAAAGGTTGACGATTTTTAAATGGCCGTAATAAGAGGCAACCATCAATGGAGACCAACCGTAAACATTTGTTGACGTCTCCGAAGTTAGATTGGCGCCCTTGCTCAGCAAGAAGCGAACAATGCTTTCGCGACCATGAGCGCACGCGTAAATGAGCGGAGTGTTGCCATCTTCTGCGCAATAATTGACAAGATCATTGTTTTTGTCGTTGTTCAACAAGATCTGTACGCCTTCCAGGTTACCGCTGGTGACGGCCAAGATGAACTTAACAGCGGCCATGCGAGTTGATCTCAACAGAGCTCTGCACAATGCTGGAAGAACTGGCTCATTTTGAATAAAGAGTTCCTCTTTAAGAGGCAACTCTCTCTTGAGTCAAGGATGACATTTACGAGTTGAATTGATGATAACTATCGCCAGACACGATCAGCTTATGGCAGCAAAGAAACATCTTATCACTAACCGAGCAATACGTCCAACAGTATGAGTTTTGGTATGGTACAACGCGATACACTTTCGAAAATACAAAACAGCGTGTGATAAAAACAAAGGCAAATCTCTCTGTTGTGAACTCATTCGGGTATGACACCCGATCTTGGAGCAGTTCGACGTAGGTTCATCGAGAGGCAGGAAATGCTTAGAGCATAATTTAAATTCTTTCGATTCGCGTAAAAATAAATCGAACAAATGCACTTCTCACGTTGCAACAAAAGGCAAATTAGCGAGGGAAGAAAAACAAACAATACGTCGTTACTTCAATTCGCTTCCACTAAAAATGTGATTGACGCATTCTGACGTCGTAATATAATCACAATGTGAAAACAAACATCGTGTTGCGGTCAGACAAGACTAACTACCTGCGGAGAAAGGCTATGGCGCTTGGCAAAATGTGTAACCCATTTAAGTTAGGACTATGGATACAGTTTGGCAGAGACTTGACGTGAAGTGAAAGGTCCGGCAGTTGAAGAGTCGACACTACAGCTTAACAACTGGAACACTTCATCCAACGCCATAATTCCGTGTCTTGCTGTAACTTGATAGTAATTTAATGGGTGCGAGTTGGATAATGCCATTATACAAATTTGCTTACCAAGTAAAAATTAACGAAAATGATCAGGTAAATTGCCCGGGGTCTGCTCAGAACTAAGACTTTTTTAAGCTTATTAATAAGGTGGTAATTTTTTGGCGATAATGAAACTTTGTTATTTATAAATAAACATTTTAGTGCCGTGTTGATTACCCAGATTTACTAGTAGCTTTTTGACCTTCGAGAGATTTAGATACAATGAAATAATGCTACCATGTTAAGGGCCATCCAGGCCACAAGCAACCGGCCACTGTTTGATAAAAGTTGGTAGTTTCAGTTTCCAAAAAACCATTCAACGTCTCGTCGAACAGCAGGCGATCACGAAGTTCGAAAAATTAAGGTTGTTGAGCTTGTCAGCCATATACATATCACAATTGGGGTCACTTTTCATGTTGTCGACAATTCCGTCGACAAGAAAGTGAATATTTGCATCGTACTTTTTACATGGAAATTCAATTTTAAAACTAACAAGAAAGCAATCAACATCATGCTTCGTTTCAATTGTCTTATTGCGAAACAAACCACCCCCTAAAATGGCGGAAATTAACCAAGCAAATCGACATAAGCTCGTTTCATTCTGAGTGGAAAACTTAATCCCGAGCCTCCCCCATAACGGGAAGACATCAGCCCGTGTGAAAACGACTTTAATTGATTGTTTTGAAACGCAATAGAAGCGGAAGTGGGCAGTGCAAGCCATGTGTTTATGCGAAACAAAATAACTGGGTGAAAAATGCTGTTGTCGTGACAGTATTTCAAATCTGATTAATTTCTATTTGAGTTGACTCATCAATCTGAAAAAGCTTTCTCGCGTAATACACACGATATTCATGGCGTATATGGGAGACAAACTGCACGGAAAAAAGCTCACTTATGTAAATGGTGACTTTTATATGAAAGTTTTCGGAAATTTACTTAGCAGAAAACGATATCAAAAGCTTTAAATGAGTTCTAAAAAGAGAAAATAGTCTGGCGAATGGTCAAAATAAAAACGTAATAGTTCTTAAAAGAACTATTAACACTAACCGACTACTCATCAGGTGTCAAAGTCTGCTAAATGAGAGCTTCTAAGTCAAGCGATTTTTATGTTAAGATTAAATGTTGAGATACAATACACGTGATGAGTAGTCTGCCGAGATGCATATCGTCTTTCAGCTTTAAAAACAAACAGGTCTTTTAGAACTCTTGGTTTAGTGTTCTGGTTTTAAACAGTTATTTTAAAAACTATTATGTTACTATTTTCACCATTCACTATGGTATTTGCTCTTTTTGAAACAATTTTGAAACTTTTCACCACGACAAAGTCTCAATTTACTTTAAATGAGTACCAATTAAGGTCATGCGTTGCGCACGTGGTTTGCCATTCTAAGGGACGCCTAAAATGGCCAACCACTTTAGGGAACAGCAGTATTCGTGTATAGCTACTCGGAGTATAGAACAAATAAACTTGAATATCGAAAAAAACTCCTAATCATAAAAGTATTGTCTACATGAAGAAGAGGGTATAATATTTGGTACCTATTGTAAATATACTTGGTTGATTAAGTAGCTTGAGAAACTTATACAAAATGTTCAGTGAAATAAAGGAACATGACGGAAGCTTGTAGCTAATTTATGCAGCATCGAAGCATAGGTTCCACGTGCATTAAAATGAAATGTACTTCTTCGCTACGAAATATTTAAGGTTTTGACGACATGGATTGGAATTCATCCACGCAGTTATAGCTAACTAATAAACATGTTTTATTTTGAAAATATTCATTGAACACAAATATATACACGTTCTTTTCTCCCTCACTCAAAGACGATCACGATGGACTGCAGTAAAATTTCCTCGCCATACCTTTTGTGCGTTCATTTCAAAACACCTGTTGACTTTGTTGAGTCAAAAGCAGGCCAAACCGTTTCTTGATTGTAACGCGTTCCTTGGAGACCTTGTCGTCGGGGGAAAATCTCGCTGGAAAATTGTGACAATGAAAACATTAATCATTTACACAAAACTACAAATTTTTGATTTCGTTCAAAGTGACACAGTCAAGTAGAGCTAGAAAGAGAGACTTACACTAAGACGAATTACATACTTTCTGTTTAAAAATGTCGTGCACAGTCCGCAATTTTTTATAAATTCTTTAATTATAGAAAAAAAAGGTTCACAATATGTTGTCTGCAGTAGACAATTCATCAATTATAAGGCAAAGCCAGTTAGAAAAATTGGGTTAACGATTTCCGACGGTCAACGCACGTGTCAAAAATACGAGATTAAGGACCCGTCCACACGTATACGGATATTTTTAAAAACGGAGGTTTTTTCCTCCGTTTTGGCCTTGCGTCCACACGTAAACGCCGTTTTCCGTGACCATAAACAGAGGTTTTCCAATACGCTCTCCAGAGTGAAGACTTTTGAAAACGCCGGTTTTGTGTTTACGTGTGGACGGGCTAAAACGGAGGTTTTTGAAAACGATGACGTCAATAATTCAGTCCAGTCTCATGACTGAGTCGTCCGAGTACTTTTTAAAATGGCGGGTCACAATCAAATGGTCGGACTTAATGCTGTATATGTAGAATAGTGGCAATAAAATGGAAAGAAGTTGCTCTTGGGACATTTGCAAATCTTATTTTAGAAATACAGAACGACTAATTATAAAAGCAGAAGGCGCAAGTGTGAATAAAAACCATTTTCCGTCAAATCAAAAGAAAGCTTGGACATGACATGCAATATGCGCAGATACAAAGTTATAGAGAAAAACAAAAACATTTCTAACGTCAAGGATATTACGAGTGGCGTAACAAAGTGTTGATGAGTTTGATATGCATTTGTCAAAACAAGTTTAAAAAGACAAAGAGCATGCCAAAAATATATGATTGAGAATTTGCTAAGCGCTTATACAAGCACCAATTTCAGAGCTCGCTACGTTACAAATTAATTGGGAATTAATCTGAACATGCGTAGTCAACCCCACCAACTCTCCAAGTTCATGGCAACGACCAACTGTATGTACTAGCACCGATTATTGAGTACTTAGCTCGCTCAGTCACAAATTTTCAAATAAAGGATCTGCGTATGCGCAGTATGCTTGAGCATGCACAGTCGACTTGACCAGCTGCCCAAGTTCATGGTCATGGCAATGACCAATTGCATCTACTAGCACCGATTTTAAAGTAGTAACATGCGTAGTAACAATTTAATACAGAGAGCAGTCCACTCGACTAATTGTTGATAGTCATGGCAACGACAAACTATATGTACTTGCACTACATTTGTTGCAATTAGCTCACTTAGTCGCAAATTATCAAAGAAAACATCTGGGCATGCGCGGTAATGATGTCAATAATACCATAACTTTCGAAAGCCTTTGAATTTATGTGTATATATATATATAAAGCTAAAACTTCATATAGTAGATGTCAACTAGCAGTGGAAGCTGGATGCGATTAGGTATGCAGTGGCTTAGGGGTGCACACTTCGGTCGCGACCGCACTCTCCCTGCGTATCCCGAGCAAAGCCTATCGCAGGCGATCTCGGGATCTGATGGGCGGAAGCTTGCTACGTATTGGCTTCCCCAAGTAGGATAGCGTGGAGGGGCCGAAATCTCCTACCGAAACGTTAACAAGCGGCGTTCTAGTATCGGGAAGCATGAACCGAAAACGGGCTTTTTTGCTTTCGAACTTTATCTTTTTGTTTACAAAATAAGCCAATGTTCATATAAATAATATGAACATTGGCATCAATATACCAAGCGATGTTTTGATTAACTGTTTTTGACACTTATAATTTAAGACAACCTTAAACATGTTTTATACAATTTTTATTGGATTATATCTTTCTGACCTAACTCTCTTATTTACTGTTTCTCATGTATCACGAGCAAACCATCCATGGGCTTCAAGGCAAACAACGATTATCCTTTTCTCTTAATTAACATGCGACGTCTAGTGCTCAACTATCTCGGGGTATCGAAAACGGAATTTTTTGTTTTCAAAATTTGTCCTTTTTCTTTACAAGAATTCTTCTCATAAAAGAAACTAGAACATGCAAGGATACTGCAAAAATTCAAACAACTTCTGCCTTTTGACTTATAATTTAAACAAACTCGAAGCATCTTTATACGTTTTTTTTAATTGTTACTTTTTGCAATGTAACTTTGTCATAACTCTCTCGTGATGAAAGAGAGCCTCTTTACACAATAAAACTCGCTCATCATGAACGAAAGCATCCATGGGCTTCGTGGAAAAAAGGGATTATATACTTTTTTATAATAGTTTCTACAAAGATAACATTTAATAAGCCAAGCAATTTGTATCGTTGAAATTGAACTTCGCTTTCAACCATTATGTTATAAAATTTTGATTTATTTTGGATAATGAATTTCTTTTACCTTACAGTATTTCCATGATTCAATCTAGAAAGAAACTTCTCTTCTCTAGTAATTTTGCAATTAAACAGAACACTTATCGAATTCAACGGAATTTGGCCCGTAATAATCCTTACAAAAAAAGTCATTTGCACGACAACATGTCAATATTCAAACTTTGCTTTGATCGTTATGCTTTGTTTATAACTCAAAATGGTTAATATTTACTGTTATGCCTTCCGCCTTTATAAATAATCGTTCTAAATAACTAAATTCACGAATAAAGTAAATGGTTTGAGCCCGGGAGTATCGTTACATGTTTGTAGATGTAGATCGTTCAGTTTGGTATAGTCTTGAGGACTGTTGTTGTTGTTGACTGACGTTTCGACAACCTTAGCGGTATGACTCTGAAGATGACTACCGCTAAGGTTGTCGAAACGTCAGTCAACAACAACAAAAACAGTTCTTCTCAGGACTATACCAACCTGGACCATCTACATCTACAAACATGTAAATTCACGAATACCCCAAAATTCAAAAGCATCTCCTTACCATTTTATTGCCACTATTCTACATAAACAATACTATGTCCGACCATTCGATTGTCTGAATTTTGTAGTATGATCTCGTATTTTTGACTCGTGTGTCTACAGTCGGAAAGGTGGATTAACATCTTTCATGCTGAACATTGGCATTGCTTGAAAAAATTGCAGTGGTGGATTTATAGGGGAAAGTGGGGGTGCACAGGAGCACTCACTCCTGAAGGCAATGGTCAACAGGGGTGCATAGAGGGGTCAAATTACAAAAAAAATTAAAACCCTTTTACATTTAATGGGAAAAGTCTTTGTCTACATCATTAAAATTTATTGACAGGAAGGATATTTATTTTGATCGAAAGCGATCAATGATTTCTATTTTATAGACCAAAACGGGAACTAGTTCCACTTTTAATAATGAGTAGGTTATTACCATTTGCGTTCAACTGGTAACTGTCCCGAATTTTTCACGTTTGTTTAGGTTTCAAACGTCACGTTTGTCAGACGAAACGTTGGGTTTCAACTGGTAAACATTACGTTTGTTCAAATGGCGGATTCCTAAGTTTGTAACACCTCTTTCTTATACTATATGGTCAATTATCAAACTTTGCAAATCGCCTAATGGTAATAATAAATAATTGATTTCTAACCGCTGAACGTCAGCTGATGGCTAAGCCAAGCACCCCCCAAAAAATCCTTGCTGGATCCACTGCTGGAAAATTGTAACATTGAAATTGTATTTGCAGAATTTCTATCACGTTAGGGCAAAATATATTTATACAATGTCGTGGCATATATTGGAATGAATTTTCTTTACACTCGGCATGATCCAATATCGCTTTTTCACAAATGTAAGAAACACATAAAAATATTGCCTAAATTCTGCAAATGATTGATACAAGAAAAATACTTTAGAGAAACATTATACCATGATCTATTGCATGTATCGTAAAAGCTTGCTCACATTCTCTCTACAGACTTCAAATACACCTCCAAACCATTTGAAAATAGTATTTTCCTTTCAATCATCGTTTAATTTGAAAGATTTTATCAAAAATCTTGTCATTAACATCAGAGAAGCGAGTTTGCCATTGATTGTATGGTAGCAGCACAGTTTCTGTGTCATACTAACTGATGTCACACTAAGTGATGTCACACTCAGTGATGTCACACTAAGTGATATCACACTCAGATAGTGAGAGTGTGTGAACTTTTAGGATACAGGGGCCAGTTGCACGAAGACATGATAGCGTTATCCATTGGATAGTGTTATTTATTCCTTTGGATAGTAAAATTTTGAAACTTATAAAAAAGTTATTTGTATTTTCCTTACGACATAGAAATTTTGGTAATCTTGGAAGCAATATTTTCTTTAAGCGAATTCTCATTTCAAATCTTATATTTTTCTCTGTTAGGAGGTTTTTTAAACATTCAAAAAAACTTGCTATCCAGTGGATAGCGCTGTTTGATCTTTGTGCAACAGGCCCCAGATGCATATGTGAAAGGGAAAGGAAGTTAGGAATGCTATATGGGGTAGTGCCCAGTCTACAGGGATAAACCCCGATTGAACCTCAAAATATAGACATATCACAATGATACACATAATGTTTAGAACAAGTTCCCAACAACATAGGACCCATTCAGCTATGAGACATTTGTACTTTTTACTTTATATATATATACAACATAGGTAGACCCCCTCCCCATCCCTGGTAAACTAGCTACTATATCAAATTCAGCAAAATGAACTTCGTCTTCATAGAAAAGAAATTTTATCAATTGTATTTGTAGTAAATGAACACAAAAAGACTTGTAGTACAGGAGTGAAAAACCAAGCTAGCTTCAATAACTTGACAAAAGCTAGATACACCAATAGAGAACAAGGTACATTCCGAACAAAAATAGCTGTACCCGAGGTATTCTTTCAGTAAGCAATGTATATAAGTTTTTACAATCTTTCATGCACAGGCATTAATAAGTTCAGAGTTACATTAAGTTACATTAAACTATACCTGGATGAGAAGATAAAGTTCTATTTCCTTGGGGGTCAACTTTCTGAAATACAAGATATCACATTTCTTAACAACAATTCTAAAAGAAAGCCATCAAACATAAAGTGAATATCAAATCTGAATAAATGTAGCGTCTTGAGCAGCCTGCAAGTGTCTTACATTGTAAATTCTATAACATGTATTCATTTCTTAAGAAATTTAAAGTTTCGTGGTCATCAAAGTAAGAAATATGGGCAAAAACAGACTCGAATCATCCCCTTGAAACTTGAATGTCTAAATGTAGCTGAAATTATTTTTGATAAACACAATACTTTAAACACGACATTTCGTATTTAAACAAAACAGCAATGATGGATATGGCATCCAAAGAAAACAAGCTGATTATATTCAACGTGTATTTCTACATTGAACTTGCTACTTACAAATAAATGGATGATGGTTTGGTTAGCCATCATGTTTTATGCCCACTGTCCACACTATACAACATGCCCTTCAGGTTAGTTTAACTACAATTAGCCTGTTACTAACCTTCAATGTATACACTCGGTTACCCTGCTCGTCCAAATAGTGCATTAAATGCATTTTTGCCAAATATTCAACTCTGTAAAGAAACCAGAATTATTCAAGATACAGAGAAGCTGTACTGTCGTGGTCAGGTAGCACGTGTTGTTAGTTTAAGTTTACTAAGTTACCTACTGAAAGCTTGATTATTTTAAAAAATTATTAAATCGCTCACCTCATCGAGCAAGCCCGGTTAGCTCAGTTGGTAGAGCATCAGACTTTTAATCTGAGGGCCAGGGGTTCGAGTCCCCTATCGGGCTGCTTATATTTTTACTTTTTAATTTTATGTGCGTAAATAGAATAACATCATTCAGAATAAAATTTGTTGTAAAAACGTCTTTAGCAGACATTGTTTTTGTTTCTAAAATTACTAACAGAAATTTAAAGGTTTTGTGTACTTGCCGTTGAGCGTGATAACGCAAAAAGATAAACCAAAAAGGAAAAGGGAAATCTATAAGGTCTTGAGGGCCTTATAGATTTCCCTAACCAAAATCCATTTATCTAACCAAAATCCTTTGCGCAGCATTACGTGCTCGTGCGTCACATTGCCTCAAATGATCGATCAATTCCGCTTTTTATGAAATCAGTGACGTCATAAATAAAGCCATTAGGAGACAATTCGCCACAGTTTGCAACATCAGACTTATGGTTTGAAAGCTTTTCAAATCATTCAGTTAAAAATGTCTTCGCTGATTGATTCCGAGGCTATTCGTGGCGCTTACGAAGACGTACGAAACGATAAAACATCAACTGTGTGGTAGGTGCTTTCACCTTGTTTCCACGGCAGTCAATTCTATCGATAGGTTGCGTGTCTGAAGTGTCAAGAAGCGCATCCATTGGCAAGTGTAACCTGTCTTATCACCGGCAATTCGATACATTGCACTGTAGCATCTTTGTACGCAGCACTTGGGCTATTTAAATATGAAGGAATAGTAGTCGAAGTGATAAAAACTGATTTGTATCATTCAAACACTGTTTTTACGTACCTGGCTATTGATAATAGGAGCGCTGTTTCTCAGTTGTCGACTGAAATTATCAGATATGCAAAATGCCGTGAGATCAGAATGCGGTATCGACTCTTGATGGGAGTCGGTGTAACACTATTATCTTTGACTGAATGTATATTTCGTTATTTTCCTACCCAACAGGGCTGTCTTCAAATATGACGATAAGCGTATAGTGTACACTGGAGATTGTGGCGATAAATACGAGGACTTTCTTAATTTTTGCGAAGGTATGTCTGATGAATTATCGCTGTATGATAATGTTTTCCTAATAATATAAACAATTTACAGATGACGCTCGCATATACGCGTACGTTCGAGTTGAAACTGGTGACGAAATGAGCAGGCGAGCAAAATTTGCTTTCATAACATGGATTGGACCCAGTGTTTCTGCGCTGAAAAAGGCAAAAGTTAGCACAGATAAAGGCTTCATCAAGGAATCGTGTCCGGTAAGGGAAGCCAGACTAGACTCCGTATCTTCATAACACATCCTGAAAGATAGACTTTCTTGTTTCTATCAATCTCTGTTTAATATGGCGACTTCGACACTGATGAATCGCAAACTATCTCATATTTTATTAAGTACAGCTGTAGACTTCGAAAATGTTCCACTTCCTCAAATTTTTCTGTTTAATTTTTTGTTTGTATTATTTCGCAATGGTGGGCGTTACGGTACTTAGTTTACCAAGATCCAAATTTAGGGTGTTTTGCAGACAAATGACGAACGCGAATGAGTTCTTTAATCTCGAGTGGTTGTAGCCTAACTACCTATTAAGACATTCATACAATATTTGGGGCAGAGTTCTTTGGACTTTTCATTTACCGCCGATAATTGCCGCTGAACGCTTTCAATGTTCAAAGCATTTTTTATCGGCCTGCTACGGTGCACCGGTCACAGACACACTGCATTTTTATTCGAATTTGCATTTACATGAGATGGCAAAGGAGGTTATGCAGGAGATATGAACTGAAACCATAGATCGGGCTCATCTTCTGATTACTCCATACATTTGTAAAATACAAATAAATCTCTTATTTGAATAAATCGTTGCAAATCATTCAACGAGAAGTCGCCGGTGTGTTGTTGAAATTCCTCATGATCAGTAAGATCAAACTTGTCACGTGTATAATCTTTGTCGTATTTTGAAACCGTTTTCTCTATTTGCCATTTTCGGTACTTGAACTGCATATTGCCAGCCGGTTTTCGAAATGGCTCTAAAAAGGACCGCGTGACGTGTAAATGTGCATTTTTTGCCTTTATAGAGCTTTGGCAAGGAAATTCTCGCCGACGAAAAGTCGGAAATTTTAGAAGAGAAGGTCAAAGAAGTCTTGAAGGCAGCAGGTGGTGCTAATTATGGTACTGGCAAGTAGCCGGGATTTTTGAAAATGAACACTTGAATCTGGATAAATTGTATTCCTGTATAATATTTTTGTATTGGATTTTGTTTAGAAATATGACTTAACATATCTGCACTTACTAACAAAAAAATAAATTAGAATAATTGGTCAAATATTCTTGGCAATTTAAATGAAACCGATGTACGCGTTTTGTTTTGAAATACATGTAGTATCTGCTCAAAAACAAGTGTGATTTTTTCACACACAATGGCTATGCCTTACATTTTTCATGTGGAAAACGTCACAATTACCCAGTGGGTGCACCTTAGATTTCTTGCATTTTGCAAAGCTTGAAAATCAGAATGCGGTTATGTATTTCTTTTCGTAGAAATGTATTCTTCCCGTATGCGCTTTAAAAATTCTAGAATGGGGAGATTTTGTCTAACGTATAAAATAGTATCAATTACATTCCATAAACAAATGTGCTCTTGGATGGTTCTCCTTTGGCTGAAATTTAACAAGTTCTATTTCATGATTTGATTAAGAACTTAATTTTATTAAGTACCTATAAAAAAGCACACCACTTCACGGATGTAGATTGCTAATTTGTCTGAGTCTGGATTATCACATAAGACTTGGAATGACATCTCTTGATCACCCGAGATGGCACTGTAACTGTAAGGTGCGCTTTGTCGTCAGCGAACTTCTACCAAAAGACAGGCAAGGATGAGCAAGGGAGCAGAGCCCTTCGAATGACATTTTCAAGTCTATAAATCATAACATGTAAGGGCCATTTTTGAGGGGCGAGCGATTCAAACGATTTCCAATTCTTTTTCGCAATGAATTCGAGATGCATAGATTTCTTAAAATCAAATTCCTTCTTTAATGGCGTTGCATACGTAATCATTATGCAACATTGCCTCAAAGGGTTGATCGATTCCTTGGCATCTTATGGAATCAGTGATCAGTGACGCTACAGTTAAGGGCGGATGTTATTATTCTGTTTGTTCTGGATTTATGATTCACGATTGGTTTGATAAACGACGAACAATAATTAGTGTTCATCCATATTGTTTTATTGAGCCAATTGGAAAACAATTTATAGAAAGCGGTCCTTACCGTTTACTTATTGATAAACGAAGCGTGTGGCAGTCACTTGGTTCAGTGTGACAGTTGCATCGTTGACAGAGCGTATATTTCTAACACAGCAAGGAGCAAGGCTGTTGGCAAAAATGACGATCAGCGTATCGCGTACATTCGTGATCTTAGTATCAACCATGACGATTTTCTTCAATTTTGTACAGGTATACCTTGTTAATTGTTTTTGTTATAATTAGTAATATACAACGAATAGGCGATAAACTTTACATACATTTCTTTAGATACAAGGATCGTCAATGAATCCAATCATCGATTTCGATGCTATTCGTGCCGCTTACGAAGACGTGCGAAACGACGATTCACCAACTGTGTGGTAGGTACTGTATTTTGTTGCCGAATGATAAGTGTTTGATTATGGAGTACGGCTGCAGCCTACTTCAAGTGCTGGCGTGGCGGTGTTCACAAGAAGCCCATCCCATCACCTAGAGGTGCAACTGGTATCATAAGAACTAAAATAATGCTAAAGTAATCTATCAGTGACGGAGATATCAGTCGATGTTTATGATACTTGATAATCCAAGCACTGTGTTATCGTTATCGATCGAAATCATACCCGACTAATCTAAACCTAGGTGTCCCCAAAATGTGGCGTCGCTCTTAAATCGGGATAGTCTATGTAACAATTAAATCTTTCAATGCATATTTCCTACCCATCAGGGCCGCTTTCAAATATGAAGGTAAGCGCATCGTGTACGCCGGTCACGGGAATAACTATGACGGATTTCTTCGATTTTGTACAGGTACGTATATTATATAATTATTGCTGTTATAATCAGTTCTGTTCTTACATAAAACTTACAATAAGTCAAACAATTCGTACAAATGTAAACAATTTACAGATGACGCTCGCATATACGCGTACGTTCGAGTTGAAACTGGTGACGAAATGAGCAGGCGAGCAAAATTCGCTTTCATAACATGGATTGGACCTGGTGTATCTCCTTTGAAAAAGGCTAAAGTCAGCACAGATAAAGCTTTCGTTAAGGAAGCCTGTCCGGTAAGGAAAAGTGACTGCATTTCTTTAAACAACGTCCTTTACGTAGAGTTTTTGTCTCTTACAAGACTTTGCTAAATACGAAAATTTACTCAGCTGTTGCTGCCACGTCTTAAATTATTCTTTATCGGCCACGTCACACGATTAGGCAATAGGGCGTGAACGTTCCGAAATCTCATACAATAATTTTATGTACTGACATCGACATATAGACTGTTAATTTAAGCATTGATGAAATCAATGATGCAATCAATTTAAGCATTGATGCAATTTAAGCATTGATGAAATCAATGATGCAATCAATTTAAGCATTGATGCAATTTAAGCACTGATGAAATCAATGATGCGATCAATTTAAGCATTGATGAAATCAATTTAAGCATATGATGAAATCAGTATTAAAGAAAAACGTTTCGAGAAACAACACATATATATATATATATATATATTATTATGGATAATATTCCTGGATAAAGGACAGCAAACAATTGTCTATTTTATTTTAGTTCATTTTATATATATATATATATATATATATATATATATATGTATTCTTACATTAATACATGTTAGTATTTCAGAACGTTTCCAGTTCATTAGGTGTGTAAAACATGCATACGACCAATGAAGGCCTTTTCTTTCATTGGTCGTATGCAATCAACCAGGCCCGTAACCAGGGGGTACACTAGGTGCACGTGCAATATTGAAATTATTGAAAATGAAAATGATCTTTATATTTTTGAGCCTGTTAGTTTCCTGGTAGCTTTAAATGAAAAGTGGACTAGCCTTGCTCTCTTAAGGCCGATTTCCATTCAGTGCAAATTGTCGCGCGATCGACTTTTTCCGATCACTTTCTTTTCAATTGTAAGCTCTCGACCAGAACAGTTTCACACTGCTGCACACAATTCAAAAGAAAGTGATCGCAAAAAGTCGATCGTGCGACAATTTGCACTGAATGGAATTCAGCTTTTACATCCACTTTGCGATCGATCAATAAACATTTATTCAAGAAGCATAGTCGTCTATTGCAATTTGACACTTTATTTTAAATTTACTGTTTAATAAGCTATTTTTGTTATTTAAAAGAGTTGATGTAATGCTAAATTTCATAAATATATAGTTGTGTTATACAACTCCTTATTTCAAATGCACCCCTATGAAACTCTCTGTTCACGGCCTTGACAACGCTAACAGCCACAAGTAGACTTTCATTTGAATGCTTCATGCAATCAGGTTGAATCTTTGCAGCCGACAATCAAAGGAATAGAGGAGAAAATATACTCTAAAAAGCATCATCTTGTAAACTTAAGATTATAGCAAGAGATAAGATTTTTCTGCAAATTCATTAAATTGGCTCAAGAACGACTTTGAATTACAGTCGACAAATTGTCTCTAAATCCTATCTCTCAATTTTATATAACATTTCTATATTGCTAAGATACAAGCCAGCAAATATAAGTGCAATCGTTTTGGCAGATCGATGTACATAGGTGTAAGAAAATGGATACTTGAGGAGGCAGATGATCATTAACCATAATATGAGGTGTTAAGTTGAAATCAACTGTTTTCTACGGATTAGATCATGCATGTGTACGAACATGAACAACTACAAATCTTCCTATACACCTATGTTGATGTACGTATTTCTACTTGCCAAGCCAGCAACCTCGGTTGCTAATAACATCTCTAAGAAGACTTGATGACGTATATATGAGCATTTCTTTTCTTTGCCCTTGTAGAATTATGATAAGGAAATTCTTGCTGACGAAAGGCCGGAGATCGCACAGCGGAAAGTAAAAGCGGCCTTGGAGTTAGCGGGAAAATGAGTTCCGAAAACTGAACAAAACTACATTTTTTTGTTTTGTAATGTGGCATACCACCTAGGCATTTTTTTGAAAAAATTCCAAAATCAAATAAAAGGTGAAACGATCTTAGCAAATATAATAAAATTCATATGAAAGTGCAGTTTGTACTCGAGCAAACGTCTTTTGTCGACACGAAGAATGGTGAGTGGGTGTGGTGGGGGTTTGTATGAATTTTTCTATATGAATTTTTCAGTTTTCACTAACAAATATGTCTGGAAGGCTACCATAAGGTAAGCCTGGTCCACTTAAGTAAAATAAGCATAAAGGACAAGAATTTTGTTTCTTTCGCTTTAGAGGCTTATTAAAACATCTTTGATAACTGATTTTTCCCCTTATACTTTTGCTCAAGTCGATGCGAGATTGTACCCCGGACACTCTCCTTCGTGCTCAGGAAGTTCAAATGCGAGGACGCCTTCACTGTTCAAATGGCATGCGCCTTTTGCAAGTATTTTACGATTAATGCAAAGTAGACCCACATGTGCATCTTTACTGAGAACTTTTAATATCGATTAAAATCAACAACAAATAACTACGTCTAACATTTCTTCTCGAATAATCGAAATAAAACTAAAAATCTCGAAATTATCCAAATTTATCCAAAATAATAGTGCACTAACACATACGCGTGAGATATCACATAAAAACCTCAAAATTTCGTTCCGTTCTTCCAATCAGAACAAGATATCCAGAGTTATATCCACTTTCGTATCAAATATCTTGATGTAAGTGGTCTTTAGGTACGAGTTGTAGTAATAACCGTCTACCTTGGACTCCGCAAGCGCTTTCGAGCTGGCCTTGTCATTTTCCTCGACTTTCTTTTCCAACGCCAAAACCCCGATCTTCACGCTTTTCGGATTAACTGTTCCCAACAATCCGATGTAATAGTAGGTTTCAACAGGCTTGTATTTATCGTGTACACGTTTAACGCGTACTTGTTGCCCGCTGTTCACACCTTTGTGGCTGATTTCTGTCAGGCGGTACTTCTTCTTTGTCTCGGCGTCACGTGACAGACCATCGTCGTCCAAGTACAAAGTGTAGCGATCGTCTCTACCCGGGTAGATGTAGAAAGTGATGGTGTTCTCTTTTCCTTGAGAGTATAATTCTCCGATATACTGCTCCAATTCTCGCATGGGGATGATTGCCCCTAAATACATTGACATTATAATAATATTAACCAAAACGTGTGCGCTTAAATTTACGCGTGGACTACTGCTTGAAGTTCTAAGTTGACAATTTCGCTTTGTCATGCTGTCTTATTGTAATTACATAATTACATTCTAATTTTAGTTACATTACGTCATATATTGTAAATAGCAATTATGTCAAATTTATAAAAAGAACTGTACGCTATACTTTATAATTAGCTTGTCGACAGTATATAAGCAGGGGACAGCTAGAGTGCTATTATAAATATTGTGTAATATATGAAAGATACCGAACGCTCGTGATAGTTGGCTGTTTGTTTCTGAACGTATCCTCGTTAAGATTTGAGGACAGAGAAGAGTTAAAGATATTGTCTGAGAAGCAAAGCTATTTGCTTTTGGCGTGAACAGATAACGTTATACTATCTTGTTATTTCTTCTCATTAGCTTTCTTCGTTAAATAAATAATATAAAATAATGAAAGTCTTCTGTTCTTAAATCTTTCTCGTTACGGTGAACGTAAGATCCGTTTGTAAACATATTTCGTTTATTGCTTTTCTCGTTTAGATAAACGCCATTCATCGAGGTCTACCTAGATCAGTACACATGAAAAAAGAACCCACCTTCCCGGATGTAGATGGCTGTATTGTCCCATTCAGGCTTATCCCATGGTGCATAGAATGAGAACTCTTGACCGCCTGAGACCGCTGGTCCAAGAGGCGCTTTGCTGTCAGTGAAATGATACCAAACGCTTCCTTGTGGTAGATAGACAGGACGATTTGTTTGTCCCGGGTTCACGATAGGACACACAAGGATGTTACGTCCGACAAAGAACTGATCGTCTAAACGGTTGGCCGTGTATCCATCAACCCAGCCCCACGAGTGATCATCGTCACAAGCAGCATCGTAGTTAAATACACCTAATGAAGGCAACCAAAATGAGCACGATTTGAAGAGTTTTTCACAGAGAAGTGAACAAACAAACATCTAAATTTTAATATCCTCTGAATCTGAAATATTTGAAAGAAATACAGTGTGATTTTGTAATACAAAATTATCACAATAGAGGACCGTTGACCCCACCCGCCCCCGTTAAACAAATGAGCCAACTTCTAGCTTCAACTGTAACATAAGATGCGTTGTCCAGTTTAATATACATATCGCTGATCAAAACCCAAAATTACCTGGCTCGATTTCATCCATGAAAAGAGGGCGACATATTGGTTTACCAGTCACAGTATTCTCGTACATTGCATCGTAGAAAACCTGGATTAGACGGTATCGCAACTCGATATACTTTCGGCAAATGGTCGGCACAGGCTCGGCATATCTATTGAAAGAAGGTAATGGGGCATGTTTAATTATTGTAATTCATCTTAATCATCACAGCTAGAGCCCACTTAATAAAATCACATTTGTTTGGCTTTCTCTAAGAGTGTTTTTTAAGTGAAATTTGCATAAACTTATTTATAAGCCAAAAGAAATATTAAGTTGTTTACAAAAAAATTCATAATATATTAATGTTTATTTATGTTAAGTGGAAGTTGACAAATTTCAAATACCTAATCAGAGAATAGTGTTGTCAACATTGGTTGTTTAAGCACATAAAAAAGTGCTTGTGAAAATGGCTTTAAACATGAAATAGCATATCAGTTGTATGTTAATTTCAACATTATACATGCTGAATTGGTGTTCTGAGGAAAAACAGAGTAACTCACTTGTACGGCTCTTGATATGGCTCTGAATAGTTGTCGTAATGGTTTCTAAACCAAGGCAAAAACGCTCCTTGAATAGTCCATCTTGTAAGCAACTCGGGATCGACAATCTGACCCATGTACTCGCAGCAGAAGCCACCAATATCACAGCCAGACACCGGTTGCCCTGACAGCCCAATCGTAAGCACCAATGGAATGTTGATCTGTACGAATTCCCAGTTCGATGTGCTGTCCCCAGTCCACAGTGCCGCGTGACGGTGAACTCCAATAAAGCCACCTCTGGCGATGATGAAGTTCCGTTTTTCACCGTTGATACGGTCCAGTCCAACGTGCGTTGCTTTGCAGAGATTGTAGTTATACAGGCAGCGAATCTTGGCGAATGGCTTTCCCAACCGACACAACCGTCTGTGCATAACGGGTTTCTTCATTATCTGATATCATGAGATCCATTGGAAATGAAAGGAGTGGACAGGGACTTTGATGTATACTTGCTTTCATAGCGGGCGTTGTCATGTCTTGCCAAACGAAGTCCAATCCCCAGTCTAGCAGATCCTTGGAAAGAAATAAGTATTATTTCATGATTGTTCCATATTGCATGTTTGAGACATACTATATACGCTTGATGTTGTATTTATTGTATAGGAAATGCTATTCGACTGTGATTGATTGGTTTCAGAGCATTAAATAGTACACATTTGTAATAAAACAAATATAAGTAAAAAGAAACATACCTAACACACACATACCTAACACAAATATACCTACCACAAACATACCTACCACAAATTTTCGTTCCACAAATATACATAACACAAGTGTAAAATTAACAAAGCAAATTAAAAAAGTAATCAAAGGAAGTTGCACTGTTTTGCGTCATCTGTTTTTGAGCCAAATAACGTGAACTGTGATGGAATTTCACGTGTGTGAAGAACAAGTGTTGTTTTGATTTCTTTGAAGAACTGCGAGTTCGTGTTTTCAGCAAATGAACAAAAATACATTGCTATAAGGATACGGCACTAATACCATGTGAAATAATCTTTCAGAAGACTTCATCTTCGGTTGCATATGAATTTTATCTCAAATGTAGGAAACGTTTGAGTATTTCACATAAGTACCACAAATGTCTCCTATTACAGTACGCTCTTCGAAAAATTTTGAAAAAGCTCAAAGAAAAAAAGACTTGTCTAATCAATGCACCTGATACTGATTGCCCCACCATTCTTCAACTTCAGGTTTTCCAAGATCTGGGTAATGACCCCAAGTCAACATTCCCCGGCCGTAGTTCACATTTCCGATGAAGAATTCCTCGTCACCATTGGCATCCAATGAAAGAGGTTGTCCCTCGTGTTGATTCACCACGAACATTTTCTTCGCCTTACCGCTGTCCAAGGCTTTATAAGGACTGTTCTCGTCATTCTCGTCCACATTGCAACTGATAATAGTGTGATATTTGTACTCATCTGAAATGAAGTGGAATAAAACGAACATGGAAGTAGGCATATTGGTGTAGCGAACAAAGTAACTTCATTAAAATTTTTTCAATAGGCAGATTAACATAACGGCTATGACGTCAGGTGACAACGCTTTATATTTGAGTCACATGTCTTATGTGCCATTTCAAAAAGTAATCATTGCTAGTGAGATATGACCCAGTGTAAGCAACTGCCTTATCTGCCCGTCATCAGCATCGCTGGCAAAGGGTTTTGGGTCAATTGTTAGTGAAAGAAAACGCGAAATTAACTAATTAAGAGTATCATGACGACCAATTTCTTCAGAAATTTATCGTTATTACAGTATGTCTGTGAACGCTGAATGTTTTCAGAGCGCAAGACTAATTGATCGCTCTGGCTACGTCACTGGAGTCCAGGTACATTTAAATGACGTCATACCTTATATCCCCAATCGTGAAGCGAGCGAAAGAATTCCTTGGGATTAGGAAACTTCTTTGGACTGTAGGTAAAGGTTCGATAGTTATTCTGGAAATCAACATCAACATGCATACCGTCGCAAGGGATCTTTGCCTCCCGGTACTGTAATGCCACCTGCAGGAGACTCCACTTGTTGTTGTAGCACGGACCGTACCCACCTTGGTGGTAGCCAAATACGTACTTTGGCTTCAGGTGGGTGCGACCAGTCAGTTGGGTCAACTCGTTTAACACCTGAGCCACGTTATCACCAGCAAAGAAATAGTAATCAAGTTCCCCGTGAAGAGCACCAATATAGTACTTGTCGCCTTGATAAAACAAAACAAGTTAACGGAGTTTTTTTGAAGGACTCGGTTACGAAGCTCGGTCAGGCTTATTTACTATGTAGAGAATTTTTAACATCTTAAATTGATGGTTATAAAGCCTTCAAGAAACCATAAAATTTTGTAATCATTGGGATCATCAGTGTTTAATTGTAAATACTGCTTGGTTTAAATTGCAGCATTCTGTCTTCAAAATGCACTTATCGCCAATGCCAAAATAAACTCCTTCAAGAAGAAATAAACGGGAAACACGCTCGTATACGCGTCCTCTCAGCACAACTAACACAAGCACACTCCACGATAAATTTAACTTTACAATTCGTTTTTTTTGGTCTATTTCTATGGCTATAATCAGAACTTTATGTTGGGCATTAATTTTTATCACACGAATTCGATTTCCGCTCGGCAAGTCTCTCGCTACAATTTTAAATCATCGCTATAATAATGGAGCACTCGAAGCATTTAGAAAATTCAAACGACTTGAACTCAAGCTGGGAAAAGCAAAACTCGACTTGGATTTTCTTACGACATGCAGAAAGCACTCTGTGATACCAAAATTCCTGTGGTTCAAAGTAGCTAGTCGTCGCTTACAAAACTCTAGCGCTTATCGCCAATGCCAAAATAAACTCCTTCAAGAAGAAATAAACGGGAAACACGCTCGTATACGCGTCCTCTCAGCACAACTAACACAAGCACACTCCACAATAAATTTAACTTTACAATTCGTTTTTTTTTTGTCTATTTCTATGGCTATAATCAGAACTTTATGTTGGGCATTAATTTTTATCACACGAATTCGATTTCCGCTCGGCAAGTCTCGCTACAATTTTAAATATTGTATTGAATTTAAAACTTGAACATTGCGGTCAGGGTTAGTTTTGTTAATGTGGAGTGCTTCTTTGATTTTAAGGGTGAATGAGGTGTCGGCAGTGTCGATGATTTTGAAGCAAGAGGGTGAATAGTTGGTTTTACATGAGTGAGATTGAAGAAGGTGTCGGTAGATATGAGAGTTTTTGTCTGTTGTAGTATGTTCCCTGATTCTGGTGGATAAATGGCGCGAAGTTTCGCCAATGTATCGGGAATTACATCCCGCGCAATTGAATTCATATACCACCATAGATTTAATTGAATCAGGGATTGGGTCTTTGAATGAGAAAAGGTTTTTGATTTTGAATGATGTGAAAATTAGTCGAATGTCAATATCTGTACAGAAGCGTTTCATAATGTTTGTAAGTCTGCGTTGTGTGTGTCTTGAGTAATGTCCGATGTATGGTAGTTTGAAGTATAGAGTTGTTATTTTGGAATTTTTATTTGTGTTGGTTGTGATCGTCGTGTCAGTAGTTTCGGTGTCTAGTTTGAGGTTGTTGCTTTGTTTGTTGTCGAGATATCGTTTTACGGCTCTGTTAATAAAGTGAAGTGGGAAAGAGTTTCGTAAAAGAGTGGATGTGATGTTTTTTATGTCTCGTTGAAAGCCATTGTTTGTATTGTTAAGTTTGTATGCTCTGTCGATTAGTGTGCGTATAAGTCCGGTTTTGTATGAAAGTGGTGTGAAACTAAAATAGTTCGTCAGAAGTCCTGTGTATGTTGGTTTGTGGTATGTAGATGTGGTAATTCTTCGAATACTTGATGTAGGATGTAGAATGCGACATAACATGCAGATACTGCAGTTTTAACAATAAGTTTTAACGAATTTCTAAATGAAGTTTCCTTGAAAAAGCGGACTAGCCCAGTTGGTAAAATCTTTGGAGCTCCGCAACCAATAGTATTGCTTTAAAGATTTTCAATAAATAATTGAGCTGCTGTAGTTTATTTCGAAAAAAGGCGTATTCTGTAATGCCATTATTTGAAATAATCAACTTAATTGATAGAAATTTTAAAATCTCTCCCTGATGATTATAGTTCAACATCTTTCCTTCAATTTTTCAGTCTTTTCAACCTAGCTCATTACTGCACCCACAACAATTAGAGATGCTTGAACTGGAGCCTTTTCCATAGCAACTTCTTTTTGTGACCCAGACCTCTCTCTCTGTCGTGTTTGGTATACGTAGCCACGATGCACATCATTAAAATTTCTGTATAATTTGAGGTGGCATTATACTTGACAATGGTTGGGCACATTTGAGCGACACAGTGCCAACATTTTCTACCGAATATCCGCTGTACAAATCAACGCAGTTTGATGTTGGTGAAGTGAAATTCGATCCTTTTTTTGCTACCGAAGCTGCAGCTCAACCGGAGCCAAAGAATTTGAAGAAATACAAGGTAAGCAATTAAACAACACTTGCAAATCTCGATGTATTGAAAGTATTTTAAAACGCAGCTGTATATTCCAGGTAAAGTGAATCTCTGGTTCAGTCCTGAACACACAAACTGTGCCATTCACGACCATCACAGTGAAAACAAGGCTAAGGAAATACTCGAGGTTCACACGCAGGTCTACGGAGTCGGCCGCATGCAGAAGTTCCACGATGATAAGTTCTCGACAATTTACGAGGATGTCATCCTTGGTGAGGGAATGACTCACACTCCTTTTGCCGCTGTCCACGAGGACGGTACCTTCTATTATCCATGGCATCAGTATTACGCTGATACCGATTGTATCTGGATGGCTGTAGAATTTCACCCGCAGTAACGTTATAAAAAAAGGATCGATTTGGAAATTTGAATAATAGACTGATGGGTATAGTTGAAATGAGTTAAAAAGCAATGGCTTTTATGAAACTTAGGGCGGCCATTATTAGTGATTAAAAATTATTTGATATCGGTATACACTGCTGTCTCAAATAAAGAATCAAACATTGTAACACACTCTACTAATAAAGTAAATGGTGCAGTTTACAAAATAAACTGCTCCGACTGCCATGCTTCCTATATCGGGGAGACTGGCAGGAACTTAAATATAAGACCTACTGAACACAAACGAGGTACAAACGATGACGTAAGAACATGATAACAAATACGGCTAACCTGACGTTTACTCCTCACTTGACTCTGAAGATGACTACCGCTAAGGTTGTCGAAACTTCAGTCTACATCAATACCAACAGTCCTTCTCTGGACTCTACTAACCTTTTATCGCAAAATGAAAATAAAATGGTATTTTTTGGATTGATCCGTTTTGAGTTGAGCAACTAGGAACAATTTATTACAAAATTTAGTCAAAGGGACAGCAATGACCTAGAACCCAATCTACTAGATAACTGACTCCGCCAATATTGTATATGATGAGTCAGATATTATTTCAGACAAAATTTGTACAATAACCAACAAAAAAAGCCAAGGCGTGGTGACTAAGCTTAGCTGGCCTGGCAAGACCTGGCCACTATGCCACACAATAAATCTCATCCGACATGGTGAATAAAACAACAGGGAAACTATGGAAAAACACACGCAAAAAAAGAAATTGTGGTACAGTTTGAAGTGTTTTTTTTTATTAAGATTTAATAAGATTTCGAAGCAACGTATTAAAATTGAAGCATGGAAAAGGGAGATATTCTTGTTTAGAAGACAAAGAAAAAGCTAGCAGTTGGGGGTGAACCGGGTGACTCGTTAGCTCACTGAGTGAAGCTTATACATGACTTTAATACTCAGACTAAGCTTGTTTGCAATTTGCTGGCAGACAGATTCATCCCAGATTAAACCATTGTTTCCAGTGTTTTCTAAAAGCACTCGATTAAACCTGCCTCCTAGCAAAACGTAAAAAGTCACGTCGTCTATAAAATAATGTTGGTATCATTTACACACAGATATATCTCTTTCTATGACCCTGATTTGCTAGAAATTTATTTATAATGGTCAGTAGAAAAAGATGTTCTTCTACAGCACTTTGATTGTTATACCCTAACATGTTAAATCTTTTGACTCTTGTCTATTCAAATTTTTACTTTCACCCTGTTGCAGCTTTAAAAAATTGATCATCTCAGTTTTGATAAAGGATAGGTTCCATAGTTTAAGTAGTTAATGTAATATTACATCTGTGCTGGTAATGAAATTGATTATTCAGCAAGATCAGGGTTTTAAAACTTTTACCATTACTTTCTTACAAGCATAACTCTGTTACACATTGCCTAGCACAATTTTCTGACTTCACCAGCCAACCCACTTTAAGACAGATCTACTCTATGATCCTCCCACCCCTACACACACACACACACAAGTAAAATAGTAATGTTCTTCGCTCTTATGTTTGTGGCAAATACTTCTAAGTTGCAAGTGATCACTGATCAGATTTGTTTAAAGTGCTTAACCTACAGCAAAACGTAATACTCATGTGCAGAGAACACTTGGAAAAGATGACGATTCTTATCAATTCTTATGCAAACTCTCTAATGAAAGAGTTTCTTTGTGGAAACTCCGTATAAAGTTTCGTGCAGACATAAACAAAGTAAACATAGCTTGGTTTATCAAATGTTTATAGTTACCTAATGGTGGTGATCTTTTATTTATTTTCACCAAGTGTTGACCAACATCTCAATGCTTTATGTTGCAGCTGTTTCTCTTTGTACCTTTCTGAAAATGCAAGAGGAAACTCTTGGCTTGTTACAAATAAATAATTTTACATGTTTACTGCAACTACTAATCATTACTGTAAAAGTTGTTCATTTCATGACAACTCTTGGAAGGAGACAATATGTGAAAAAAATCTAGGTCATTCTTTTTTCCTTCCGTGAACATTGACAAAATTCAACATTTGGTTAGAATAAGATAAATTTTGTACATATATAACAAATTCTTATTTTAATTACAAAAACAACAAACAAATGCGATGTGGTACATGTTTTTGCATTTTAAACTCAGTTTTTCTTCACTAAATCGGGTTGGTTAAAAAGAAGATTTTGTACATATTTAACCAACTCTCTTTTTAATTGCAAAAACATTGCAGAACTAGTACATAATAAATATTTTGCATCTTAAACTCAGTTTTTCTTCACTAAAAGGACGTTGGTTAAAATAAGACAAATTTTGTACATATTTAACCAACTTCCGTTTTTGCAGTCTATTAAAGATGTAAAAACATGTATCATGCACTATTTTTGCAATGTTTTTGTAATAAAAAAGAGAGTTGGTTAAATATGTACAAAATTTGTCTTATTTTAACCAACCCCTTTTAGCAAAGAAAAACTGTGTTTAAGATGCAAAAATATATATTATGTACTAGTTCTGCAATGTTTTTGCGATGAAAAAGAGAGTTGGTTAAATATGTACAAAAAAAATTTGATAATTTTCGTAAGGGGAGGACGGTAAACCAAACAGCTGGTCATGGCTGTTAAAATATATTCATTTTCATTACTTGCCAAAATTGATTGTATTTGCTACAGTACACAAAATATACAGTGCGTCACCATATTGATTTTCAAGCTTTGGAAAGTAATGCGCAAGCTTGAATTTTAAGTGTGCTGTGCTGCTTTTAAGAGAAAACCTAGAGTCAAGTTACTCATTTGAAAACTGTGAACAGTGTTTCTTTGGAATGTGTAATTAACCAAGATCGAGAAAGTCATTCACACGTTGTAATTTTCAGTTAACGTTAAAATATTCGATTTTGACGTCTTGTGCTTTAGTGTGACACAAAACAGATTTCATTTTCCCGTCGACTGCTCGGTTATCATTTCTAGAGCTTACGCTGTAAAAAACGACTGATCGAATCGCATTCTGTGGAGTGAGAACAAGGATCTCCTCACCACGCTAAACTACACATATATGCACGATATAGTTGTATTCATTCTCGAAACCATAAAGTGCCTATGAAATAAAATTTTGTGAATTTTTTTTTTGCATTATCGAAAAATATCATCTTTCTTGATCATTTTAACATCAACCTTGTAGAGCAACTCCAACTAAAACTTAATAAATTTTGAGTTTAAAGTAAGGACATCAGCAAATTTTCTGTCAAAACCGCGCGGGGTCAAGAGGTCGTGATGACGTGTGCCGTGTGACACAGCTACTCTTTAAATCTGTAAATACTATTATTATTATTGTGACTATAAATGCCGTAATTTTGCGACGTTATAAAATAAGTTCTATGCGTCGGAATTGAATTCTGGTTTTTTCTTATGGCTCAGAACGATAAGGTCTTGCGAAATAGCAAAAAAAATTCGCAAAATTTTATTTCATAGGCATTTTAACTAAGAAAACAAATTTGTTTATTTCCGTCAATCTGATATCTATGAAAAGGTTCATGACATTAATTGACTCGTGTTCACGTAACAGGGATGAAAGAATGGCAGCTAAAGGCCGATTTATGCTGCGCGCGACAAGCGTCGCGCGTACTCGATTTGCGCAAGACAGGTGCGCGTGCTAAGCTGTGTTTATAGTTAACGCGCTTACCGACGCGTATTCAACAAAATCGGATAACATGAAGTAATGCGGTATTCTCACGATCAAACATGGCAACTCGAGTTCGAGGAGAAATGGATGACCTTCTCGATCTGGAGGAGGAGGAAATGTTGTGCTATTTACTTTTGTTGCTACAACAGAAAAAACGAAAATGAAGAAGATGGTCAGTTCGACCACTTCACGCTTCTAGAAAAAGTGAGGGTGAATACGTTCTTGTTCAACAAATGAGAGGCATAGACGAAGAAATGCATTTTAAGTATTTTCGTATGTCTTCTGCCCGTTTCGACGACTTGGCACATCGAATTATGCCTCATGTAAAGCATGCATCTACGCATTTAAGTCCTGTTAGTGTAAAAGAAAGGCTAGCAGTTACGTTAAGAATTCTATCGTCTGGCGCCTCACAACAAACTGTGGCTTCAAGTTACCGATTAGGATCAACTACAGTTTCCCTAATTTTGTTGGAGGTGTGTGTAGCTATCTGGTTGGCATTGAATGAAGAGTTTGTTGCCTTTCCTTCTGGTTCACAATGGGCAGAAATTTCGCGTGAGTTTTGGAGGCTTTGGAACTTTCCAAATTGTCTGGGCTCTATAGATGGAAAGCATGTGCAACTCAAAGCACCTCCTCTTTCTGGAAGTGATTTCTTTAATTATAAAGGAACTCATTCTGTTGTACTAATGGCTGTATGTGATGCTTGCTATCGCTTTCTAATGGTAGATGTAGGTGCATATGGAAGGCAAAGTGATGGGGGGATTTCCAAGAAAGCAAATTTGGGGAGCAGCTATTAAATGGACAACTTGGTTTGCCCTTGCCAGAGGATCTACCTGTTAGTAAACTTACATTACCTTATGTATTTGTTGGCGATGCTGCTTTTCCTCTTCATGTTAATATGATGAGACCTTACCCAGGTACATTTTCTTTTGTTAACTCCATGCACTTTTATATATATTTTCCGTTTTCAATGAAAATAATTTTCTTATGTTTAATCAAAACATAATTATTTCATATATTTTGAAAATTTATATTAACTGTTTGTGACTTCAAAATGAAATAAATTTATTCAATTTATGTCTGTGTAAGACTCATTCAAAATGTTTTTCATTCCCCACAAGAATTGCGATCAAAAATTTCCTGGCTGCTTGTTGGCAGAGTTTCCCAAGACTCAGTAAATTGCTAAAACAGTTGATCTTAATGCCATTTTGTTCTATTTACTCTTAAGGTAATAACCTTGACAATCCCAAGAAAATTTATAACTACCGCCATTCCAGAGCTAGAAGGGTAATTGAAAATTACCATTTCAAACAATATTTTATGAATGGAAAATTTAGCTTCAGATTTCAACTTGCCTGGAAGCTTTCGAGAGTGTCAGCCACTGTATCTGAAAAGCGACTTTCTTCATCAATTTTCATATGTTTTGTTTCTCTTTCTTCTCTAATCTTTTCAAAGAATCAAGTCTTTCACAAACTAATGTCTCTAAATGTGCTGATCTCTTTCTATAGCCCTTGGTCGGGTTTACCACAGCTCTACTCAAAGCAATTGTGGAAGGGGCAGATGGGTCACTACTTACTGGTGTGGTAGGTTTGGTAGGTAATGTAGGTGTTGTACACGAATTTTCACTGACATTTGAATCGCTTCTACTTGTTGAGGGAGACCATGCGGTTAGGTCAAACTCCTCCATATTTATCGTCACAAAATTTCTCCTAGTGGAAGGGATTCTGATGTTGTTATAGGTTCTTCAGTGTTCTCCTACAATCACAGCTACAACAGATGTAACATAATAATCTACTCAATCAGTCAGCCTGTCCCATACTGCATCAAATTTTTTTAATAGCGATTATAACTACCTCCCGAAAATTAGTTTCTGTGTCCCTATGCTTTATATGATCAGACAAGACAGACTGAGGAATATCGGTGGGATAGATTTGCCACCAGCATCTCCACTTCTAGACTTCATTCGTTTCTTTGCTTTGGTGTAACGATTTCTCAAATTTTTCCATTTCTGTCGACAAATTTGTTCATTTGTGTTAAGGTTTCTCGCTATTTCATTCCAAGAATTATTGGTTTTCTGAGTATCTTTATAATCTCGTCTCGAAGAATCGTAAAGATGACCATATTTTCGGACTTCTTCTGCTAATTTTCTTCGAACCCTTCCATTGCTGCTGCCATCTTGTGTTAGTAATTGGATATTCATTATTCAGTATTGACAAACAACTCAAGAACTTCCCCCCGAAAGAAGCCTTTCAGCCAATCACAACGCGCGACAACGCGACAACTTGTCTTCGACGTTACAAAATTTTTGAATGCACGCGACGCGACATCAAGCAAACGCGCCATCAAGATATACTTCCGTTTTAGTCGCAATGACGTAAGATCTACTGTGCGACACGTCGCGCAACGCTTGTCGCGCGCAGCATAAATCGGCCTTAACCGTTTAGTCTTCGAGCGCACATATTGTCGTAAGCTTGCCTACCCGGAAACAGACGTGCAATTTGTCTGTTTCTCTTTCATTTTCTTTGTTACAATGAAACTGTGTAGTTCTTTGTGTGATTATTTAGTAACTGAGCAAGTGACAGTGCTTTGGATTCTTTAAATATCTTGTTATTACTAAAAGCATGAGTAAGCGAAAGTTGATTTGAAGGGTAGATTAAAAGTCATAAAATTGTCGTGCGTCCAGTGTTCTCAGAAAAATCCTTCGATTCAGTTGAACAGGTAAGAGTAAGTTAAGCGATGTTTATACATGTTCCTGCTGCTTTTAAATCGGGCTTACAGTAAATATTAAACTTGTAACGTTGTCAGAGAATACTCTGTAAAGCTTTACAACATTGATTGTTTTGCCATAACGCTTTGAAGGTCTACTGCATCTTAAACAAGCCTTAGTTTTTCCTTCCTTCAACGTTGTAGTAATTGTGCTGAAATTGCTATAACAATATATTATAAATGTTTGACGTTGCAGTATGTTGAAGACTCTTTGTCTGGATTGCTATAAAGCAATTGATTTTAGGATACAATGCGATAGTTTCAGTTAGATTTTCAAATTGGCATATGGCTTCATTGTTAGAAAATATTTTCTTTCATTGCATTGTAAATCGATGCAAGTTGTGAAAAGTTACACCGGAAACCCTTCCGTATCGCGGGGTGTGTTTTACCCAGTGTTCTATTCCATGGATTTAGTAAGAATAACATTTAATTTAGTGTAGCTTATACGAAAGTGTAAATGTTCGATACGAAAACGCATTTCCAAACTAAGTTTACGTTATTTCATCTTCTATGATTATCACTTACATTAGAGATCATCCTCCAATCACGCAATTGCTCCCGTCATTCACATCAATGCCCAAGATTAAAAAGAGAAAAAGCGTTAAAAGGGAGAGAAATATCAGAAAGGAGGATATTGGTGTACCGTCTAATTTTTGGTAAGGTTTTGTTTTATTATCATTTAAGGTTCCGTTTTCAACCAGCCATTGCTGAATCGGAGATGTCTGATTAAACCTTACAGTCGTTCATTGTTGATGGTACAAATTTAAGTTATATTTGCTATACGTAAAACTAATTTGATCTTTTTCAGGCATGTTGCTCATGTCGGACGAGATGCTCCAGAACATTTTGACGTAAGAACAGAATTCATTGAATGTATACATTCATGTTTTTTGATGTTATTCGTGTTGTGCGATCAAGTCCAATTTTCACTGAACATGTTGTTTCCTAATAAAATTCCTATAGATTGGCACAGTTGATGACACTGGTCAGCGTCCAGGCCTGTCTTCAAGTAGTTCAGCAGGTACGCAGATCGTAGCTCTATGACACTCTCCCCACCTCCCCAAAAACACACCACCCAGAGATTCCCTGTAACTTTTATGATTAGCATTTGAGTACTTAATCATCTTCCAGTACGTCATGGTCGGGAATCCTTTCTACTTCTCATGAATCAGCAAGACATCCTGATTATTTTATTTCTTTCTGCTCCATATTTTGTATTTATCCATTGAAATACGAGAAAAGAGGAAAAGGGCTTTTCCAGGATTTTCAAAAAAAAATGCTATGTCTTTTGCATTAACCTGTACTCAACAAGAATTAAAAATTTTCAACAAAATTATCAATTTTCGTTTGTACTACGGATGTACAGCTCATTGAACTAAATTAGATGGAACGCTACTGAAACAAATAATTGAAGCCAAATCTTACAACCGTATGCGCGAGATTACACCCAGACACGCATGTGTAGTGTTTCGAGATTCTCTCGCCGAGTAATAATTAATTGCTACACACGCGTGTCTGGGATAAAGTCTCGCGTGTCTGAGTGTGAACTCACGGCTTCAAAAAATTATTAGGGTTTTGTATTACATGTAGCGTTCCATGTATTTTAGTTTAATGGAACAGCTTCGAATTTTCAGACTATTGTCATAAAAATCATAAAAATATCTTCCCTAATATTTTCAAGCAGCGCGACAAAGCATGAAATCACAATGAACCCAGCAAGGAATGGATGGATCCATTCAAAAATAATGTTTGCATTCATGATTTTTTTTCCATACTTCCAACAGAATTTTTTCCCTCTATTTCTCAATTACATGACCAAAGAAGAGATTTGCTTTCCCCAAAGGAGAGTGCAACCAGTGAACACAATGATGTAAGTATAATAGTGACGTCAGGCCTTTCTTTTCTACAAATAAATTTGAAGATGTAAAAATGCAAGCAGTAAGTTATAGTTTAAAAAGAAAACTTATACATCTCATATTTGAAATTACTAACACACACAGATCATGACAGATTTTCGTCTTCCGTAAATAGATATCTTTGCCAAATCTTATCCTATCTTAAAGAAAAATCGATTTTGAAAATGATTGTTTTTTAACTAAAGAAAGAAGAGGAAAAAATGAAGGAAATGAAATCCGTATCAGTTCTCAAAGATCATATTGACTACATTCAACATACTAATTTTCTGGAGGAGATAAAGGGAAAATATCCTGGGCTTGTTAGCGTTTCTTTCATAGAATGCAAAACTGGCCTTGAACTTTGCTTCGAAGGGTCAAAAATCGATGTCTTTAATGCCGAACAACAATACCACATTTTTGTTGGAAAGATTATCATTGTTGAACTTATTCTTAGTCATGAAAAGATTTCGTTTTTGTCTGACAAAGCAGGAAAGGGGTTTTTCGAAAGTTGTCTATATCCAGAAACTAAAGGTGTCGTGTTACTGATTAAATCCAAATCCATGATTAAAGTGGTAACGCAACTAATGCATGAATATGATGCTATTAAGAAATGTTTTGCAAATAATTTTCGAAAGGAAGAGATATCCTTTACAGAAGACAACAAGCATATTCTTGCTTCAAAAAAATGGTTTGAAATTTTCAAAGCGATTGATTGTGACGATCTGATCGAATACAACGGCGATACCTCTAAGAGTGGGTGCATTTTTCTTCACGGTGCGGCCTGTGTTGTTGAAAAATATGCAAGTATTATGAGAGATGCCCTTAATGAAGTCGAGATTATAGAAGACTTTGTTGATATAGAGCCTGAAATCGGAGATTCTGCTGATTTCATAGTCGAAACATTTTCTGTGGATGTTGATTTACAGATAGCAGATTTTTTAAAAGAAGCATTAAAGATAGATTTTGACGTGATCGAAGTTGAGCTTAAAGAAGATCGAGTTAAAATGGAAATCAGTCCTGGAATGCTGATGTATTCTGGCACAGAGCAAGGAATTGAAAAGGCAAAATCACTTGTGATGAGGTTAAAAGATGACATAAAGACTGCAACGGGATCGTTTTCGTCTGTTGAAGCTCTTGAATCATTTTTTGAAGGTCATTGTGAAAGAAATGAGAAAGGTGAAAGAGTCGAGAAGAATATCAAAATAAATGTGAAGAATAGTTATGAAGACTTCATTCAGCAATCCGACATTGAAAACAGCGACAAAGAGTGTGGCGAATTTCTACAGAATAAATCAGAACGATCCGATAACGATACTTCCAACTTAACCATGGAGGAGGAAAGGCAGATGTCAGGAAAAGGCTGTGATGTGGCCATTGAAAAGGTGAGTAATCAATGAAACGGTAAGTAACCAATGAAAAAGCTAGAAACCTGTAAGATAGTAAGTAATCCTAAAAGAGGTAAGTGATCCTTAAAATAGTGACTAGTAAATAATGACCAATCATAAACAAGTATCGCTGTACGATATCTCAATCGTCGATGCTGTCTTCCACATATCACCATGAAATCTCAGTGTATATAAAAAAAGCATTACTGTAAATCAAGGGAAAATTTCTCTGACGATTTTTGATGATCTTTGCGATGGTCGTCGATGACATTATCTCATTATTGTCTAAAAAAACCTCTTATATTTTATGTTCACATTGAGGTGTTTTTAAGATGAACGAAGCGGAATTACAAATGAAGCTTTTTTAAACTTTTTTGTATCATTATCATCCATACAAATTGTCCCCAAACGTTGTCTTTTCTTGTTTGCCATAATTATTAAATGTTGGATTGATCTTTTATACATCCATCATTATACAGATTTATGTTTTCCTACATCCAACTTTTATAACTTGAGACATGGATGTAAACTGCATGTTTTACCAGAGGATTGCCTGTCGCCCAAAGTGTTATGTTACAAATCCCTTCATGCAACCACTTGTTGACATAGGTTTGGAAACTTAATAAAGTCCTAAATTTTGTTCTTTCTCAATGAAAACATGTTTGAATGAATAGGCTCCTTTTTTCCTTAAAGGAAGAAGAAGAAACATTGAAAGAAGAATTCAAGACTGTGGCAGTAAAGGAAGATCACATTGACTACATTCAATGCACAAACTTCTTTGAAAAAATACAGGAAAAATATCCTGGATTGTCCAACGTTTCTTTTACCCACAGCAAAAGTGAAATTATCTTCACAGGATCCAAAACAGATGTCTCAAATGCCAAACAGCATTACGAAAAGTTTGTTGAAACCATTATCGTGGTTGAACTCTTTCTTTGTGATGAAAGCATGTCATTCTTGTGTCAGAAGGCGGGTCTCGAGTTTTTCGAAAGTTGTTTACCTCAAGAAACGATAAAGGTCGTGCTATTGATTGAATCCGAGTCAATGATGAAAGTGGTTACGCAGTCAATGGACGAGTATTACGCTGTGAAGCAATGTTTAGAAAATAACATTCGAAAAGAAGAGGTATCATTGCCACAAGACAACCAGCATCTTTGGGTATCAAAAGAATGGTTTGAACTTTGCAAAGAAATTGATTGTGAAGACCTGATTAAAAGACATTTTGACGACAAATCAGAGAAAGGCAGCATTTCTCTTCACGGTGCAGCGTTTCTTGTTGAAAAATATGCGAATATGATCAGAGACTTCATTGATAAATTAAAGATTGAATGTGAGTTTGTTGATATTGAGCTTGAAATAACACAATTCATGAAAGAAAGGCTAACTAAAGACTTTGAGTTGATCATTGTTTCACTCAAAGACCAGCATGTTAAGATCAAAATCTTCTCGGGAAAATTGGCATTTTCTGGAACAAAGCAAGGAATTAAACAGGCAAAGACACTCGTAATGAGGTTGAAAAATCAAATAAAGACAAAAACAAAATTGTTCTCGTCTGTTGGAGTTATCGAGTTATTCCACAACGAGCATGGTCAAAGAAACCTGAAAGGTATTGAAGTGGATGCAAATGTTAAAATAAAGGTAACGGATAGCCACCAAGACAATATTGAACAATTTGACACTGACAGCATTCGTATCAAAAGAGAAAAATACAAAAAAGATGCAGCTGCATCAAAGAAAACTTTAGAACCTTTTGATGAATGTGACTTCACAACAAAGGAAGGGCTAAAGGTTTCATGGAAATATGGTGATCTCGCCAAGGAAAAGGTGATTATAATTGTTAGTTGCATATATAATCGTATCGTTATCATAACCAGAAGAAAGAAGGGAAGGGGGGGGGGAGGCTCCATACTTAAAAATGCTCTAGCATAAAGGAAAATGATATTATTGACTGTAAGATTAGAGGATGGTATTTCATGTTCATGAAAGTGAAGACAAATGGGAATTGCATAGCTTGTAATATTAACATGGCCAATCGAAAGTCTGAACATTTCAGAGTTCAGCAATAATCTTGAAGAATATCCACAAAACGATCAAACTATTTGACACCATTTTCTGCATGTTAATTGCACAATTTCAATCAACCTTTTTTCAAAACACATAACGATAAATTTTCATGTCATGCGAATGTTTTAAACGATATTTTGAATGCACAGAAACCGTCATGGCGGAAGTGGGATATAGCAGGATGTGGCATCCGGGAAATAGTTATTTGCAACAATGAAAAAAATGATCGGAGAAGTGAAGAAAATCACCCAATTTCTAGTTAATAAACTTAAATTTCCTGTGTCGAAAAGCATCCAGTCAGTTTCTGAATTTGTCTTAGTATTTATTGTCGATTGTATTAATTACTACGGCTATAGGGATATTTGGCAAGAGCTAATGATGAGCCTACAGGAATGACCCCGAAAAAAATTCTGGCATTGATATTATTGATGTCTTGTGTGCTTACGTTTATATAACACTTTTCTCACAGGCTGATGTTTTAGTCAACTCAGCTAATTCGAATCTAAACCAGCCAACAGAGCTTGGACGTGCATTAGGTAAGATTGCTGGACCGTCGTATGTTGCTGAGTGTCGTCAACATCCTCATATTAACCAAGGGAATATAGCTACAATGGGCGGAGGGATGCTCTCGTGCCATAACGTCATTCATGCGGTTTGTTGTGATTGGAGCATAGGAGGAAAGTCTGCTGAAGTACGGGTTGAGCCATCTTCAGTAATTTTATATTTTTTACATAATTTGATATTGGTTGTAAACAACTTCACTTTTCAACGAAATTCTTCCTGATTAGCTTACACTATTGAAAACCTAAGGACACTGTAAATTTTATTAAAAATCATGTGATTGTTTTCATGTTTTCAGGTGTTAAGTGGACTTTTGTGGAAAATTCTGGAGGAATGCAATCGTCTTAATGCCAAATCTGTGGCGATGCCTTTGTTGGGAACAGGGAAACACAATTTTCAGGAAACTGTTGTTTTACGTTTAATGAGAGAAAAGTTCGAAATATTCAGTTCCAAATTTACAAAAGTTTACTAAAGGAAATCATTTTGGTAAGATATGATCCGGGAGGAACACGAAAAAAGAACTTAAACGGTACTTTGAAGCATATAAATTTTATCAAAACTTCAATTGTGAAGCCACTGATAAATTTTCTGATTGTTTAGACGACGCTTCATCGCATAAAAAGCCGAGTTTTGTTCCTCTTGCGTTTGGCTGCGGCAAAGAGTCCATAACGCTTCAGGTTATGGGACGTTCCGACCAAAAAATGTTGTTCGCCTTTCAAAAAATCGACGAGTTTATCAATCACAACATCATCACAAAGAAGGTTGATCATAAAAATCTTTACGATGTTCTCCTAAAATATGCAAGTGAATTGAAAAAGATTGCAACGGATGCTCGCATAAGGATGGATTGTGAAAATGAACAGACGATTTCATTGACAGGTTTGAACAGCAATGTTATTCAAACGAGCACAATTCTCAAAGATTTCATATGCAAATTCACTGAAGATGAAAAAAGACTTAAACAACTGACATACCTGTCAGAAAACGTTCAATGGAGTTACCAAGATGTACACAATAAAGTTATCCATTATAATAAAGAGTTGAGCAGTATACTCGAGATTGCTCGAATGCATGGTGAACAAACAGTGGAGCTCACAGAATCAGAAGGACAAGTATTCAATGTAGATTTCTCACAAATGAAAGCCACCAGCAGAAGGACGGGTAAAACGAAGACATTGTTGAGAAAGATAATTGGATTTAATTCTGGTTTGTAGTTTTGTTGACATATTATATCCTGAAGCAATTCTACCTAAAACGATTTTTACAAGAGAGAAAGTTCGATACAAATATCCATTTTTTACCTTCTTTTCTTTTATTTAATAATTTATTTGTCATTATAACGAAAACAGGGGAGAGAATATGTTATATGCTGTGACGACTCATTTCTAAAGAATGATTGTTAATAAAAGTTTTCAAAACCATGCTTGTTGACATCATAATATTTCTTTTAAATTTCTCAGTTCCATCGAGTTGGTTACCCCAGCCTTCCGATCAAGTTGTCAACCTTGTCGGACTGACACGATCATCCGCTGAATACATCGAGATTAAAGATTACTTTGTGGCTCGAGGAGGAAGATCTGATCAAATTTATGAGATTCATAGAATACAGAACCCTCGTTTGTATTCTCGGTACCAGGCCTTTAAGAGTTCCATGTGTGGTGATGTGAATGAAATGCGTCTTTTTCACGGCACTAATCCAAACAACGTTCGTTCAATAAATTCGAATAACTTCAGCCGAAGCTTTGCAGGAGTAAATGGTGAGAGTTACATTTTTTTCATGTTTTACAATTATCCCTTTTTGAAAGGTCATCACAGAATATATGCATAAGTACAAACATGGTTTGACGCAAAAGAAACTTTAGGCTATTTTTCTATGAAACTTCATAAAATTTTTCGAAATATATGAGCACTCTTTAAGACTGCAGAAGTAGATTTTCTTCGGGAAATTTTTACAATCTTTACAGTAAAGTGTTGTCGTAAAACTTGTATTCTGTTTATAGCTGTAAAATATGGAAACGGAGTATATTTTGCCAGAGATGCATCGTATTCTCTCAGGTACTCTCTTCATCAGTGTTCTGGATCGCAACCAAAGATGTACATCGCCAAAGTTCTTGTTGGAGAGTACACATTGGGTAAGGAGGGACTAAAGGAGCCACCATCAAGAAATGATCTCGGTAACCCAGGTCTACTCTATGATTCTGTTGTGGATAGTCCAAGCAATCCAAAAATATTTGTCATTTTCCAAGATAACCAGTCCTATCCTGAGTATCTTATAACATTAAACAAACAATAAAGCAGTTTCAGGAGATTTTCGTCTCTAAATACGAAGTAAAAAAGTTCTGCAATTCTTATTTTAGTAATGATCAATTTTATTCTGCACATTTCTTTCACTAGCTAGAAACATTTTTGTAATTTTTCTTAAGTACAACTCTATGTTATGCACTCTACATAAACATTTGATATTTACTGCTGAATTCAGTAATGTGACTGTAGCTGATTTTATTTTCTTTCTCGGCAACATGTCGTACATATTTATTCTTTTTAATCAAATTTACTGTAAACTATATTCACATGTACAACAATGTAACATTAAATCTTCTGTTGAGATGATGATGGAGGCTTAGAAAAAATTGTTTCTCTTCAAGTATCGAATGGAAATTGGGCTTGACATGTGGGAAGGGGTGGAGCTATACTCCTTCTAATTTTCTTTACCAATCGCTATAAATAATATGACGTATGTTGGTAGATGCTGTCTCGACAGTAAATATCTAACCACCAAAAATTTGGACAAAAGTCAACTTGACTTGATTGTCTTTATCTTGTCAATGATTCATTGGTCCTTCCTACAAATTAGAATACCCAAAATCTAAATCAACGAACATGATGAATAATAATAATTCAGCAAAACAAATGAATATGAATACGTTGGTAAACTAAAGATTGTACACCAATCCCCTCCTACTACACCACACAGTCAAAGTGTTTGGTTTTTAGAACATCTGCATTACATAACTAAAATACTACCAAAGTAATAATGTCTTTGTTCGTCCTTCACATTTTTGACCAATTCACCGAAATGATAGAAGAATAATCATCATAGCTATTAAAAAGAACCAGTGGCGTTATGGTCCGCAAAAAACAATTATTATCAAGCTGACGACACCACTTAGACGAACAATCTTAGTTGCTAACTTTATACACGGTCTAATAGCAACAGTCATTAACTTTCTTTAACAATATATCATGTGACACTGGATGCAACGTGTATGTTATTGCTCTGATTCACTCTTGATCTAATGCATTCAGAGTACCGAAAAGAACAAATTCTGATTCTTTAGTATTCACCATCTACGTTAGGGATATGAAAGAGATGGCATTTTTCAGATAATGCATCATACACAGATTACACAGTAGAAAATGTGATAGCTCTAATTCAATGCACTTAAGTTGTAAGTTAAAGAGATTCTCTTATAGAAAATTAGTTTGATATAAATAAGCATATTTTGAACAAGTGGCGAATGCAGAGTTAATGGGTATGTAAGTCATATAAGTAGATTCCAGCACCATTATAGAATAACCTGCTACAAAGACTGCATGTAAACAATAATAAGGCTAGGATGTAGGATTAGGAAAAAGGTAAGGATACTCTTAGGATATTTTATAACACTCCTATACTTCCAACTATCACTGCCTTCAGCAATCAAATATAAAATGCATCCCTTTAGATATAATCTTATTAACAGAATATTGACCCTGTGAAAAATTTTAAATAAGTAGGAATTGTTTCATTCATCTAACTTTAACTTTATAAGGCCGGAGCATGCGGAATTTATTATACAAGTAAACTAAGAGACTTTGGAATCTTCGACGGTATAAATATAAAGGTATTCTTTCTTACTTTTTAATTAATTCATGTTATACAAAAATGATTGGAAAGAAGATGCATTTTTCAGTGTAAATTAAATGGATTGTTGATCACCATATGACATTAGAAGTACGTCAACATTGTTGGAATAAAGACAAGTTGAAACTACCTTAAAATTGGGGAGGATGAATGTTTCTTTGTCAAGCAGCTGATGAATGTATTAGCTAAGTAATGATATTAAAGATACTAATAAAATAAATTTGGAGTTTTAAAAACATAGACTTTTCTATCTGAATACTCTTAGCAAATTGATAACAATTGTCAAGTGTCTTGATATAGTTCTAAAGATTTTATCATTGTGTTATACATATATAGGTAGGTCATGTGATAGTCTATTACTAATCTAATATGTGTAGTTGGTGTTAACTTTTCTAAGGCCTTTCTGAAAATAATTTCTGCAGCAAAAATTTCCTTAATAAGATTTGATATAAATTACAATGGCGCTGAAATGTAGATATCGGCAGGATATCTTGCGTTTCATTATTGACAACTTGAATTGGCCACAACTGTCAAACTTTTTTGATATTTTTTGTTCCATTTTTTAACACAAAATCACACGTATTGAAAAATGCTCATTACTCGTGTAGTATTTCAGTAGATTAATGCAAAGAGAACACAGAATTTGACATCCAATTTTTTGTTTCACTTTTCCTTTCATTTTTACGGAACAGCATTGTTGTTGGCATGAATATTAATTGCCTTGTGAAAGGTATTTAGCTTATTTAATTACACGTCAGTGACAAAGTGAAAGCAGTTCGAAGCGAAAGTTCACTTGAAGCAAAAGTTGATTTCAAGCTTTTGTAAGAAATTTCACGGCACTTCTCTACATATCCAGGTAAGTTAAACTGTATATATTTTTTTGCCATGTTATCAATACTCAGGAAATATACCCAACATATTACAAATACACATAACACAATTTTATCACGATTTCACGGTCTGAGAGCCTTTAACAAATCTTTCACTTTCCAGCAATTTAAATTCTTTATTTATGTAATATTGTAAATTTAAGCTCTTTGTCGATAGCCTAAAAATATGAGAATTCATATTTATAATATTATAAATGTTGTACCTGGAAGTATGTCTTTGCATCAAGCCTTTGAGTTCAACATGCAGTGTGTTATAGGCTTTGCTTTATAAAGAACGTTACATTGTTTTAACGTATTTATTATGATTAAAACTTTATTTGTGTATTTTTCCGCTGAAAATGAATGAATTTTCTGAACCTCTGCCTTTCACAAGGATTTTGAGTTTTCTCGAATGAACTTAACTAGAATAAGGACTTTGCATTAACTTCGAAACTCTGAAGCCACAACGTGATACGCTCATTGGAGAAATTATGAAACTCTATATGAAAACGCCTTTCCGATGTTTATCTGCATCGACGGCATGCACGCATAATTGATTATAGACTTTTAATTGTATTTATTTCCGGTTCACAACTGAAATTTTCATTGGTGGAGAGCGTCGTCTAGATGATGCAATCATTTCTATAATTCACTTCAATTTTCAGCTGAGGTGGAAAGGAAAAAAATAGAAAGAATGATACAATAAAAACGATGATGTTGGTGTACAATCTAGTTTTATGGTGAGGCTAATTTTAGCTGATTCATAGAGGAGTAAGAAGGGAGGGTAGCTAATATTACCATGAGAGACAGAGAAAGAGTACTACTATGTAAAGGAAAGTATTAGCATATAATACAATGAACGGGGGGTAATATTACTATTAGTCGACTTTAATTGTTCGTGGTTTTCAAAGCTCCGTTTTAACCAGTTGTATTTCCGTTCCTAATTCAGCATTTTACTCCTTCATTATAGACGGTCTTAATCTTATTTAAATAAATATATCAAACAATATTTCACTGAATGTTCATTAGGCATTTCGATGAATGGTAGAATTATGACGACGATAAACATCTGGATCTTTATCAAGGTTATTCAGTAGGTACGCTAACCAGTAAAACAGATGAGAATTCTGTTATCGATCTACAACAATGGCGACGTCATGTTCCCATTGCTCTCTTCTTTCTTAAAAAAATAACCCTAATGGTATGAAATTCTTCTGTGTTTTTCCCTGCAAAAGCTGCCAAGATTTATTACAATATTCATCCCAACCTTCTACGATCCGCCAAAAGCAAAAACGACTCCAAGCAAATTTTTCCCTTTCTCTAAGACTCCTCGAGATTACTTAAAAATTTCCACAAATCGCAAAGATTGTCTAAGAGTATTTTACTATGTTCACTGCTTCCTCTTTTGAACATATAGCTATTTAAGCTATATTCAACTAAAATTAGAGGGTGAGCAAAATTTGTATTAAATGCAGATCTCCATTTTAGCAAGAATTATCAATCCATTCGAACTATTAATAACGGATAGCTTGCCGAGAATGTCACGGGAAGTAAACATCCCAGAAGTAAGTTTTAGCTTTAGTAGCAAATGTATTGCAATCAATTTTGGGCAGCTGCCAATATTTTATTTAATAAATAACTTCGTTCTTCTGATGCTCTGTTAAAAAAATAAATTTTTCTCTATTCATCTAAATGCTTTAATTTAAAGCTCCTCTCAGGCTCAGTCTCTCGGTAATTTCTTGACACTCTCCATAATTTTCATTTATTTATTTTCCAACATGCAAACTCTGTTGGCTGATTTACTTGTAGATGCTTTTAAAATCAAAAATGAGAATAATTTCGATGTAAGAAACCAATTTTCATTTTTTCTTTACTATGTGCATCCTTGTGGATATTGCTGTTCCCTCGTGGATATTGCCACTGTGCTACATTAGGGCAATAACGAACAACAACTGCTTCTGAACAGCTGCATAATAATTTTTTTGTTGAGGTTATCATTTAACTCGTCCTAGACTAACAAATTTAATAACGCTGATAATGATGTTAAGCCGGATGATCCTTTAGCTCCTTCATCTCATACAGCAGGTAACATAAGCCAGCAAAAGCGTGAGATACTATATAATATCATATTAGTAAAAATATCCGAAGGACGTATCTGGTCCACATTTTTCCTTACTTTTTACAGATATTTCTTCCCAGATTCCACTATCACGAGCTCAATCTCTTGAGAAGAAGAACGATACTCCAGGTGATCACAATGACCTACGTGATACAAACGACAGAACTCACTCACATAGCAATGTAAGTGTATGGAAAAGCGAGCAGTTCAAGTTTTTGTAAAAAATGAAAATTACGGCATTGAGCAACAAAACCAAAAAATTCGTAGCCTAAATAAACGAAATAAACCCTTTCCAAAACTGATATTAATGCCGAAGCTGTAAGCTGAGTTTGATATAATCATATCATGTAAAAAACTGAGCTCAAGCTCGTAACCAAACTTACAAACTCTTAGTGTGTTTTTTTTACAATCTTTCTGAGGACGTTAATTAATGTTATAGTTTTCATGTTGTTACAAGGTGATGAACGTGATATAGTTACGACTTTTTCGTTATTATGATGTAGTTACATAGATGAAAAACATCGTTTCCCAAATTGATTACGTCACTCAATAAATATGATGATTTCACTTATTACCCACATAGAAACAGTGACTTTTTTGTAAACTAAATAATCGAACTTATTGTTTGCACACCCAAGGTAAAGTCTCTCTTTGTTGATGTGGATCTTGAGATCACACAATTTATAAAAGAAAAACTAACGAAAGAATTTGAGGCAATTGA